GCCGCATTTGGGGTCGATCTTCTTCAGTGAGGGGAACGTCGAAGCTGTCTAGGCTAGTGCTGGTGGTGTAGCTGGAGACTGCCGATGGCACAATATCCTGATTTCGGGTGTCTTGTCGGAGGGCCCAGGCAAAGCAGGCTGTGCATGTTAGTGAGTAGAAAAGGGCTGCTGGTTTAGGGACGGGCTGCCCAGCGCATTCACTTTTTTCTTGATCCATTATCCTCCCATAGTCGCCTCCTCGATCTCTAAAACACTTGTTTAGACATACTCATTATCAATCACTGCTATGTCAGCCCAGAGTCCCGAGGAGCTGCTCAGAGCAGTTGAGGCAAGCCACGATCAATATCTCCGTAACCTACGAAGTCTCCATGACTCTTTGGCCAGTGCCGTGAGAGACAGATCAGATACCAAGACGACAAACAACATTCGCCAGCCATCTCCCCTTCTCCGGCCATCACCAAGTCCCGTTCAGAGTCCAGGCCAAAGTCCACCACTCTCATCAGAAGCGACCTTTCAGCTTGCTCTTCGCCGTACCCGCCGTTCCACCTTCTCGGACCCCATTGAGAAGCGGACACTGTCCAGCGCCGTTGAGAGAAAGCACGTACCAGCCTCGATTCACTCGGAGCTGGACGTCGAGTATCTCCCCTTGCTCGATATCGCTGGCCCTCGTAGTGCCACCAGTTCGGATGGGACCCTCACAGCCCCTCCCACCAAGCTCGTCGAGCGCGTATCATGGACGGACAATCAACTCCTACGCCATCTCAAGTACACTGACTTCACCGGCGGCGCCGCTATTGCGCTCGCGGACGTGATCAAACGGCAAACCGACATCGACGAGGATGCGGTATTCGAGGACTTTGCTGCGTACGAAAGCCAGGGCTATGTCAGCTCAACCTTTGAGCTGTACGACGTCGACAAGCAAGGATCGCCTAGACCCGTGGGCAAACACCCAGACCGCCGTCCTCGAGGCGCCGCAGCCGACGCAGCTCCAACTCCTACTCAGATCGTCGACGCCCCGACGGTATGGAACGCTCTCAAGGAGATCCATGCCGATGGTCAGGCCGTAGGTCTCGTGACGATCCTACAAGAACCGTCGGCCCTCATGCTCGGCGCGCTACACATGACGATGCGCCCCTACTTCGACATGACGGAGCTCCTCAACCATCTAATCACAGACCATGGGAACAACGGGAAGACGACAGCCCACGTCCACCGTGCCTTCGCGAGGGATGCTTCACCCTCACACCTCCGCCAGCGCAGCTTCTTCTTCGTCTTCAAGTACTACACAGTGGTAGGAGAGGGCCTCGAACCAGCCCCCTTTCAAAAGTACGACAAACGGCCCGCGGACCGCCGCTCACGGGACCACATCGACATCGCAGAATGCAGCTCCATCCTCGCCCTCTCCCTCTCCGGCTCACCACGACAATCCGTAAAACAAACCCGCCGCCGCGAAGGCCCGCAAGAGGGCTTCCTCTTCGACACCTTCGCGCCGTGGCACCTACTCTCGATCCAGTCCTTCCCAGACGACGAACACACCCTCCGCGGCGGCGAGGCCGAAGCGCACAAGAACTTCCCCTCGGGGCCCTACGCCTTCCTAGACGCCCTCGTGACGGAATACCGCGACGCGACGAAGCGCAACCTGGCGCTCCACGCCCGCATCGCAAAGCTCATCACCCCGCCGACGGACTTCATGTTCGACGCCCGCCTGCGCGACAAGCTCCTCTTCGAGGACAAGCACTTCACCTACATCCGGCGGTACTTTTGGGCCTACAACACGCTGGGCGTCGTCAACGAGGGCCTGCGCGCCATGCTCGCGGCCTACCGCGAGACCTTTCCCGACGAATTCTGGGAGGGGAGGCACCAGACCCTCTGGCCGCACCCGGCGCCGGAGAGTCCCGAGGGCGTGGCGTACCGCGATAAGATGGTGCTCTTGCGGTCCGACTTGGAGCGCGCGTGTCGGGATCTGGAGACGGTGCACGCCAAGAACGCTGCGACGCGCAAGGAGATTGAGAATTTGAGGGATCAGTTGTTTAGCGGGAGTTCCATCAAGGAGTCGAGGAGGGCGATTGAGCAGGGGGATAACATCAAGGTCCTGACGTTGGGGTCTATGGTATTTTTGCCCCTGACTTTTGTGACTGTAAGTGGACGTCCTGCCTGCCACCTCTTCCTCCTGTCCTTTCTCAACGTCTATATACTGACACGTCAAAACTCTACAGTCAGTCTTTGGAATCACAGAGTTTACAATCTCACCAGAAGACTGGAGATTTCCCGTAACAATGGTCTGCGTCTGCGTCCCCTTCATCGTAGCGCTCATCCTCCTGCAGACGCGGGCGGGGTACTCGCTCGCTCGGCACACGTTCGCTGCGCTCGCCTGGCCGTTTCGACTGTTTACGGACGCCGGCTCGGATAATCAGTTCACGCCGGCCGTCGTCATGCCCGTGGTGGAGACGAAGCCCAGAAGGAAGAGGCGGTTGACGGGCCGTCGACCGCCTACGGCGCCGACGCGTTCGCCGCGGCACCATCCACAGCCGCAGCCGCAGCATCGTGACAATGATTTGGGGTTGATGCAGTCGTTTCTGGGGTGGTGGACTTGGGTGAGAAAGATTGGAGTTCGTAGGAGTGGACGTGAACGAGGTGGTGGGCCGGGTGACGGTTCGGCGTTTGGGAATGTGTGACGTGATTTGATTGATTGTGTTTCTGTAGCTGCTAGATACCCCATTTTTTTACATTTTGAAGATCTTTCCCTTCCTACGTATAAGAATGCCAAAGCTAGATGTGAAGGATTCCCAGTTGTTCCTAATATCGAACAACTTCTCGAGAATGACCGGACTGTGAGACAGGGTGCTTAGCACCCTGCAATGTAAAGATTGACATTGATAGAGCAGTTTCTCGCTCGATTCCTGAGCTCTCGTCCTATTGTTTCTGCTATTGCTGCCATTGCTACTATCACTGCTATTGCTCCCACTGTTGCTGTTGCTGCTATTATTCCTTTTGGATTGGTTATCTATTCTTTGAAGAACACGCTTCTTAAAGTTTAGGAAAATACTAATCGTAATGCAAGTATAGCTTATAAGAAGGGAACTATATTACCGACCTTGACGAATATGATATGCTGTCGAGAAAGATGACGAGAATGTTGAAATTTATGTTGCGAGATGGGAGCTCAAGTTCCATCTCAGAAACCACACGATGTGGTGGGCACATGCTATTTTCAACGAGGCTTGGATAGCCAGGAAGCCCGGCGATATTACCATCAATTAGCTGCTCTGCGAGAATGCCTACTCTCGCCATCTCGCTTCGGCCATTCTGATCGTTTAACCACTCCAAGAATATTACCAATCCTCTCAAGGGTTTCCGGAGCCAAGTCTGAATTCGGACGTGGCTCAGAACGTGTGGCACATTCCGCTGACTACCACTGGACTCTTGCAGGACGCTGTTGAAGCCCCCATAGGGGGCGGAAACGGGTGGAGAAGCTCGATTCATGGGTTCAGTGGAAGACCTATACGTAAAAGGTAGGTAGATGAACAATTCTGTTCTGATCCGGCAAGACCTTGATCCCTATAAGTGTCCCCGACTCTGAGGTACCCGGGCTGAGGCCATCATGTATGAGCCATCGCTTTTGCACTGCAGGCTTGCCTTTTCGACGAGGAGGACATAGGAAGGAACGAGAATCTGAGTCTCTGACTTGTTGAGGGACGACTATCCGAAGCTTCACCCGGACATATCCCTTGCGTGTCTTGGTCAAATTGTGATAAACAAGGACGCTGGTCGACGTAAGAGGAGTCTTCGTATAAGGGGTAATATCAACCTCGGTTTCCAACGAGAAACATCAGGACCAAAGCCGCACTCCTCTTCCCTATGCCAGAGTCCAAATACGACACTCAACGTCCGACCTATCCAAGAACGAGGCCATCCTAAGCTGGCACTCCGCACATCTCATATCGAAACACGACTTGCTTACCACAATCAATTTACCGATCTAGTCACGAATTATGTTTCCGGCCATGGGAGATGACCCGTTGGACTCGGCATGCCAATCACTCCTCTCCTTCAGGCGAAACATCGTGAAATGGAACAGCTTGAAAGGTCTGATATATCTGGTATCTGGAACTTGCCATCAGATCTTCCCGTCTCCGATCCGGATTCCCGATACTGCCATGTTCACATCAAACTCCCCAGAAAACCTGTTTCTAGCCAATTTTGAATCCCACTGAGAAATACTCTCCTATTCTAGCCCAGATGACTGCACCATCTCGCCTACACGTATCGATAGCCGATAAGTCTCGCAACCCCACATGCTCTCTAGTCAAGCCTCGTGAAGAAAGTGACTCTTTCACCCCCTCGTATCACCAATCCAACCTAGACCAAAAACTCCCCAAAATGGCCAAAACAATATTCCACAACCCCTGATCTCACCACCCACGAGCAAAGGAAAGAAGAATAAGAAAAACAAAGAGAAATCAAACACCGTGTTCTTGAACATCAAACGAAAAAAAGAAAGAGAAGGGAGCGGTAAGCAGAGTGTGACTTGAGATGGGATCTCTTTGTCTCAGTCACCAAAATCGCTAATCTTTGTAGAACAACGTCATATTCCCCCCGGCTTGTTCGTTTTCCTCGATCTCGCGAGACCCAAACCTTGCACCTTACCTGCTTTTCGTCCTCCCGTTTGGTTTTTCCCGTCATCTCGGTAACTTCTGGGAAGGAGGTCTTGGATTATAGATGAGAGAGGCGAGGGAACACCTGTCTTAGAACTGGGTTCGTCGCCTCGCTTGCGCTACGTCTCTGTCTGTTTGTGCGAACGACTTCAAGTCTACGATTCTCTACTCCATAGCAGTAGAGCAATCACAATACTGTGGAGATTGAGCATAATAGCGACGGGCTACGGATTCACACAAGAGCATACATTGGGGGCTCGGGGGTCGGAAAAAGAAGTCTCGTCCTCGTCCTCGTCCAGCCCCTGTCAATGCTGGCTTGTCACCCTGACTGAACCCATGTCGCCGATCAAGAAGTCCCAGGCTCTAGGGTTTCTGCCACACGTAACAGAATTTCTGACCATCGTCATTTACGACATTCGCTATCTGCGACGAGCCTGAGCCTCTTGCGATGTGAGAGCACTAAGCAGACTCGCAGAGAACAGCTTCCCCTCCCCACTCAAGCCATGTAGTCAGCCACTCCGAGTACCTCTTTCCTTCTCCCGAGTCCTCAGAGGGGCGGGCCCGGGTCGGTGGGCTGACCCGGGATTGTTCTGCCCTAGGTTCGCGTACCCCGCCGCAGTAAATGACGACCGGCCGAGGAGGCGCAAAGGTTGTGGGTGTGGGAAAAGATCTACGATTGTTTCTCCCCCCTGGTGCTCCACATGAAGTAGAAGAAGCCTCTCCCACGCAGCCGTTGCCTTCAAAAATGGCCGATAACCCTGCTCACGCGCTGCTTCAGAGTTGTGGATCTCCTTCCAGCCACCCGATTTTTTACAAAGTTCATGATGCGCTATCCGTGCTCTCCGGATACTTGTCAGTCTATGGAGTCCTGTTGGGTGAGAATCTCCTACTGAGCTACAGCCGAGCAGGTCAATGTATATCCTCACTCAGGCCTCGTCAAGGAGATCTGCGTCGGGGCAACAAACGCGACGACGTCGGCGGAGATTAAGGAAGGCCCCTCCTACAGGGTTCTCCGGGGGTAGGGCGGCACGGCGGGAAGTGACAGCTGTCGGCGAGAGCTTTGACGTCGGACGCCTGCAGATGGTTTGCAACCCGACAATAGCGGTTTCTGTGCTTCCGTACTCTGTACCTAGAGAGAGAGAGGGCGGGAATGTCGTGTAGCTGTGGCAGACCGTGACTGAAACACACTGATGGCGCTGTTCAACATGAGAGGTCGTCTTGTTTCGTTTTCTTTGTGGACGTCATCTGCCATAGGCCAAGCGAGGTGACAGGCGTGTAAGTTGAACCGTGTCGATGGATCATCAGGAAGCCTACCTAGAATTAGAACCAGGACTTTCGGTAGTCGCAATCTCACCCAGCAGGCCGTCAGCCTACAATGCTAGATTGCGAGTCAGTCTCGTGAGCTTGTGGGAAGAGGCTAAGCGATACGAGCAAATCATGTGTGCCATCTAGGGAATCGTGGATTGGTAAGAAGACGTCGTCTATCTATTCGTAGATCTAGCGCTTTATAAGGCAGAGCGTAGACGAACCGCTAACTGATGACCTTGCTAAGATACTGGCTGTATCTTCCCGATGAATCCGACGATGCCATGGAATTGTTGCCGATTGGACGAAGAAAGCTTCTACGTGGCTGCTGCGCTGTACTAGAATACGGGATAATCTCGATCTTGAATTGTTTCTTGTATCGTGTGGGTGGTGCTTTGATGTTGCCCAGCTCAGTTCTCGCATCGCACAGACAGCATCGCGGGAGGCAGATCCGAAAGGGCAGCCATGGCTTGGCGCTATTTCATTGGCTCATTAACGACGAGAGAGGCACTTTGGGATCTGACATTGACATCTTTACAATGACAGACGTCGTTACCAGCTAAGCCATCCTGGTGTCGAACGGAGAAGCCCTTCATCTCTAGCCATCACGATGGGGAAGGGGGCTAAAGGGGGAAATGATTGCCCATTATAGCAACACCGTCAGATCACAAGGAGGCCGGTGGCCGTTGACGTTGACCGGAGCCGGGCTGGAAAGTCAGTAAGATTTCCGAGCCACAGTCAATAGTGGAAATCTTGTTCCTTGCCTACCAGCCAAGAACGCTCTGCTCGTGACCATCTGACCCCAACAGGGCTAGAGTAGCAGAGACAAGCCCCTGGTTTTGGTGACAGCAACGGGGCCATGGACTGTGCATCGGACGCTTCGAACGACGGTTCCTGCAGAAGGGTCCATCAATCTAGTTCGCAAGGAGAAACATCGCGTACAATTTCTGCGCGTCACGCACTGCTGTGCTAGCAAAACTTTGCGTGTAGGCGGAGCATCGAGAACGGCCCCGAACAGCGGCGGATCAATGTTCCCATCCGTCGCGCGGCGTGTCTTGTCTTCGCTGTTCCTGGGACGAGCCAAGGTCTCTTTTGGACAAGGTCAGGAACAAGCCGAGCTGAAGCTAGGTGCTGCCGGAACTCCCTAGAGGGGGCGATCCTCATGAAATCGCATCCTGTCCTCCCACGTGTCGCAGGCATGGGGAAATGAAGAGCATGGGCCAGCTCAAGGCGGTGCAGGCTTCAGTTCAGCCACAGTCCCCCGCTGCTTTGACAGCCTTTGTTCTATGCGGCGGATTCTGTGAGCTATGTTTTCGCATTCGACATGCTTAAAGGCAAGCCGCACTGCGATGGCGTTGGCATCGAGTCCCAGGTCATTGTCACGACTGTCTGCACGCGGGCGGCTAAGACCCCTTTTTCGCTGACAGCGCGACCAGGCGGCCGACAGCGTCGAATCCGCGTCTGATGCGGCCAGACGTTGACGTAGACGCGCTACAGCGGCCAGGCTCTTGATCTGGAGGCTCGATAGATTGAGTGGCAGGTAGCCGGGAATACAGATATCGAGAGAATGCGTGTTACAGAAGGGCGTATACATGATACTCTGAAGAATAGACTTGCGCATCTCGCAGTTGGGTGACACAGAGAAGATCGGCAGTGAAGCGGTCTCACATCGACTACACTAGTAGAGCACGGGATCCTTGGCGATGGACCGCTGGCGGGCTCAGCTGGATGATGAAAGGTTCCAGAAATCTGGCTACCGGCGTCAACTTTGAGACTTAGACGCAGGCATTATGCTTCGCGAACGACAGTCCCTTAATAACGCGTACGGGCCGCAGCGAGGGCCGGCGGGAGGCTCAGCATCCCAAGGCTGGTATCCGTACCATGCATCCATACGTGATACTCAAGGGTATTCGGAACCGTAGATATTTGTATTGATTTCCAGTTTTTCATCAGGAGATCGATGTTCCGTCCGATAATACAACAGACGCCTGTACTCGTGTTCACCGGTTGAAACCAAACAAGCCCGCTAAAGGTATCGGATGTGATGAACGGATCACGCGGTTTGTGAAGGATGATGACGAGTTGCTGTGTGGCTTGGAGTATCGCAGGGTTCAGGAGGTTCCACCCTCCAATGTCCGCGTCCGAAGCCGAAGAGAGGCGATAATCATGGGGAAACGGGGTCAGGGATACGGATTGAAGGATGCAGGAATTCCTGGATGGGCCGGGGACCACCGTACCACGCGCCCGAGTCGAGATCTTGTTTTTCTTTTTGGCTTCCCCTATTCCACATCCCGCTCAACCGCTCTCCGAACGGGCATGTGGGCCTTCTCGATACGGTCAAGCGCGACCCTGCTCCTGAATTTGGTCCCTGTCGCTGTCTCTGGGGTGCAGACGCTGACAATGTCAAAGTCAAAAATGGAGTTGACAGAGGCACACCGAGGGAAAAAGGAGGGGTGGCGCTCTCTGACATGCCACTTGTTTGTCGTTAACGATGGCGCCGATTTTTACGAGCACACGGGCCGCCGATAGGTTCATCAATGCTGAGTTGGGTCGAGAAGTCGATCATATCAGGTGTGCATGAACCTTCAAGTTGCGCTGTCACAAACGCAGACACTCCGAACGGTGAGCCAAGTTGGCGCAAGACGGTTACACTGCTCGTCTAGTGAAGGTGCTGTGAGACTAGGAGTTCCGAACGACTGACACGGTGTCATGTTGCTGTGCGTTTGACAGCCTGTCTTGATCTCTTTCTTCTTTCTGCAGCATTTGCAGACGCAGGACTGAAATGTGCAGCTGAAAAAATCAGTGGTTTCAAGCCTGCCTGCGCCTCCTGGTTGCATGAACGATGGGCGTCATGCCGGTTTCTGCTCCTGTCTGGTCGGTACTTTTCTCGAACAGAAAAGCACTAGGAACGACTGCAAGAGTGGGAAAGGGACGATTCCCAACCTCGGTCCTTGGATTTGGCCCACCCGGCTCCGATGTTGTGTGTTTTACGGTTCACCCATCCGTTCTTTTAAAAGAAAGGAAGCCATATGTCCGGCGCCGTTCAGTGCGGTGTGGCATCCCGAGTCCGTGGGCAGCGGTTCCATCAGGCTTCTAGAGTTCGTTGCGAAAGAGCCTATTTTAGTCTCTCGTTCTCTCTTGATCAACAGAATTTCAGTTTTTGGCAGGTCTCGGTTGAAAGGTAGATGCTTGGATGGATGCGAAGGGCGAGCAAGAAGCCGAAGACGAACGGGTCAAGGCCAGTCCGTACCGCATGTCTAGGATGACTAGGTGAGGATATGTTGCAGGTGCCGCCACCAACAATGCAGTAAGCGTTGGTGGATGATCCTGACACTACCAGAGATGGAGATGGTGTTTGGTGAGGGTTCGTTATTGCAACGCTCGGTTTCTGGAGCCTGGTTCTTCTTCCTGGATGTAGGTTTCTCCAATCCACCCGGCGGCTAGGTAAGTTGAGCTGTAAGGCAGAGTATCACAGGACGGATGCAAGGCAAGGTGGGCGATCCCTCGCTTTGGAATCGAGCGAAACGGTAGGACGTCGTCCGTTGACAAGGCTTGTTCGCCCCTTTTCACCCAAACGATGGGAAGTTGCAGTTGCAGCCATCTGCAGTCATATTCGGCCCAATTTGTTCCTGCATTTGCATCAAGACTGGACGCACAATGAGGCAAGCTGGCAAAGTCGGTACAGCTCGGCGAGTTTGATGCTAAGGAGCGCGCACGGGATAGTCTGTTCGTTGGAAATGACGCGCGACCAATTGAATAGACGAATGACGACGATTGGCTAGTGAGGTCTCGAGCGGCTTGTGAAGAAGATTTCTAGCTCAACTGAGATGGATGGAGAGAACCCAAGTAGGTAAGCGAATGGAGTGTCCAGGCTGGAACACACGCAGCTGTGGCAGCTCACGTAACTTTGCAGGTGTAGGGTCAAGTCCTCGATTGCCTTGGGGGTTGAGGTGGTGTGCAGTTATCTGACCCGACGGCAAAGGGCCCGAGGCGATGGGATTCGGTGTGTAGCGGCAAGAGGCGAGGAGTCTCAGATGGGGGTTGAGCACACAGTTGATGATTTGTAGCGCCGTTATTGCACTCTACGGGTGCCTTGTTCGAGGATGAAGGTCAAAAAAGATGTTTTGGAGTACGGATATTCGTAAGGTAGAGAAGACAGACAGAAGTGTACCTCGGTACGTACCCGAGGCGGACGTTCTGTGGTTAGATAAGGTCCGATATATCTATCTACTGTTCTAGTACGGTACCTAAGGTAGGAACGGGGTATTTAGGTAAGGTACTCCGTAGGCAGGAGCTTTTGATCCTCAACTTCCAGGTTAGAAATCGTGAGAATACGTACCTGATATCACGGAAGGTGTCGAGGTGTAGGTGAGGTGAGGTAAGGTAGGTAATAGCTAGAGGAAGGTGTGACTGTGGGGGTGGTTGGATGACCCCGTCACTTCGACTGGACTGAATCGGGACTTGGGAACTTGGGAAGGCAAGTGCGGGCAGGTGCAGGTGCGGCAGGCCGCAGCAACCATCTTTGGAGGAGAGAAGGAAGCGATGGAACCCCTGCAAAATTCTCAAACAGATTTCTGGCGTTACAGCGAGGCGGGAGTCGCGGGACCAGTCATCGTCGTCCCATCCCACACTTTGATTTTTTCTGTGTCTGTTTCCAAGGTTCTTGTTGGTGGGGTCGTCTTCTTCACGTCTGCTTCGGGAGGTAATAGTCCTTTATTGTCTGTATGATGCATCTGGACGCAGTATGGATATGGATACCTGTCAAGTTATCAACTGACCGATAGAGATTTGTCGAATTTCAGTTAGGCAGCGGACAGACGGGCGGGCGAGCAGAGAAACATTGTAATATGCCCACGTTACACGCCCGTAGCATCCAGTCTCACCACAAGAGACAAATTGCTCCAATTTGCATTTTTGAAGCGACTTACATGAACTCTGACAGATTGCCGCCTGCCTTTTCTTTCTCTTGACAAGCAGTCGTGAACATTCACTCCCCCTACTCGTCGTACTTCGTAAACCTTTTTTTTCTTTCTCTGAGCCCGTGTTAGTGAGTGCGTAACAAGAGCCCCCTTCTCCTATTCTCAACACTGCTATGATCTCCAAATGTCTTGATGTCATAATACAGGCGTGTAATTGTAACTTATCGCTTGGTTCGGTCAGTACGCCCGCTGACGGACTCGGCGAGGCTCCATTGGGGCTTTGATGATTTCCCCTGCTACCTTACTGCAGTAGGTAGGCCCCCGGCGACTGAGTGCCCGTTTGTATCCTACCTATGGTATCCGTAGGTATTATGTGTTCGTACCTTCAAAGGTATCTTGCCTTAAACAACCATGTACTCCGGTACGTATCTAGTTAGTTTCTGCCCACTCGCCCACTCGCCCACTCGCCCACTTCGCCTGAAGCCAGGAACCGCTCCGCATCGCGCGCACGAGGCAAGGAGTCCGTTCCCCACCCTCCATTCTTAGTGACCCCACCTTCTCCCTCATCCCAAGGTAGTGTACCTTTTTGGGTACAGTCTCGCACGATAGGTACGCAGTCTTGGAGGCAGTCGTTCATGCTCGTTCAATCTCACTCTCATACGGAGGTACGCTCACCACAGACTCACTCTCACTCTCATCACATCAAGCTTCATTCACACTTGGCTCCCACTTATGAGTCTAAGAGCCTGTCCGCGCATTGTAATCTCTTGTAGCACTCAACGCGTTTTTCGCGTCTTCTTCAAAACCACTTCACCCACTACTCACCTTAATCCCACTTACCTAGAAGGAAGACGTACCGAAGAGAACCAGGGACTCCCCCGTCCTCATCGTCCCGGATCAGGTCCAACTTTCACATTCAGGCAGGCCGGCCCTCTTCCTCAATCCTCGCAGTGCGGCGTGCCCACGAGCCATCAGTGATCACGCATCACACCCCCATCCATCCTTCCATCCATCCACTTTGCTCATCCAACCTTGACCCTCCAATAAAGCCAATCCCACCGTTTTGTGCAACCTCTCCGCTGCACCTCCGGCCAGTCTGTTCAATTACGAGCCTGGCTAACCGTATGAGTACCTTGTCTACACAGTCAAGTGAGCTCTGGCTGCTCTCTCATCATCTCATGGCACCCGCAACAGGCCTGACATTCTGCAGACGTAAGAGGCAATAGTAAGGTACAGATACCGATGCTTGTTGATCGCTCACTCAGTGTCCGTGCCATGTGCCTTGTGCCTGTCCATCTGCTGGCCCTAAGTGATCCATGCCCCTTTATTCGCGACCCATCCTATCCATCCGTACCTTAATCTCTCCGTATGCACCGCGACCACCAACTGTACGTACCCTTTACCTGGATATGGCCAGGACCTGAGGAACACAGCCTTTTCCCTCTCTCACACACTCTCTGCTCTCTGCTCTCTACTCTCTCTCTCTGTCCCCGGTCCCTCTTCATCCTCTGCCTCTTTCTCTCTGCACCGCACACCCCCCCGTCGCACTCTTGTCCAACTTTGCTGCTTGTCCCTCCTTTCGCACGTTCTGAACCGCCGCCCTACGCAGTCCTACCTCGCTGTACTCTGTACCATCCCCTCCTTTCTACTTGAGCGACAAGGCCTATCTCTCTCTGTGCCCCCAAGAGAATTGGCCCCCCCCCGGTCCTCATTCCACCCACACGGAACCATCATACACACACACATTCAGACACACGCTCATTCTCTCACACTCTTCTTCTTCTTCTATCCAACTCTGCTCTGCTTTTTTAAACCCTATCTTCACCCTTTTCTTCGCTTCTTGCAAACGGCAGTGAGAAAGCTCTGCCATCTCACAGCATAGCGTGCCCCAGAGAAATATATTCCAAAAGAACGGGCTCATCACGCCTCTCAACCAGACGCACCGAACCTAGCACCTGCACAAACATCCCCCCCCCCCCCCCCCGATTATCTGACTGGATCTGGAACCTCGCCGCTCCTAGGCTCGATTTTAATTTGATCACCGCTGTCCACACATTTGCGGCCGCGCCTGCCAAAGCTAAAACAGCGCCCTTATTTGTCGCGCCGCCCTATAAGCTGGGTCAAAAGCAATATCCATCGGCCTGCCCCCCCGACGAAGCTTCCGCTCGAAACACCACAAAAAACCAACACCACATTCTCGAAGTCTGCCATCTTGGGTTCTTTGACACCGACTCAAATCACTTCGCAGCCTCTTGTGCCCTCAACTCAATCACTGTCTCGAGGCGTTCGCTGGACGACATACCAATTGTGCCCGCACACACACACACACACACACACACACACAAATACACACTCACCCACCACTCAATCACACTCTAACCGACCCAGTTCCCGCACGACACGCACGACTCGATTCCACCCAGTTCCTGGTGCAGTTCCCCCCCCAAAAAACTGCCACGCCCCCTCCATCACCTCTTCGCAGCCACGTCCTGACGAACCGCTCTTCTTTCTCGAGTCGCAACGGCCTGCCAACGATAGCTTCATCTTTGGATCACTCGGAGGAACTACTTCCTTTCACGCTGGATTCCAAGAGTCGCTCTTCCAATCGCCAACCTCGCAGCTGCACTGCAACTTCGCCGTCCAGCCACCCATCGATTCACCAGCGTCGGCCGTCGTAACCTCTTCGCAGGCGACGTCGAGACCCCGTTCATTCAAGGGGCTCTCTTAGGCGACCTGCCTACTTCGCGCAAACCTCACCTCAGATCATCGTCAACATGTCTGTCATGCTTCAAACACCATCTCGAGCTTCGACCGCCTCCTCCTCCTCCTTCCAACCCCTTTCCCGCCAAAACACCATGTCTTCCTACGATGGATCGCGGTCCGCCCGCCAATCGAAGCGGTACTCCATGTCCGCGCTGTACATGTCCATGTCAGCGAACGAGACTGATCTGGAGATTGAGGATGACTTGGCCAAAGGTAGGCTCTGCAGCCCCTGCACTCTTCTTGCCAGTCCACCCTGCTAACGATGCATGTTACAGCCCAGAAGATTCTCAGAGAGCTCAAGTCCAAGATCTCTTCGCAATCCAAAAAGAACTTCGTCCTCGAAAAGGACGTACGATATCTTGATTCACGAATCGCCCTCCTCATTCAGAACCGAATGGCCCTCGAGGAACAGAACGAGGTCGCGAGCCACTTGGAAGACGCGACGGATATGCAAGAAGGCGCCTTTCCCAACGACGACAAGACGCAAAAGTATGGCAATTTGATGTTCCTGTTGCAATCCGAGCCGAGGCATATCGCACACCTCTGCCGATTGGTGTCAATGTCGGAGATCGACTCTTTGCTGCAAACAGTCATGTTCACCATCTACGGAAACCAGTATGAGAGTCGTGAAGAGCATCTGCTCTTGACTATGTTCCAGGTTTGTGACACGTGATCATTGCGCGAAATCGCAAGCTGACTTCTGGTTCAATAGTCTGTTCTCACCTACCAATTCGACAACACCCCCGAATATTCTTCGCTTCTGCGCGCCAATACACCCGTCTCACGAATGATGACCACGTACACGCGCAGAGGACCAGGACAGAGCTTTCTCAAGTCAGTTCTCGCTGATAGAATCAACAGTCTGATCGAGTTGAAGGATCTTGACCTGGAAATCAACCCTCTCAAGGTCTACGAGCGCATGATTGAGCAGATTGAGGAGGACACCGGCAGTCTGCCTGCATCGCTTCCCAAGGGCGTTACTGCTGAGCAGGCTGCGGAGAACCCCCAAGTTCAAGCTATCATCGAGCCGCGTCTCACGATGCTCACCGAGATTGCTAATGGCTTCTTGACGACTATCATTGACGGACTCGACGAGGCGCCGTACGGTATTCGGTGGATTTGCAAGCAAATTCGCAGTTTGACGAAGCGCAAGTACCCCGATGCCAATGACCAGGTCATTTGCACCCTCATCGGCGGATTCTTCTTCTTGCGCTTCATCAACCCGGCAATCGTGACGCCCAAGTCATACATGCTCATTGACGGTCAGCCGGCTGATCGCCCGAGAAGAACGCTGACCTTGATTGCAAAGATGCTGCAAAACCTTGCTAACAAGCCCTCATACGCCAAAGAGCCGTACATGGCCAAGTTGCAGCCCTTCATCTATCAGAACAAGGAGCGTATCAACAAGTTCATGCTTGACTTGTGTGAAGTCGGCGACTTCTACGAGAGCTTGGAAATGGACAACTATGTCGCACTCTCGAAGAAGGATTTGGAGCTGTCCATCACGCTGAACGAAATCTATGCCATGCATGGTCTGATCGAGAAGCACAACGGAGAGCTCTGCAAGGATGACAACTCACACTTGGGCATCATCATGGCGGAGCTCGGAGGCGCACCTCCGCAGGTTCCTCGCAAGGAGAACCGCGCCATCAACCTCCCTCTCTTCAGCCGATGGGAAACAGCGATCGACGACTTGACGGCGGCGCTCGACATCACGCAAGAGGAAGTGTACTTTATGGAAGCCAAGTCCGTCTTTGTGCAAATCATGCGATCGATCCCTTCCAACAGCAGCGTTGCACGAAGACCTCTGCGACTCGAGCGGATCGCCGACGCCGCGGCTACGAGCCGGAACGACGCCGTGATGGTCCGCAAAGGTATCAGGGCGATGGAGCTGCTTTCACAGCTGCAGGAACTGAAGGTTATCGATAAGAGCGATCAATTCGGCCTGCTGCGTGACGAAGTCGAGCAGGAATTGCAACATCTTGGATCACTCAAGGACGGAGTCATTCAGGAGACTGGCAAGTTGGAAGAGGTTTACAAGACCATTCGCGACCACAACAACTACCTCGTCGGTCAATTGGAGACGTACAAGAGCTACCTGCACAACGTTCGTTCGCAAAGCGAGGGAACCAAGCGGAAGCAGCAGAAGCAACAGGTCCTCGGGCCTTACAAATTCACTCACCAACAGCTGGAGAAGGAGGGTGTCATTCAAAAAAGCAACGTCCCGGACAACCGGAGGGCCAACATTTACTTCAACTTTACCAGCCCTCTGCCGGGTACCTTTGTTATTTCTCTCCACTACAAGGGTGCGTTATTCCGATTGCTCAGTGCGCGACTTTTACTGACTCTGCTACAGGACGCAACCGCGGTCTTCTTGAACTGGATCTCAAGCTCGACGACCTGCTTGAGATGCAGAAGGACGGCCAGGACGACCTGGATCTGGAGTATGTCCAGTTCAACGTCACCAAGGTTCTCACTCTGTTGAACAAGCGATTTGCGAGAAAGAAGGGGTGGTAAACGCCACCACTTGGCCCTCTCAATTCTCGACTGTACAACTTTTCCTCCCAGAGATACCCTCGACTGGCTTTCCTTCGAATTAGGCGTTCTCGGCATCTCTTTGAATCCTGATACCACGACGTTTTCGTCTTCATCGTCGCACCGCCTTCGACTTCCATCCTCGCATTTGTATGCATCAATGCGTTGCCAGCTTTCCCACTCTTATGAACGCCTCCTCGCTACGGCCGCCTTTAATTCACTTCTCGACCATCTCGTTTATCCATACGCATACCGGCGTTATTATACCTGTCTCTTTCGTATTCGCCTAGATCTTTGTTTGCATGCTCGAGACTTTGAGCTGCTCTCTCTGGACTAGGTCACGTACAAGATTATCACCGTGGATATATGGGAACTTGGTTTTTTGTCTCTTCCGGCCTTGCGCGCCACATCATATCGGCGAATAGGCGGTACGGCTTGGAGTCTTCTCTTTTTTACACCCTCTCGATATACCTGTTACGTCATTTTTAATTCTCGTGTGTGGCGGCCGGCGCCAGAAAATTCATGGTTTTCATGCTGCCTTTTGCAACTTTTGCTTATCCTTTTTTTTGGTCCCCATTTACTTTTTTCCCGGTCCCACGTCCTGATGCGCAACGACGGCGCAATTTGTATTCGGCTGGTCCGGCGACACTTTGGTTTTTATGTCCTGTCCCTTGTACTTCATGTCTGAAATGATACGGTAGAGAAGATGGACGAGAAGGAAATGGAATGAAGGTGGATGATTTCTCTCACAGCTCAATCTCTTCGTGATGACGTATCGTGAAATGTTTCTTGGAAATAACGAGGTGACAATATCGTACGAGGGAAGAATTGACTTCCGCGATGCAAGGTTTGAAAAGGGGGTGTATGAGGGGTTTAGTTTGAGCGACGATTTTGACAGTTCGTCGTGCCTGTCTCGATTTTCTGCTCCGTTTCGGAAGCTTCTGTTCACCTGTTTTGAGTTTTTCTTGGGGGGTGGCGCGCGTTCGTTCGTAGTGGTAGATGGGCATCTAACTGTAAATCTGGACTTGTCGTGTTCTCTCTATCTGCGGACTTCCTGTTTGGGGGCAACGCTTCATCCGATGAGATTGTCATCCGAGATGGGATGGATAGGTGAGTAACGGTTGAGGGGAGGGGGAAGGGGAAGGGAGGGATGACGTGAGCGTGTCTGCCACGTTGTCCTGTGGCGATGGGCTCTGTTTTTTTTCAATTTTTTTCAATTTTTCAATGTGTGTGTTCTGTTCGTGTTTCAAGTTTTGTGGTGTAGATGGCGTGATATATGTACGGTGGTATATATCACCGAGATGTGTGTGTGTTGTGTTTGAGAGGTTGGGAGTGTAAGGTGAGGAGGGGTGCTATGTATGGTTTGTCAGGCCCTTGGGTCTGCCGGAGTGCTTTCTTCTAGGTTGAGAGGCATGGAGGGAAGGTTATGGGCTGAGTAGGTTAGGATAGGAGAGGGCGTGTGGTTAGAAGGAGAGGGGGGGTTGGAATGTGACGATGGTTTTTTCTGGTTCGATTGGGTTTGGTTGGCGTGTTACAGCCTTGTGGAGAGGGGGTTGTAGTGGTTCGGGTGCGGCGGCGGGTTGGGTTGGTGAGATGAGATGAGGCTGAGGTGAGAGTGATGGTGAGGTTTTGTGAGTTTATTGAGTTTGGTGGAGAGGGTTTGCATTTTGATCGAGCCTGGAGATGGGGGGGAGCGCCGCGGTGAAATCTTTGAAATGGTGAATGACGGAGGTTGCGTGGAGGAGATGATTTATGTTCATGAGTGGCTGAGCTTGAGTTCAGTGGCAAGGCGTCTAGGAAACATGAGTGTTAGTCGTGGACCAAAGTGGATGAGAGCTACGTTGCTGAGGGTAAGCTCGTCACTGGCATTTGAGGATGTGCCATGATGATAGGCCCGGGCGGTGAGGTTTTGGCTATAGGTTTTTGGGGTATATGGGAGACGAATTGCCTGTACTCGCACGAAGACATCGCGGCCATGATGGAGTCTGAGATGGGGTCGGAAGTGAAGTAGACCTCAAGGGGTTTATCAGAGGAGTGAGCACGGGTCGACCTTGGCTATATCTAGTGAATGCCAGAACTTGTTCTATTGTGGTGCTGTCACGAGAGTGAGAGTCTGGAGGCTCGGTAAGAGTGTTCTCAAATTCCGTCATATTGCTATTCCTGTACGCACCAATAGGAATCTCATATTTGATATTTGGATATTTGGAGGGGGAAAGAATGAGTGATGGCCAAGGAGGGTATACCGATTCACAGCGGACATTGTATAAGTAGAGGTAGCTCTGAACATTGTAATTGATGGGAGCTTCGTCAGTGAAACCGTGACGGCCCAGGTTCATTGCACACCCGTCAACTATCCTCGTCAGCAGGCCACATCTTGTGATCGAGAAGAAGAGATGATCGAGATTCGTGTCTGGAAGAATACGGGCTTCTGGAAAGTCTTGAGAGCTTCATCTGGATGACACATCCTCTCACCCCGAAGATAGAGCACTACTACATCTTCGACTTGAAACTGAACATGTCCTTGAACCCCTTAGGGTGTAGACGTCAGCTACGTCCAGAATTTTGCTGCGAGTTTGCCAGAATGACTTGCTGTCAGCTGACAGCGTCGGTACTTGTTGCCGAACTCAGCATATCAGGACTGAGTGAATCGATTGAAAGGGATTACTGTATCCAAAGGTATAATCCCCGAGCATTCAGAGCAAATTGAGGGATTGAAATAGTGAGGCAACAGGTGAACCGTCTTCCCAAGCGGTAAGTTGTCATCACATTGCACTTAACATTTCTCATGTAGTTACAGGCTAGGTTCCTAAACACAATTTCTGGGATTTCAGCCAAGGTGATATCCCAAGGATTTCATGTGGAGCCGTTCTTTCACATGGCTGTTTGATGTCCCAAATGTTGTTTGGACGCCTGTATACGACAAGACGCTGACAGAGCATAGAAATACCTTGAGATAGACGATGTTTGTCTGGGGACAGAGCAAGCTTTTAAGTTGACCTTGTGATAAGATGATACGAGGATATTTCCCTTCGTGTTGTCGCCAGATAACCGAACTTTCTTGATCCGGGTCTTGCTTTGAAAGAAGGCTGTGTAAATTAGTCATAGGACTTTCTGGTCGTGTCGAGTTTAGAAATGCAGTGAAAGTCGATCGTCAGAAAGATCCTCATAGAGCCTGAGAAGGCGCTAAAATAGCAGTGAAGACTTAACTGCGTTTTTATCTCCCATCGCTCCCATCGCTCCTCCATTCCAAGGCATACATACGCCCGAGGTTGACGCGCTTCCATCGAAAAGTATGTTGGCCACTTGCTCTCAGCTGAGATAATGTCGAAACAGCTTCAAATTTTGAGGTACCACAGAAGAGACAGGGGAGCTGGACCTTGGCGAATCTTGTCTCGTCGCCAACAGTGTCATCTATCTTCAAAGGATGTTGCGGTCGGTCGCAGCGCAGATGACGAGGCGGCGGTATTATTCTTACCTGACTCAGTTTGCTACAGACAGAGTATGTACAGTTGGCAGCTCCGGGGCGAACCTATTTGCCATGGCGAGAATGCGATGCCGGAGTGTAGGGTAACATGAGTAAGCCTGACTTGACCGGTACCACGGCGGTACTGCGATGAGAGAGCTCTCGACCGTCTCGAAGCTCCAAATTTTCGATTTACAGGACTTATCAGGGCCATTCCGCCTGCATGGCATGGCTGAAGTTGGATGAGAGTAAAGAAGAGGATGGCTTTTCAGGGTGTCTACCGAAGTAGGTGTCTAGCAAAGATGCTGATTGAGGGTTGACAGTGAACGTTTTAAATCTGTTACAATCATATCACCAAAGCAAGTCGTCGCATCGAGGTAGGGTTTCCCTGTGGGAATGCTGTCAACAAAAGTGAAGCCATCCCCGGTCATATCCGACGCCTTCAACGCCTTGACTTGCGGTTTGGTGTTGAAGTTGCAGTGCACGACATGAGTGGGCCGACAGAGAGAGTTCATCTTTCCCATCAAGTTAATTAGTAGAATATCATTCTTCACAATGACTCGAAAGTTACGATGAGACGTGAGATGTCCAATGCCTATTGGACCCATACCTGGCCTAGTCGTGATATCCTCGCTTACATCAGGATACTTGTACAGGGTCCGAGTTCGTCCATCTCGTGTGGCTGTTTCGATCTTACAGTCTCTGTTCAGTGTGTGATAGTATATCTATCGCATTCATAGTTACGATTGGTAGAGTCAAGTCGACTGCTTCGCATTGTCAAACGTGGCGTATTAAGTCGAAGACGCGGCGGAATAGAGCCGACAGGCCGGTTCGTGATGAGATGAGATGGGATAGGCGGAATGGATGGGACATGACACCCGTAGACATGCCCTTACTACACCACACGCTGATTGACCATCATGCTAGGTGTGAATCACCAATATCGCCACTTGGAGGCCGCATGTTTGTTCCAGTTGATGGCGATTTGCGATCTCGGTAGTTGCATTTGTGGACTAGTGTTTCTGGCAATGGGTGGTTGGTGGACAAACAGTCGGTGACGCTGTTTAATTAAGATGTCGGCGACCAACTAGGTATTGCTCGTTGTTGCATGACACACATCGGCTTGCGAGGCCGCATGAAGTGAAGCGTTGCATTTGGCGGGGAATACAGGTATCGTCGATGGGTGGTGGCATTCGTTTCAAAACACAATCCGAGTGACTGGGGATGTAAGTTGTAAGTGGTCTGTCGGCCGTCACTGAACTCGTAGACTCATCATGCCCGACTTCATAGGAAGATCCATGTGAACGAATAATCGGAATTTTACGTACTTATACCAAGCTTCCCACCCCTCACCGAAAACCACCGAGCCCGGTGAAGAAAGTTAAGCTTGTTTCGAGCACGTCAACTGTCACTTACAACGCTCCCCGGCCGCTTCCCACGCGGGCCAACCCGCATTTCCCCCAAACGGCGCAGACGCTTGCCAACCAAAACTTCAACAGGGGGGAAAACGGCAGGACAAGTTGCCTATCTGATGATTCACTGATAGGGGAATGATGCCCGACGATCAGTGATTCGGTTCTCCTCTCTCTTTTGAAAAATTCCCATAATAGGGGAGAGTTCTTCACCCCTTGGGTTCCCTTGGGGTAGCATTGACTTAATCTCGCAATGCTCCACACCAGGAACCCAGCAAGCAAAAAGTCGGATTTACCTCCATCATAAACAGAGAGAAAGACGCACACGCCAACGCAAAACGAAAGGGGGGAATTCTTGAACGTTGTACTCCCTGCCGGTAGGGTGACATTCGTTGGACCTTCTAGAAGGAAAGAAGACAAAGGCCAAATCAAATCAAATCTCGATAAACCGGATTCCTATCTTCTAAAATCCTGCGCAGCTTCGAGCGCTTAAGCACCGAGGTAACTGTACCATTTCAAAAAAAGAAGAGATGGCTGCGCATACCGAGAGCGCGCAGCTGGCCAGTCGGCTCGATGGACTGGTCATGGTCATCCCGGACCTGCGCCGGATGGTCAGCCACTGGCCGTCTGGGAAGAATGTTCACGCCTCCGAGGTTGAGGGGTTGATTTGCAAACTCCTTGAGCAGAGGTGAGTTGCCCAAGAGGAATATGGAATGTTTTGGGATGTTGACTTATGAAAGCGATACGTCACCAAAAGACAAGGCCAACGTCCTGGAAGCGAACCCGGCTCTCCTGGCATCATGGTGAGATATCCTCAAATGAGTCCCAAAATAAAGGCAGCACTTGCTAATCAAGTTGCGTATGTGACTTTAGCCTCTGGCCCAACGCAGCAAGAGAGAGACTTGGCACCTTGACGCTCATGGTGCTCTGGCAGGGCAGACTCGATGACCACATTGAGAGCCTCGAGTACAAAAGCGCGGAAAATGCCAAGGACTTTCGAAATAAGGCGAAGGACTACATTGCGCAGTATCTTCAGCTTTCTGAAGGGCCCAAGGAGGCGTCGACGAACCCCGTCATTGCGGGTTTCCAGCCGGTTGCCAAAGTCATTTGCCAGCAGTACGACCGAGGTGAGTTTCTCCTGTTCTCTGGCATATCCGGATATCGCAGCGAGTTCGAGGCTGACGCTTTTTTTCTTTTCGTAATGGCAGATCAGCGCAGGAGGTTGAGGGTCAGTTTATTCGAGTACATTGACTCGACGGTGCAAGAGATGCGGTATATCCAGAACGGACACGCACCGACGACGTTGTCGTATGAGAAGCTTCGCAAGAAGACAGGGGGCGCTGGCCCTCTGTGTGCCTTGGCAGAGTAAGAAGACTTGAGAGACCCCTCGTGAAGGGGAAGGCTGTTGCTGACGACAGAGTAGGTTCGCATCTGGATCAGAGTGGCCGGCGCACGTCGTCAATACGCAGCCATATAAGATGATCCTGGAGTCGGTCAGCGTCATCATCGGCCTGTTAGTTTTGCCCATATGAAACACCCCGGGTTGGAGGTATGCAGAAGCTGACGAGATATTTTGGAAAATAGGACGAATGACTTGCTCTCGCTGAACAAGGAGTTGGTAAGCGGATCCCGCGTGGTGGTGTTTTGCAACCGAGGAACTAATCATTCGAGCAGCGAAAAGGCCGTACTCTCAACGCGGTGCCGGTGCGGTACTGGAACGGTAAAGACGGCAGTGACCTGGAGAGTGCCGTCGGAGAAGTCGTCGAAGAGATTGACAAGGCCATCAAGCAGCTTGACGTCTGCGAGCGGAGGTTGATCAATCAGAGCCAGGTGGATGCGGATGCGATTCGGAAGGTAACTGCGACGCTCAAGACGATTTGCACTGGCAACTTGACTTGGAGGTTTGTAACTTGCCCCTTTCTTTCTACCGTTGGGTGTTGTTGACGATGGGAACAGTCTTGAGTCGAAGCGGTATAACGTAGGTCCACCAAATGCTGATGGAAGCTTGAGGCAGGAGTTGAGGGCTCCCGATTCATGAGGTAGAGCGAAATGGGTGGAACGGAGACGGCAATGGACGATGATAATGGATGGTCATGAGTGCTAGAATAATAGCTGGGCGGCAACGCCGCGAGTAGAACGCCCGTAATGATGAATGATACCCCCAAGGGCCCTAACCTCATGGGTCAATTGACAAACGGCCAAGTACTGAGTTCCAACGCGTGGGGTGCGGGTTGATACCTTAAGTTGACAGCCCCCGGGCCCCAGTGCCAGCGGATTGGGAAAAGGGACCGAGGACCTTGAGAGACAGCGCGATAAGAAGCAAGTATCACGAAAAAGTAAGCAGAGGTTGATGAGATGCAGACGTTATTGGTGCCGTGCATGACAAGTCAAGTTTGCGTTGCAGCGCCCCGGGCTTGTGAACAAATACGGCGTACCAAGGCGACCGCGCCAGAAGGATTTTAGCCTCTTAGCAACTTGGGATTATTACACAGTACCTTACGGATACTCCGTACTTAACTACCTACACACGTGCTACAGTAGGCGAGTAGGTACAAAATGATTGTCTCACAGGGGGACGCAGGGGGGACGTTTGCCATTGGACGTTGGTCTGATGTCATGGCAATTTGCGAGCTCAGCCAAGCAAATGTCTCAATTGGGACCCGGGGGGGGGGCCCTCCCAAGCTTTCAGCTCCAGGGCAGCGTCTGGGGAAAAAGACCAAGCCCCCCCCCCCCCAAAGCTCTAGTCCCCGGGAAAACAGAAGCTCTACTTACCAACCCAGCACAAACACATATCATCCAGCCTCGTCCCCCATTTTGGAGCTTAAGCATCGACCTTGACTTCCAAACTTACCTCGCACCAACTTCAATTTCCAAACCGTACATACATATACACAGACAGACACAATGGCTTTCCGCTTCGCCGCAAGAAGACTCGCTCTCACCCGCCCCGCCGTGCCGGCGCGGGCCTTCCACTCGACGCCCGCCGCCTTCGTCAAGGTCGGCGACGCCGTGCCCGAGGTCGACCTCGTCGAGAACTCGCCCGGCAACAAGGTCAACCTCGCCGAGGAGTTTGGCAAGGTCACCAACGGCCTCATCATCGGCGTGCCCGCCGCCTTCTCGCCCGCGTGCTCCGCGAGCCACATCCCTTCGTACATCAACCACCCGAAGCTCAAGGAGGCTGGCTCCGTCTTTGTCGTATCCGTCAACGACCCCTTTGTGTAGGTTTTCATCCCCGAGACCTTCGAGGCACCCAAGGTTTTGAAGCATTGAGGCTTCGAAGCACGGAGGTATAGAAAGCAATTGATGCTGACGAACGAGTAGCATGAAGGCCTGGGGTGACCAACTGGACCCTGCCGCCCAGACTGGAGTATGTCGAGAACCCAATTCCCCTGTCCCCTTGCGTCATGGCTACGATTATTTGCTAACGCTGTGAAAGATCCGATTCCTGGGAGACCCGTCCGGCGAGTTCACTAGAGCCTTTGACGTCGACTTTGACAGCAAGGCCATCTTTGGCAACGACCGCAGCAAGCGCTATACCCTCGTGATCGAGAACGGCAAGGTCAAGGAGGCCCACGTCGAGCCCGATAACATTGGCACTGCTGGTAAGATTCTAAGCCATGGCATCTTGTGAGGACTAGCTGACATTCCATACAGTTTCCCTGGCCGACAAGGTCTTGGGTTGAGAAGATGTGGACCCGGAGTTGCGATGTTGCGAAGATTTACGAGAAGAAGAACCTCGAAGGCCACTTGGAATAGGTAGATGCGAGTTGAAAGAAGATGCAATGTGTATCGCGAATACCAGATTGAATTCAAAGACAAATCTAGGAAACGTGTCTCCGAATCCCAACCCCTGATGACAGCACCAAGAAGAAATGGTGTCTCGTGTACCGGCCTCGGGGACCCACAAAGAACTCGAACGTTACCTTGGCCTACTTAGAAAGCCATCGGATCATACACAATGCGAATAGGTACCCGAAGTGATTGACCAGGACGAGACTATCACATTTGTCAGGCCTACAAATGCCGAAGCTCAAGGGAACCCCGGAACTAAAGCTGGCCGAGCCGGGCATTTGTAGACACCCGACAACCGGCGACATCGGAGCCACTTGGTGCCGGGCGCTCCCGCCTGACAAATGCAGGGGCAAATGACGTGAGAATGCGACGTCGCTATCGATAAGAATGGATGACTAAGGGGAAAGCGAGGGGCAGTTCCGTCAGGTTCCGCACCTGCTTATCGAGCGACAAGCAGCGATTGTCTCGACCCTCGAGGGTGCCAGCGCTCAGGGCAGCTGTGTGAGTCGTCCACCGTCATGCAATGCATCAAGCCCAAAGCCAAAGACCACCCTCTCTCTTACTCCTGGATACCTACTGAGTCCTTCGTGGCCTACTCCGGACAGTCCTGGGCTGGCCTGGGACAAGGACCAGATTGTGAGGGCGCAAGGCCCATTGGGTCACCTGCCCGCCGTCGGACGCAGTCACTGGCCAGCGACCATTGCAATGACACTGGCACGGGGCTGCATCTGGCCCCCGGGGGTTTGAGGACTGCCCTCCTCCCCGGTGGTATTGGTGTCTGGGGAGGGTGAGGTGCGTTATCGAGTCGTGTGCCTGAAGCCCGTCTCTTTCATCAGTGCCTGATCACTTTGGCTAGGCTGTATTCGGAGACGAGATGTAAAGATAGCGCTGGAAGCGCAAAACAGAAGCATTTGCAACCTTGTGACCCTGTTCCCCCTCACTCCTTACCTTTAAGGAGGTAGGTACTTGAGCCTTTGAGGTACCCAAGCACCCAAGGTACTCACTCACATTACTCACATTGGGAGCGAGTTCCGCCATCATATCCCAAAGACCAGTGGAGATGCATATTGGAACGTAGTGCCGATGGTGCTAATCTTTAACGGATAGAGTCAGCTTGTTTAGTGACACTGATACTCAAGTTGCAAGGCTGTACGGAGTACTGTGATAGAGCGAGGTGAGAATACCCCCCTTGGCCCTGACCCTAGGTACCGGTAGTTCACAGTGCAAGCCCGCGCCAGCCCAGCGGGGAATATGTACCCCCGCCCTACCTAAGTGCCTGATAAGATACTTTGGATTTGCCGATGCCGCCCGCCGTTGATCAAGTCACTCGGCCTCTTCCCTCCAGTGCATTCTTCCAACCAACACCCGACGTCTGAGTTCCGTCATTGGACCCAATACTCGCTGGGAGGGAAGGAAGTCACTGCCTGCCTGGTCCTGACTGTCTGTGACTGCCAAACCAAACCGTCCGACTCCCTCCCGCTATCCACCCATTCATCCCACCCACATCCCACACGCTCAGTTGCTCACTCGTTCACCTTTCCAGCAACGCATTCCAATCCCACTTTCACATTCACATATCCACGCCCACACCCATCACCCATAGACCACCGCCCTCGCACTCTACCTTGCGGCATTCTACACCGCAGGCAACCGAGCCAGGTCCTTATTGCCGCCTACCGCTCTGACTGATCCCGCCCGACCTCGACAGCCCGCCGATTCTCCGAACAATCGCAGACTGCGCATTTGTACAACTTGCCCAGCTCTTCCCGGTCTTCGTGCCTGTTTGTTACCTCAGCCTTGGGCCATCGCAGCCTGCAACTTACCAATCTACCCCTCCACCCATCAAGTGACTCCCACACCGCGACCGGCGCCCAACAGGCATTCTTACTCCCCTCGTTGAATCTGATCCTCGCTCTCCATCTCCGTCACCCGTGTCTCACCTACCCATATAATTCTACCCGTTTCCGCCCCCTCGGAAACGCTTCCCTCGCCTCCATCTGCAGTCGGCACCATTCCTCCCACTACGCGGAAGAGAAAGGCCGCTGAGGCGACGATATCCTCCAATAACCAAGACACCGCGACAAAGAAGAGGATCGCCTCGGCTGCCGGACAGGACGCTCCCCCAACCCCCGTCACCACCGCGAGCAACGGCATGGATTCAGAGGAGGACTTCATGTCGGCTCCCTCGAGCGACGACGAGATCATGCAGGATGACAGCGGCGAGGACATGTCTGGCCCTGATGGTATGTATACACACCTCAACCCACCTCGAGACTCCCCGGCCTCAAAGCCACCGACTGACGTCTCTAATTCCTCCACAGATTTCGATGAAGATGACTTCGAAGACGAGCCCGAGGACCTGGGCATGATCAAGGACTCCGACAGCCGAAAGAAAGTGGCCTACGACATCTCATTCAAGGTCTACGAACCAAAGGATATCCAACGTCAACAGGATGACATGATCGACGAGGTCAACATGATCCTGAACATCCGCAAGGAAGACGTTGCGATATTGTTGCGGCACTTTAGGTGGAACAAAGAACGTTTGATCGAGGACTACATGGACGCTCCCAACAAGGTCTTGGAGGCTGCCGGCCTTGGCTCGAATGTGGCCGGCCCGCCCAAGCTTGAAGCCATTCCGGGCTTCATGTGCGACATCTGCTGCGAAGATGAGGAGGGCCTCCAGACCTTCTCTCTCAAATGCGGCCACCGATACTGCGTGGACTGCTACCGCCAATACCTGACTCAAAAGATTCGCGAAGAAGGTGAGGCGGCTCGCATCCAGTGTCCGGCCGAGGGCTGCGGCCGCATCATCGATTCAAAGTCCTTGGATCTGCTCGTTGCATCCGATCTCAACTCCCGATACCATGAGCTGCTTAACCGGACGTACGTGGAGGACAAGGAAATCTTGAAGTGGTGCCCTGCACCAGACTGCCCCAACGCCGTGGAATGCGCCATTAAGAAGAAGGACTTGGACAGAATTGTTCCCACAGTAGCATGCGGCTGCGGCCATCGCTTCTGCTTTGGCTGCATTTTAACTGATCACCAGCCTGCTCCCTGTGAGCTTGTCAAGCGATGGTTGAAGAAGTGTGCAGACGATTCGGAGACTGCTAACTGGATATCGGCTAATACCAAGGAGTGCCCCAAGTGCAACTCGACAATCGAGAAGAACGGCGGCTGCAACCACATGACATGCCGAAAGTGCAAGCACGAGTTCTGCTGGATGTGCATGGGCTTGTGGTCGGAGCACGGCACGAGCTGGTACAACTGCAATCGCTTCGAGGAAAAGAGTGGTACAGATGCGCGTGATGCCCAGGCTAAGTCCCGCATATCGCTAGAGCGCTACCTGCATTACTACAACCGATATGCCAACCACGAACAGTCTGCCAAGCTCGACAAGGACATCTACCATAAGACGGAGAAGAAGATGGTGCAGCTTCAGACAGCCTCAGGCATGTCTTGGATTGAGGTTCAGTACCTAAACCAGGCCTCACAAACGCTGCAAACTTGCCGGCAGACTCTTAAGTGGACCTACGCCTTCGCATTTTATCTGGCGCGCAACAACTTGACCGAGATCTTCGAAGATAACCAAAAGGATCTCGAGATGGCCGTCGAGGCCTTGTCAGAGATGTTTGAGAAGCCCGTCCAGGAGCTTTGTGACAAGAAGTTAAAGGTCGACATAATGGACAAGACGTCGTACTGCAAGAAGCGACGGATCATCTTGCTTGAAGACACTGCAGACAACCTGGCCAATGGTATGTTAGCAATATGAACCAGATCGAATAATCGCTGACCATATTAGGACGTTGGACCTTTAATGTAGATCTTCACGGACCTTCGCCAGCCGGGGCTACAAGCAGTCGTCGTCAGTAGATCATGAATGATGCGGGCCCCGTGGCCCCGGTGAGACGCGATTTCGATGAAGGTAGCGACAGACTACTGAACCTGCCACCCGGTTTTCTACTAGGGATGAGACAACGCGGTGGCTATCAAGGCACAGAAGGAAGATGATTCGCATGATTTGTGAGTCTCGCGAATCGCTTTTTGTGCTTGGTATGGATGTATACAGAAGCATGGACTCGGACGAGGAGAGCCACGCGAAAGATTTGTGGCGTGGGTTTTGAGACGGAAACTTGGAAGAGGAAGGCATTAGACGCAGAAACAGAAACAAACATGGGGAGGATTGGCTGCTGCCATCATGGTCATCACTTGAGTGTTCCCATCTTGACAGAGGTGGGCCTTTTTTCCTTCTCTCTCTTTCATCTTAAAGGGAAGGCAAGGGATGACTGCTGCGCATCATGAGCATTGTGTACGGTATAGGTCTTCAGGTTACATGCCCCCCAGTGTCCCAGGCACGGCGGGCTAGGGTTCATGCATCACGCCACTATTTTACTTATTCTCGTTGGGCAAAGTTATGTCCTGGTCCCCTTTTCATCGCGGATTCTGTGTTTTCCAGTGAGACCTGTGGAAATTCGTGAAATCTTGCAACCCGTCCTATCCTTCTTCCTCGAAACGGCACTGCAAAGTGGTTTGTGAGCGCTCACAGCGAAATGGGCCGCATCACTTGACCGACCTACCCTGCATGTGCTCTTGGTTCAAGGTGGGATTGGGGGCTGGATGGCTCCCGGTCCGGGCCGAGATTGCATGTTTATTCAAGTCACTCAATATACGGATACACACTCAGTCCAACCCCCATAGGGGCAAGTCGTTGTAGTTCGAAACTTGAACAACAGTCCTGCAAGCTGGTCACGCATAGTAGAATACGTGTTTCATCAAAAAAGGTCTTCCGGCCATGATATATTCCCATCATCACTAACTAAAAACCCCGTCGTCTCCTGTGATTATAATGCATACAAGAAACCCTGGCTATCCCATTGCTCTTGATTTGCCTTGGCATGCTTCTCATGTTCTCTGGTCCCTTGAAAACCCCTATCATGCCAATTGATAACGCATGATGTATGCTTTCCTGCCCGTACGCCTCGGTGACCTTGTCTTGAATCACCACTCGCACATACCGCCCTCGCTGTGAATCAGGAGGGAGGGATAACATGGTCGGGTGCTCAAGAGAATAGAGCTATCTCTGCCCTGTGGAGGTCGCGCTCCTTGCGCCTCAATGATGCGTGTCTCGTAACGCCTGCTTCCAAAGTGGATAGAACAAAATAATGACGCAACGTTTGTGGGTATCGCATCGACATGTGGTTAATAATTGCTTCAGTTGTATACAAACCGAGAAAGGTTCAGTGCCTTGGGCATGGAGTCGCTGTCGTCCTTCTGGCCAAGGTCTTGGGCAAAGACATCGTCATCAATCTCGCCGTCGCTATCGGGGATGATCTGGTCTTCGCTTCCGCACGGCGCGTTCAGAGCCTCGACCTCGGCCAGGTCGACCTTGGGCAGAGGCACAAACGACGGGTTGACGGGGAACGACTTGAGTAGCCGGCTCTTCCGGGGACTGCGCTTGGGGCTCCGCTGTATCGTGCTCTTAGTTGGAGACAGGGGCCGCCGGGCAGGCGGGTTTTTGCGCTGGAGGGCACGGGCTCCCATCCGCTGCAGCGGAGTGAGAAGCGGAGTGGTCTTGGACGGACCGGCTGCGATTGAGCTAGCCGAAAAGGTGATTGAGGATGCCGCAGTGGAGGGGGCAGCGGTCGAGGGCGTGAAAGTCGATGATTGCTGAGAGGCAATGGTGCTCGGCGTGTCAGGCTGGCTTGAGGCGGCAGGGCTGGGCTGAGAACTGAAGGCAAATCGCTGTAGTGACGTCCGTCTCATGTTCTTCTCTGGGAGTGACGAGACAGGCTTGGTCGGCTCGACGTCATCTACTTCGGACAGATCAGTCTGCGGCGTAGCTGATATCTCCCCGTCCTTGCTGAACTGGCTGTCCGTGCCGGCAGTTGCCTCCGTTCCCGTATTCGTGTTCTGACTCTCTTCATAGACCGATATTGACTTCGGCTTCGGGGCATGCCATCCGTCAATGTCGGGGAGATTGAGCAGTGCCTCGTCGATGGAGTCGTCTGAGAACAGGAAACTGTCCTTGCTCTTGCTGTTCGAGCTTCCATTCTTTGAGAAGAACTTGCTCTTTTGGGATTCCTCAGTTTTCGTTTCGGTGATGTCCGTGTCTGCACAGAGACGGACCTTCTTGGGAGGCCGTTGGGAACCGCCTTTCATTAGCGCATCAATATCGACCAGGGTATTTGTCGCATCACCAACGGTGATACGACGGGTTCCGTCAGAGCTGCTAGGAGCATTTTGTTGCAGTAAGTCCTGGATGGGCTCGGTCCGTCGTCGTAAGAGGCGAGGGGAGGTATTTGAACGGGCGGTTCGTGTGGGGCGAGAGCTGACGGCTGGCTGTGATGATGAAGTGTTGCCGACATATGGCCTAGGGAGGGGGAAGACTCTGGGAACAAGGCCGTTGTGAGTAAGAGCGGCAACTCTCTCTGGATCGACAGAGAAACAATTGCGGTCCATTTCACCCATCGGAATACGCTGGTGTCCTTTGAAGTACGAATCAATCGGCTTAGTCGGTTGTCGCGTGCGGGTCGACGATGAAGAGGCAGCCGCGAGGGCCTCGGCGGACTGGGAATGTCTTCTCTTCGTATCGGTCTTGGAGCCAGGCATGGGCGCGGGAATGATGGTCTCCTTGGTGATAGGGTTGACGTCTCCGAGTGCAATTGCCGTAGCCATGGCCGGCTCGACGTAGCCGCCAATGAACGGCATATCCTCCACACCCTTGCCTTCCTCAGGTTCTGTCAAACACACCAGCCGCTTCGTTGTCGGACAGTAGACTCTTTGGTAAATGAATGTGAGCTCCGCCTGAGCAAACCGAGACATGTAATTCTCTGATACACGGTGCTTTCCCTCGAACTGGATCATCCGGACCAGTCGATCAACAGTCTTGTACTTGCGAATCATCCGGTACGCCGTCTTGAGACCCATGTTGTTGATGCCCTCAAGATAGTCGCACCCGCTGAGAATAGCCATGCGGCGGAAGTCGTCATCTGTCCACCCCGTAAGAGAAACCTCCCGAACCGCACAGAAATCCCTCCGGTTGATCTCGATGCAATTGCCGTACTGGTCGAGTTTCGTGAGGAGCCGCTTGCAACCAAAAACCAAGAGATCGGAGTCCTCCGACAGAATGCCGTTGATGAGGCCTTGGCGTTCGAGGTAAACGAGCTGAGAATCAGCCTCGTACGGTGCAACGACGTACGAAATGTTCATCTTCTTCAATTCGTCAATGAGGTTGCGAGCCATTTCTGGTGTGACATCAATGGCCTTCTGAAACTCGAGGGCTGCTTGTGACGACTTTCCGGCTCTGAGGAGCTCCATGGCAGCCTTCTTGCTCTCTTCACGGCGTTTAGCGCGGGATCCCTCGGTGGCGGCTTTGCTGGGAAGGAAGTCGCCATCAAAGACCATGTATGGTGTGACGCCGAAATGCTTGAGCATCCTCACCCGGTGCATGGCGAAGTCGACATATCTGATGCAGTGTTAGGCATACAAACCTACGGATGCGTAGCTTAGAAAGCGCCAATGCACAGCGCATAGCTAGGGCCACTTACTTGCGGGTGGGGTTGCCCTTGGCCAGGTCAACAGCGCAGGCAATGGCTCCTCTGTGAAGCCATCCGTAGGCGTCGACGCCGAGCGTCTCACCGGCGAACTTCTTCAACTCGGTTGGCTTGTGGATGGACTTGAGCAACGGAAGAAGACCTAGGGGGGTACGGTGAGCAAGGACGTTCGCCAGATCCGAAGCAAGGGAGAAAAGGTACCTGAGACGCCCATTGTTGATCGCAAGAAGGGTTCGCAGGTCCTCAAAAGTTGGCAAGTCTGGATTTCCTGAGGGTTGCCTAGGTCTCTCTCCGATCCGATTCACAGGCCAGAAGCCGGAGTCGACAATGGGAAATCAATACTCAGTCCATTCGTTGAGAGAGAATGACGCGTAGGGAAGAAGTTCGCGTAAGGATTGAAGGTCGGAACGCCAAGTCAGGTGATCCGGGGGCAAATGTAAACAAAGCACACGGGCGCTACTTTGACGATTCCGGAAATGCCACTTGTTCGGAGTAAACGCGACGACAGGTTGGAGACTGGAAGAAGGGGAAAGGCGAGGTCGACAGAAATTCACCACGATGCTGAGGTCGGAGGAGCGAAAGTGTGCAGGTGGAGTGAATCACGGCTTCCTGCACGGGAAAGGGACGGTGGAATCGCCCGGGGGGACCTGGGCCTGCTATATTGGAACGCGGGTGGACACACCGCACCGCGTCAGGCTCATATCGCGACTCTTTTTTCTCTCTTTCTTTCTCTGTCTTTTTTTTTTTTCCTTAATTAACGCAGGGACCAGGCCGAGCGAATGCCCAAAGAGGATTAGCGTGCTGATACTAGGATATCCAGAGCAACGTCACTCTGTCCGGATTTGGCTGACGACCATTGGACCCTTCTTCGGTTAAGTGGAGACGTCTTCTTTTTATTCCATCCAAGGTCTGTGCACAGGTACGAAGGTACAAACGCACTGCAGAGATGGATGGGATTTTCATCGGGTGGGGCACAGACCGACTTTCACAGACCAGCGCCATCGCAAATCTCATTCTGCGTCTCGTTCACTCTTGAGCATCTTCGATCTCAGGTATCAATCTCATTGAGGCTTGATTTTGTCTCATTCGCTCTGTCGCTCCCACACCGCCAAGATGCCCTCAACATTAGAAAAGGCTCGCAAGCACATTGCGAAGAAGCGCAACGGTCATGACCTGGCCCTGCATGAGTTTTCAAGAGATTCCAAGCGTCTTCACAAGGCCTCCATCAGAGACCAAAGGCTGGGAAAGCTCCATGCTTCAAAGAACAAGAAGGAGCAGCCCATGAGTAAGACTACCAAGTTCAAGAATAACCAGACTCACAAGAACTGACCGAGTGCCCCTAGTTGACCGTGCCTCCTACTTCCAAAAGGCTATCCAGGAGAAGGGATCTGAACCCCTCGACTTGGCCGCCGTTCAGGAGCTCATCAGCAAGTACGTCTCAGCAGCCGAACAGCCCACATACGTTGAGCAAACACTGACACATTAGCAGATTTGTGCACCAGTACGATGAGGAGTACGCCGAGGTCAAGAAGACCCGCCGTGCCGGCCGCCCTGCAAATGCTAAGGAAGACTTGCTCAAGCTGAAAATCTCCAACCTGGAGGAAGAGTACAAGATCGGGTTCTGTTAGTCGTCATTCATCACAGTACCTTTCTTCCACGACATGCTAACATCTTTGTAGACCTCCCTGACCTCACAAATTCGTCCAACGTCACCCTCCTCGACCGCTGGGAGGGCTCATGGGCTTACCTCACCTCCGTCGCCTGGGTCAAGATCACGAGCGACGGAAACGTCAGAACCTCCAGCTTCCCTCCCAGGGTTTAGTTTCTGGCATCTTGCAACATGACCATGGCGTTCTTTCGGCGTTTGGGGGAAAACCACGAGGCCACCAGCAAGTCGGGCCTCGAATCGAAGCAGCATAACCGATTTCACTGGGACAAAGGATGGAGGATCAATCGTCGGCTCCAGTTTCTGTATACGGCTCCTCGTACGGTGCCACCATGGAAGGGGCGGGCTTTTCGCGGGAAATGTCTCAGACAGGTTCAGGCACTGTATCGGACTTCTTGTTTGGCCAACAGCCAAAATTTCTCCGGTTACATACAGCAACCGTGCATGTTGAGGTGCGAAAGGCCCCAAGGCTCGGATCACAGCAGACCACGCATGGTCAAATCACTGGCTCGTCTAGCGTCTAAGCCATGATTCTCCTGTGCTCGTTGCACAAAAGGGGGTTTCGGCAAGGGGGCCAAACGTGGAGAGCATGTGGCTTCATGGGAAGCCGCGCGCTGCACCGATGGCCCTTCGAGGGAGGGAGAATTAAAAGGCGGGCGGCAGAGACCGAAGCAGCGTCATATAAAGAGCCAACGTGGCGGTTTTGCATGAAACAAACAGTTACTTCTGAAACTTTGGGTGAGGCTCGGCAAACGCTTCCTAAGAAACCTTGCAGCCTAGCATAATATGATCCTCTTTGTCCCAGATCGCCCAGCCATCGCGCTTCCATGTTGCACGCCGGTAGTCACGATGATGCCGGGAACCGAAACGTCCTGACCATACAGCTCCATACATCCTTTCCACAGTGTCGTCTGCCCGTGCCCAGACCGGCCAAGCAAGTCCAGATCATGCATCCCATCTGCCCCAAGCCTCGTGGACCAGGCCACTGGGACCACATTGTCAACGAATCGTTATTCTGCTTCATACTTAAACCCAGCTTTTCCCTCGAGTTCCAAGTGCTACATTACACTGCCGGTCTACTCGTCTTGCGAGGCTTTCGACGGTTACACGACTGGAAGTCTTGTGGTCGCGAATGGTCCTATCTACTCTACTCGATCCAAGTCTCTTCCCACAAATGGCGAGATGCTGTGAACAGAACAGCGTCTGAGAATGTCGCAGGACAGAGGATCGTGATGCTGGTGGGCGCTTAACATGAGAATGGCATCATGCTGTTGGTACAACGATGGCGGCTGAGGTCTTGATGCGCTGGATCTCGGGGAGTATTCCCGTCACGCAGGATCATAGGGTCATCTCTAATGGTATATCATTCAGCCAGATCTCCGGGTCTTCGGGCATCAGATCTACTGTCATTGTCATGTATCAGCGGATAATTTCTACAATCTAGACTGGCCAACTATCTCGCCAATCTTCCTAGCTGTGCCTACCATTCTCCATACTTTCGATAACTCGGCCGTCTTCAGATTCCACATCTCTGCAATGTAAGCCGTGTTTGAGCATCTGAGGCACTTGGAGACATGCTTATATAGACATCTAGCAAACCATGTGCAAATACATCACACACCTCCGCGTCTGCAATGTGTGCAGTCACCAAGATACGGTCCTCATATCTGAGAGGCCCTGCTTCCTGGCCAAGAAGAACGGCGTCTTTGGAAGCTGTGATGCCGGCATAGGTAGCGACCGTAGCTGTACCCGAAATCACTGCTGGAAGTGTAAAGAGAGAGTCCGTCGCATCCCTCGGCCACAACCAGTGTCACGGCACATCAGTCTTCACTAGAGAAGGAAAAGGAAAGGAAAAAGTGGTGTAGGCTGGATGAGAAAAGAGTCAATTATAGAGCCATTTCAGGGCAAGCTAGTTGCGGGTCAGCTAGGATTATTTCCTAACATTGTCTTGAAAACTGTTGTTGTTTGTTACAGTCTACGAAGCACGGTTTCTGGGACACACGCCCACGGCTTCATAGAGCGAAGTGTGAGTGTCGAGAGGTCTGGATCCTGTTGCTACCTATTGAAGCTTAGCTCAGACATCGTATCGATAACCTCGAATTCAAGGTGCTTCTGTGGATCGATTCCAGATGCAGTGGAGTTATGGTCTGGTGCCTGAATTCGAGAAGTGTTTGCAGAATGGACCCTGCCGTCAAGTCCCTGGCGGTCCCGTTCCACCTAGCGCCGGCGTAACCCGGCCAAAGGTTTCGCCGATGTGTGATCTGATGTCAAAAATTTTGGGAGCTCTCCAAAGCTTTTTTGCGACCTGGCAGATCCAGCCAATCCACCTCCACTCTCTTCCAACAAGCTTTTGCACCTCTCCTTGCCTCAACCATCACCACCGCTCAACACAATACCTCCAGTCACCGCCCATCATGCTTTCCATCAGATCCGTCGCGCGCTCCGCGCCCAGAGCTTTCACTCGCCTTTCCCTCAGACAGACCGCGCGCCCCAGTGCCTTCATCAAGGCCTCATCATGGAGCGCCGCCGTCCAGACCCAGCGCGCATCAGCCTTCTCCAGCTCCGCCTTCAGAAAATCTGCCGCCGGCGAGACCGACTCCGAGCTCGTCGCCAAGCTCGAGAGCGAGCTCCAGTTCGAGGAGGAGGTGAAGCAGAACGAGCAGCTGCCCGCGAGCGTCAAGGACTTCATCGACAACAGCCCCTTTGAGCTACACGACACCCCTGGCAAGGAGGAGGTCAAGCTTACCCGCAAGTTTGGCGAGGAGAAGTGAGTTCTGCAGCCCAGCAGCGTCTAGCAGCCAACATTGCGAAATGGGAAACTAACAAAAAAACCTCAGGATCACAATCACTTTCTCCATCGCCGACCTCGCCAACTACGACCCCGAGATGTACGACCAGGACCGCGCCCTCGAGGACGAGGAGTTCGAGTCCGACGTCCAGAACCCCAACAAGCAGTCCGGCGTCCAGTCCTCCGGCGGCGCCCGCTCCGCCAACGCCGAGGAGCAGCTCGAGGAGGAGGAGGAGGGCGACATTGACGAGGCCGCTCCCCCTTGCCGCCTGAGCATCGTCGTCGAGAAGCCCGGCAAGACCCCCGGCGCCCTCAACATCGACGCTACCGCCCAGGACGGCGCCATCGTCGTCGACAACATGTTCTACTACGAGGACGGCAAGCTCGCCCACGCCTCCAACGCCGAGGTCGCCCACGCCCGCAGCGACATCTACCCCGGCCCCCCCTTTGGCAGCCTCGACGAGGACCTGCAGATCCTGATGGAGCGCTACCTCGAGGAGCGCGGCATCACCCAGGCCCTGGCCGTCTTTGCGCCCGACTACATTGACGTCAAGGAGCAGCGCGAGTACGTCCGGTGGTTGAACAACGTCAAGGGCTTCGTCAACGCCTAAATTCAAGGTGAATGATGGTTTTTGTTTGGAAGGGAAAAAATATGTTGGGAAGAAGACTCAATGATGTATGATGGCGCGGCGCGCGTGCAAAGTGTAAGATGATACGAAAAAACCACCCCTGGAAAAGGACCTTCTTGGCTTGTTCTTATAGCTATTTTCCACTCTACGATGTACTATATCAAACCCATGGCCTGGCTGGCATGCCGGTTGCCCACATAAGAAACTGTAATATCACAAAATTTCCCTGCACACATTGACCGCATTGGCCCCACTGTCCTTCTCCAAGCATCATTCGATACTTACTTGTTGACGGGCTATGTCATCAAGGTTCATTTTAACCAGGTGGGAGATGAACATCAACATGGACTCTACCTTGGCCGGTCGAAAAGAAAGAAGACAGGAAAACAAAAAACATACAACACCAGGTATTTGCTGATCGTCACCGACTCAACTACTAATCTGGCTCTCACTGGTATCTTCTAGATGGAGCGCATGCCGACTTTGTCATGATGGTTTTGACAACCTGAACTGGAGGTCATCGCTCCTCGTTACGGACGAGACGGAACATAGAACACCCGTTTCCTTCCGTCTTAGACGGTGGCGATCGACCATAAGCGCGAGGCTGCCGTTAAGTTTACAAGATACACTCTAGGGGTATCATTATACTATCTTAAAGTTCCCTGTAGCTACAAGTTAAGTCTAGTCCCTCCGATCAAAAATGTTTGGCGAAGCGCAGGCTTAATGCCTAAGTGCTTAGGCTTTCAAATTTTATAACTAACTATATAGCAAGGTTCTATCCCATCGAGTGCTGCTTGACGCCATTTTTGCCAAGGGCGGGGTAGAGCCAATCAGGGGTTGTGAATCTATTGAGTTAACCAATAGGGTTATAGTACCTAAATGGCCTATATATTCTGCGTATGCCAGAGGTACCAACAATCCCCTTGAATACATAAGGGTACGTTACAGTCTAAGCAGCCCTTCCTCGTGTATCTACGCGGTTGTGTGACGCTATTCCTAGATATTTTACCTAGCGTCTGGCGGGCCCTTAATGCCTTTGTATTACTGCAATAAGAACAAGGGGAATTAACCTTCCGTGACCCCTTTGTATAGTGTTCCCATGGGATAGAGGTATTCCTTTTATCTACAGCCTGTCTAGGCCGTGACCTCTACCGCCCTTGTGCTAATGGTCCAAACTGCTAGATAAGCTATGCTACAAGCAGTTGCCACCAGCGGTAGTGGGTCTTTACCTTCTGCCACCTAGGGCTGCCCCAGAGCTATAATAAAAAGCTATTCACAACTACCACTTCTAGCAGGAAATTCCAGGCAATTGACTGCCAGCCCCCTCGGCGAATAGGGTGGTTGTATTGATAATAGGACCTCATCTGGTCACTCACATCAACCCCATTCATCTTGTGATTGTACTCATCGATTGCCCTAGGAACTGGAAGGTCCTTACGGACGTCTGGGCCAAAGACTTGCCGGGCAGCCTTCTTAGCAGCGGTATCCCCAGCTGGGCGGCGGCGGCTGCGAATAACTTCCTGGCCATTCTGGAAGACAGTTGACAGGAAGAGTACGAGGGCATTATCCTTCCAGGTGAATTGGTTGACCTATTTCCTAGTTAGCTGGGTAGGGTAGGGCTGGGCGGGCTAGCAGCTTACCTCCCCATCTAAAGTCGGGATATAGTGTATTTCCCCCCAGGGGATACCCCGTCCTTCAGTCTCTTTCTCAATAACTAGGATCTTATCTATCCCACTATCCTTCCGGCAGGTACCAGAAGCTCCAACCTCTTGATTCCGTAGGGTATGAAAGAGACGTACAGAGGCGAAGAGATTGTCAAGAAATACGTGGTAGGTTGCAGCTGGAAGTAGTGAAATAAGCGTAGTTACTACCTGCTGCGTTGGTGTCAACAGAGCCAGCTTTCCAGCAGCTGGCCTAGCCGGCCGGGCCTGGGGGACTAATGCGTATGGGCCCTTTCCATGGACGTGCCACAGCCACCGTATACAGTAGCCAGACTGGGCAAGGATCCAGATCTTATAGCCAGTTGGGATAGGTTTCGTTGGAATCGTTGTCGTCTCAAGAGATCGACCTGTAAATCGGACCATAGCCTCGTCAACTGTAAGGTCTGAACCAGGTATATAAAGGGAATCCCCAGTCTCTTGGATGTGGGCTGACCACTGGTTAACTTTTATACATCTGGCATTTGATCCTGGGCTCGGCCCTGGCCCCGGCCCCGGCCCCGGCTAGGCTGGCTGGGCCGGCTGGGCTGGAATTCCGCAGTGTTGAATATCCGTAGTCGCTGGAGTAGCAGTTGGAAACGGTCCCGGGACATAAACCGTGTAAATAGGTGGATAGGATCCTCCGTTTGCTGCTGGGTTGACCAATAGGTTGATAATCTAGACTCCCTATGAATCCCTATATAAAATAGGATCCCTAGGAAGAGGTATATCTCGTCTGCTGAAGTCTGCCGCCATGAATTCGCTCTAGACGTTCTAGCTCTAGGGCCCTCCTTAGACAACGGCGCTGTATTCGTCCACTGGGCCCACTGCTCCACGAGGCTCTGCGGGACGTATTGGAGGAACAGTTCAAGCGGGCTTGCCGGCAGCCCCCGTATCTCTTGGGCCCGGGCCGGCACGTCAAGGGCCGGAAGGAGCCCGGAGGACCATGCTGAGTAGCCGGAGGTTCGTGGGGCCGGACTGTAGCTGCGTCACAGCGCTCGGGCGTACAGTCTGTATTACAGGCAGCAGTAAGGTCTTCTGGGTGGACCTCAACTACTATACAGCTGCGTACAGAAGTAATAGAAGCATTAGATGCAATAGAGGTATCAGAATCACCAGAAGACATCACAGGATCAATCCAAATGGTAGTAATAGTGGTGATAATACGCAAAAGAGCATAGGAATGAGTGACGTATCGTCAAGTACCCCTTTAAATGCGGGGTAATAAAGTGTAAATAATGGGTACTTGGAGGTCTTGGCAAAATGAGGTGAGTTAGCACCCGATGGGATAACCGTGGCTTCAAACAGCATCTGACCGACCATGCTGTCCGTCCGATATCGAGATCACGGAAGCCATAATTGAAAGACGCGAGAGCGGCCCCCATAGTCCCGAAGCGGTCACTCTTGCCGCCCAACTTCTCCGACGGCGCGTTCGAGACTTTCCAATAAAGCGGCCTCAGACCAAGGGCAAGGAAAATATTGGGCGAAACATCCTCCCAATGCTTTCAGTCCCTCCACTTTTTACCACGCCTCGTTTGATCGGTCCTCACCCACACGACTTCACTTAACCACGTCACAGCGCCAACGCAAAGATGCGGACGAAGAAGAGTAGTCCCCATTAGCTCCAAGATTGAGGATAAAAGTCTAATGATCAGATACAAATGAAAGAATATGGTAGGCCAAGCTCCAAGGCAAGTCGGTAGCCCAGATATTTTGTCTCGTCCTATGTATCAAACAATGATCTGGTCGCCTTGCCGGTCAGAAGTAGTGTCATGACTTCCTTGTCGAACTCTCTAGCGATAGTAGATACTACCTCCTCGGTGATGGTGATCTCGTCGCCTCGCCGATCGAGAAGTAGCGTCATGACTTCCTTGCCATTACGTCTATTTCCTGCTGCGGCCTTGACTACCTCCTCGGTGATGGTGATCTGGTCGCCTCGCCGATCGAGAAGTAGCGTCATGACTTCCTTGCCATTACGTCTATTTCCTGCTGCGGCCTTGACTACCTCCTCGGTGATGGTGATCTGGTCGCCTTGCCGGTCAGAAGTAGTGTCATGACTTCCTTGTCGAACTCTCTAGCGATAGTAGATACTACCTCCTCAGTGATGGCGATCTGGTCGCCTCGCCGATCGAGGAGTAGTCTCATGACTTCGCTGCTATTACGTCCATTCCCTGCTGCAGCCTTGACTACCTCCTCTGTGATGGCGATCTGGTCGCCTCGTCGATCGAGAAGCAGTGTCATGACTTCGCTGCCGTTCCATTCGTTTCTTGCCGCGGCCACTAATGCTTCCGTCGATACTTTCCCTCCAAAATCTAGAAGTAGAGGAATAACCCCTAGATACCTTGATTCAGCAGCTTCCTCCATTGGTGTCTTGTCGTTAGCATCCTTTTGATTAACCAGTTCCAAAATCCTTTCTGCACCAAAGCCTTCCTGTTCTGACCGAAAGACATATTCCGCTAGAGCAGGAATACCCCACTTTGCAGCCATGTGTAGAACTGAAGTTTGTGTTGCGATCTCTTCATAGGGAAAACGTGCAGAATATTCTTTGAGCCAATTTTGAAGACAGTTGGATTTAACCTTGAAGAAGCCTGCCTGTGGTTCTTTGACACCAAATTCTGACTTTGCCATGCGTCCATGATTCGGCCATTGTTCAATTGCGTAGCCACAGAGGGGACTACTCGCACCTTTTACATCATATGACTCCTTGATCAGATCCACGCAGCGGTAAGCAAGATCAGCGTGTGCCTTAAGCTCGTTGATGAAATGGCCGGCTTCGGGCCCAGTCAGAAAGTCCTTCACCGACTGATGTAGTAAAAGTACCTTTTCTTCTTGAATGACCACCATAAGCCGACAGGATTCAATTTGATCTCGGGTGAATTGAATCCGGGTCTGCTCGTCGTCCTCGTCCAAGTGGAGTTCGCAAACTTCAGAGAGCTCTAGTACACTCAGTGGCCGTACACACACTGCAACACAGTTCAGGATACGCCAAAGTCCGTCGGCTCCGGTGTTCTGTTCTAGAGCTGTGTCAAGAAGCCGTTTGTAAAGGTAGGTAAGTCCTCTGGGTATACTTTCCAGGACTCGGACGGCATCCTTTGAAGGGACATCCTCAAGCTCCTTACAGGCTAAGCCAACCCAGAGGAAAGTACCGTCAGCTTTCTCTGTCAAAATGTTGCTGACCTGTGTGCGGACTTTATCGGTGTAGTATCTGGTTGTGGCCAGGTCTGTCGTTCTTTCCTCGATGCATCGTTCAATGTCTTGCTTTGCCTCGGGGTAGGAAGCTAAGTTCTTGTTGGCAAATCCTCCCATATGTTGGCGTATCTCGGGATACGGCCGACTGGTCACCAGTATACAGACGTTGGGAGGCACATGCTGGCTCTGAAACGTTTCTTTGAGCTGTTGCAACAGGGTGACTTGAGATTCCCGATCGCATTCATCCAGCGCATCAATAACGCAGTATTTTGCGCCGGTGTGTTTGTCCGCCGCCACATTCATAAAGATGGTCCAAAGAGCGTCGAATGAGGTGAACAACGCCACTCCACGCTCGTTATACTTTGGTAAAACATGATCGAGAAGCTGTGGGTGCTGCTGGACGAGTTGGAGGAGAAGCCCCCTAATGATTGACGTGGCCGTTTTTCGCGTGTCGAACCCAGAGTCGCAGAAAAAGTATGCTAACGTTTTCCGATCTGTAGTAGCAAATGCTTTCGACAGCTCCTCAGTAAGGAAGATAGCTGTAGTAGATTTCCCTGTTCCCGGGTACCCATGTAGCCAAAGAACCTGGGTCGAGGGGCCCTCCGAGCGGCCTATCCGATCGGAACCAAGCCAGGTGGTAAGCTCTTCGGTGCCGAGGATCCACTCGCAGGTGCCGGAAGCACGATCTCCCTTCTTGCGTTTCAGCGCCTTTCTGTCGTCTAGCGGGTCGGTCAAGAATAGGTCACGTAGACAGGCACCGGCGTCGGGCTTCTGCTTCAGTGCGTCTTAGCAACCTGTCAGTTGTGCTCGGTGATCACAGATGAGGGTGGGGATTTACAAGAATTGTCAGTAATAACATCCCTTGCTAGGAAATGATTAGAAGAAATCATAAAGCCAGGAGTGGGAGCACTCACGATCTTGCCGACGCGTGACGACGTCGTTCGCATTGGCGCACATGTCGACGATTACCGCTGATACGCTCAGGAATCCGCGGTCTGTTGGGCCGCGGTACTTATTGATCTTCAAGTGATCCGCTTGAAGGGCGTATCGGTCGAGGCCTGGGATGCAAGCTGATGCCTCTTCCACGATCTGATGAAGTGAGATTAGACTCGAAAGGTTGACTGGATCTCACATACCATTCCCCTCGCCACTCTGCTCAGTCCAAACTTGCTCCCATAATCCGTTTCGAAGAGTTCGAAGAAACAGGAGACGGGCGTTGACAGAGTGTTTCGAAGCCGGCAGAAGCGATGCAGTCTATCCTGCAGCTCAGGCCCGTCGAAGCCGAGTTCTCTGGTGATACCGCGGTGCGAGCCTGCCGATCCCATCAGCTGCGCGAGAGAATCGAGGAAGGGTTGCCACTTCGTGCCCCGAAGAGGTGAGCCTAACAGCACAACGCCTGCCGTCGCCTCTGACAAGTACCTATACTCTACCCTGTCGCTAGCATATAGTAGGGCCTCAATTCTCGCAGTCAGCTAGGCACATGGCACGCACGATCGTATAGGCTCACATGGACGATGACGTTACCACCTAGGCTATGGCCGACGAAGACGATTGGACGCTTGGAGGTGCCGCGGCGGAATGAGTGCAAAGCGTGTATGAACTCCTCGCCGCAGAGCTGAAGGCGCGTTTTTGGGGCGTCCACATGCCACCGCGACTCGTAGTTATACACCATGATCCGCGACTTGGGTACCTTAGCGGGCAGCATGTCGGAGTCTTGAAGCCAGTCGATGCGCTCTCCGCCACCCTTCCAAGTCCAGGACCAGTCGACATTTGAACCGAGGCCGTGCACGGCGATGATGCTGCCTTGGTTAGTTTGGCGTTCCCAAAGCTGCATTGGAACACTTACTCAACCTCAGCATCGTCATTCGTAGGATCGGTCGGCCTAGGGTAGAGAACGCCAAAGGGCGGTCGAACACGGTTCTGTGCGGCATTAGTATGGTACTACAGAGCAGTCGGGTCGACAAACCTTCTCTGCCTCTGGCGGCAATGTACTAGTGGAGCGCTTCTGTACAGCTTTGGCCTGTAGTCGCGAGGTTGAGGATTGCCTGGTCTTCATCGACATCCACAAGTACACGCCAGCAGCAATGGAAACCAGAAAGAGGAATATATCAGATTGCATCCCATTCGTTTGTTGGATCACTACAGCTGGCGTCGCCATTGGAACTTACGTTCGCAAAGCGTCGCGCTAAGTCTTAGGCAATGGGTACGAGACGAAGGCTTTGGCGGAATGCTTGCCAGTATCAGCATGCGACGGGTGGGAAAGTTAATGAGGTAGACCAGGCAGACGAGAGGGCAATGCGTACGGGGACTTCAAGGCTGCTGAACAAGCTGTGAGCTGAGCAGATCACGGGGACAGATTGGCTGACGTGATGCGGCATTTCGACGACGGACTGGATGTTGCCTAACGCTGTCATACTGCGGCGCGGTGATACCCCGCCCCCAACTTTTACCGACCTTCGATTCGTTCGAACCTCCTCCTGCTGTAATACAGTGTGGCAATACAGTTCCCAATTAACATGTAGCAGAACGTGACCATAACGAGACCTGCAGCAGCCAGAGGCCCCAAGATGGCGAAGATGGTAAAGCCGTACGAGGCCGACTGGAAGGCTTCGTTGTCTTGGAGAGCTTCCGTAGCGAGACCGACCTGCATCGCCGTCAGGACGACAGCGATATAGACGGTCGAGCTGGCCAGCAGCGCAAAGTTGTCGTGAAAGAATGAGCCGTACTGGTTCCAGCGAGACATATAGCCGCGGAACGGGGTCTTCCAAAAGAAGTAGATCTTGTTGAGCCGGCTAAGGCGGAGCTCCCCATAGTGGAAACGTGGGTCGATCCAGGGGTAGACAAACGAAGTGCCTAGGAACTCCCGCACGGCCGTCCGCCACGCCAACCACTGTACCTCTTCGGGAATAAGGTGCATCTCTTTGGCGATGTGAAAGTCGCTCTCGTGCACTATGAGGGCCGCGTACGAGAAGAGGAAGCCGAGCGCGCGTTCCCGCCGACCACCGCAGCTGCACGGGTCAGCGTTGGAGACGGGCACCCTATGACACTGGAGGACTCTTGCCCAGAAGCGCGGCTCAAGGAGGAAGCGTGACAGCGGCTTGACGAAGATGCGATCGGTCGTCCACACAAGGTGCAGGTCCAGCTTCTCAGTGATTACGATCTCGCGGTTGAGCAGGCGCTGCTGATGGAGCGGACGCGGCGGCATGGGCCGACCCGCGATCCATAGCCAGTTGTGGATATCGGCTAGCCGACGCAGATCAGTCTCCTCATCAACCCAGTCGTGAATGGCAGCCAGTCGCGCCTGATCGAACTGGACATCAGCAGAATCGACAACGGGAGAACAGGCGGGCGCTGCCAAATCGTCATCCTTAGTCCGCCGGGACGCAGGCAAAAGGGACGTGAGATCGTTCTCACTTGGTTTCGGCGCTTTACTTTTTTGCGAATCATTACTTCCTAGGAGCTTCTGGGTGAAGGGAGGCGACTGTCGAGCCCGATTACCATGCTTGGACTTCCAGTCGAAGCGGAACAGAGAGCTTACCTGGTCTGAGTGCGATGCCATCGCTCGTCGGATTTGGGAACAACGTGCTGCTTTTTGGCCGGATGGAACAAGTGTATTCCGAGGCTTCCTTCATGAGCCGTTTCAGCACGGCACAACTATCCCTCATAGTAGGATGGTAAGACGCTGGTGCTGATGCACGACTACTGCCAATAGTGCGTCGCCGGGCCTCAAAGTACACCTATCTGTACTTTACCGGTCGGTTTCTCAACGATTCGTCTTGCAACTTCGAACATAAAACCTTTCGCACTACTCGTGGTCCCGCTGAGGAGTCTCAGGCTAGCTGCTGACGCGAAAGCGTAAGCAGCCTGCATGGCTGATCATCGTGCCAACGACCTGAGGGCACTGCCGACCACTCTCAGCCATTTCGATTAGAGCGTCGGCGTTGGAGTCTCACAGCCGTGAGTGGAAAACGGCCAGGCAACTTGGCGGGGCCGCAAGTGAGCTAGCACGAATTGACACAATATCAGCCACGTGTCCACGATGATGCGCAAAGTACGTTTGCCAAAGGCCTCAGGCAGGTCTCTCCCCCGCTTTGGCCAACGCCAATCCATAGTTAGGTACTCATGTGGATTGCCATACATCGTCTCTCCCGTTTCCACAGGTCATCCGACTACCGTAACTCTCATGGATGGCACCCTAGCTCCGACAACTCATCGAGGATCAGTCGGAGTATATTGCCTTTCGGGATGTCGACGATATGCCTTAGCAGCAGATCGCTGACGCTATAACAACTCCGACGCAGGAGACCGTCACGTGGAACCAAGGCCCCGTAGCGTACAGTATCAATAAGAGCGTTACTCTGATCTTTACCTTAAGCTCTAGCATAAGGAAGCGCGCTAGACCCTCCTATCACATTGACTGCTACTTAACGTCAGCAGAGTCGGACCCATAATAATACCCGCCTTTACCCCGCACTTCAATCGGTACAAGACGAAACATCATTTATGTTACGCCCGCCGCAACTTGTCACTGTGGGCGCGTAGCTATATAATGCAGAACAAGGGAAAATGATGCGGAGTCATCATTATCGAAGCTTTTGCTTTGTGCCACAGTTGGTTGCCTTGTCCTGCTCGTAACAATGAGCCGCCGTTGCCGTACAAAAAGAATTAACTTCAGAAAGGTGGAACACTTATAATTAATTAGGCAAAGGATATAAAGTCTCAAATTGATGTGACGAGGCAGTTATAGGTAGAAATAGGTCAGAGTAGTGGTCGTGCGAGAAGGATAGAAACGCGCGCGCGACGATGTGGCATCTGTGGAGAGACTGGCCATAGCTTAATGTTACGAGCTGGACAAGGCAACCAACTGTGGCACAAAGCAAAAGCTTCGATAATGATGACTCCGGCATCATTGTCCCTTGTTCTGCATTATATAGCTACGCGCCCACAGTGACAAGTTGCGGCGGGCGTAACACTTAATTAAAAATATCTCTTAGTTATATAAAAAGGGTTTATATAAAAATTCCTAATTTAAAGGTGCGTTATTAAATAGGCCTTTTAATAGTCTAATTGTGTTACGGCCAGCTAGTCGTAGGGGTAGTTTGCAGAAGTTGAGGCTGCGGAACTGGTAACAGTAATCGTAGTCGGGGATAGCTTCAGGGAAGCTATGTCTGTCAATCGTAAGGGTAGGTAAGGCTTCGGTGATCAATCGTAGTCTTGTCAAGGTAGTAGCTGAAAGCGGATGTTAATCCTGATACGAAGTTAATTGCTGAAGAAGCTATGGAAAGTCTGTCCTAGAGCCCAGCTCGAGTCCATCCTTATATACAAGTCCGATCCTAACTGAGCAGTGCTGAACAGTCCACTTTGTCTGGATATGTTGGATATGCCGAATATCCAACATATCCTTGACTCGGTTGGATATGTCGCATATCCAACATATCCTTATCCCTTATCATATCTCTTATCATCACGTGACTTGTACCATAGTTCTTCCGTTCCTGGGGTTTCCCCAATGTTCCGTCCCGTCCTGCATATATAATGCGCCGTAGCCGCTAGGCGTCAGCGGGGCACGCCCTGGTCTTCATGTTGGGTCGTAACAAATTGGCCTAACCGGCTTAAACGGTATTAATAACCTAAACCTTATAAGTAAAAAAGGTAATTTAAGTAGCGGCTTTTTTCTTAATATCCCTAACTATTTAATATATATAAAGAGAGTAACGTAGTTCACAAGCGAGTGAGCCACACAAGCGAGTGGGCCACTCTCTTATCTGTTACGGCCAGCTAGTCGTAGTGAGGTATGTTTGCAGAAGTTGAGGCTGCGGAACTGGTAACAGTAATCGTAGTCAGGGATAGCTTCAGGGAAGCTATGTCTGTCAATCGTAAGGGTAGGTAAGGCTTCGGTGATCAATCGTAGTCTTATCAAAGAGGTTCTCAGGGAAGATAGCTGAAAGCGATCATAAGATCTGATACGAAGTTAATTGCTGAAGAGCTATGGAAGTCTGTCCTAGAGTCCGGCTCGAGTCCATCCTATATACAAGTCCTGGTCCTGAACATATCCTGTGGCAGGTGCAGGTGGGTCACGTGAGGCAGCTCCTTCACATCTCGGAGCTGCCCCACCTACACCTTGCCCAGATATCCAGCCCAGCCAGCGCTCAGCTTTTCCTATCATCATCATCAGATCCAATACAGTAGTATTGCCTCCACAACTCGTAGTACCCGTGGGGAGGCTGGCCTGAGCCTACTGCTCTGAGTCGAGGTCGAGGTGGGTGTAGGCATTAATAACGTTGTAATCAGGCTTCTGCGCCACCCGCTGAGCCCTGCTGCTTGAGGTAGCTAGGGTAGGTTGGCTGGGTAGGGGGGGTAGGACTGGGTCGTCAGGGGCTTGCAGCCCTTCTGCTTCAGCCCCATTCTCATCTTCATCCATGCTGCTACAGCTAGCCGCATCACTAACGTCCGCTACAACAATTGAGTCCTGGGTAGGGGTAGGGGCGCGTGGGCGCTTTGAGCCGGGCTGATGGCTCGTTAGGCTGTTGCTAGGTTGCTGGGTGTTGCTGGGTGTTGCTGGCTTGGGTGCCAGCCTAGCTGCTCTAATAGAGGGCCTCATAGGCCTTCTAACCAGCCTTACGGATCCGGGAGAGTTCCTTCCGGTCTGGGAGGGTAGGGGAGCCATTAACCACTAGGGGCCTTGCTGGACAGTCCTTATGGTTAGCTTGGAAGGGGCCGGAGCAGTTGGCGCACTTCGGTCTAGCTATGCAGGGCCCAGTCTCGTGGGATCCCGAGGGCCTGCTACAGTTGCTACAGAGTGGCTGTCGGTGACAGTATCGGTTCGAATGATATCCCTGGCATCCAGGATCATGTCTGATTAGGGTCTTCTTCTTTTGGATAAGCTGAGACCTGCTGCTTTGGTTAAACAGTCTGAAGGGTGGTACTTCCACAGAGAAGGAGATGACCCAGGAGACTTCGTTTATAATAGGGTTTACACCTAGCCGGGACTGCTGGGCCCGGGTAGGCTTACGTCCTGTTTGGGCAAGGACCTCATCTTCTACCAGAGTAGCTGGGTCAAGGGCGTCGCCATCAAGAGTCCACATCTTAGCAGGGCAACGTGGGACGACGTAGGTAAACCACTTAGTAGGGGTCTCAACCTTATAGGCTCCAAGACACTCTGCTAGTTTCTGTTTGTTTGCAAGGAGGGCTTGCTGGACCTGCTTATTCAGGGGTCTCAGTGAGTAGCCAGTTGCAATATGGTAGATGTGTGGGATATCTGCCAGCTGGAGCCTAAGGGCCTGGCAGACTGTCCGGCGTAGGGCGAAGGGGGCGTGCTTCCTAGCAGCCGCTAGGCCCTCTTCCGGGATACGGGTAAAGACCCGGAGGTCCTCCTTCGGTTGGGACAGAGCCTGGGCCCGGGTCTCCGTCAGACTCTGTGTCTGGACTTCGGGCCGGGTGGGGATTCGGGTACGGGTCGGGGCTACGGCCAAGGCTGTAGTCGAAGCCGAGGCTGCTACGTCAGTCCATTTCCGGCTCGGAGCAGGAGCCGTAGTCTCGTTACCCATAATCCTCTTCAAGGCTTGGATTACATAGGTTGTAGCTTCTTTTGCAATCTGCTTCCTAGGCCCCTCAAAGCAAGAGATCACGTTGTCCACAGACTGAGCAATAGCCATAAAGACGTCCTTTCGGGCTTCATAGTGCTTAGCCTCTTCATTAAGAGCTGTAAGGACAGCTCCAGTAGCTGTCCCAGTCATAGTCGAGGGCCCCTTAGCCGTTAAGGGGGTTGTTGTTGGGGCGTCGGGCTGGCTTCCCACGAGGCTGGGCCGGAGTGGCTGGGCCTCGGTTTCGCGGCGGCGTTTAGCCCTTGAGGATGGGGGCGGCTCTGAAGAGGGTCCAGAGCCTCGATCAGGGCCGGCCGAGGAGGCCGGCAACGGTCCAGAGCCCGCCGGAGGCTGCGAGGCCATCGCGGGAGAGCGCCGGAGGAGAGGTGAAGGGTTTTCAGCTGTTAAGGATTTTGGTGGTAGCCCACTTATTACACTAACAGTATATGCCAAGAAAATTAGGCGAGAGGGAAGTTTGGAGACAAGTAAATGGTGCTCAGGTGAGTGCAAGATGATGTATTAAGGAGTGATTGAGAGCGCAAGAGTGAGGCATGTCAGTCTAGTTCAAGGCAGTTCAACTTATATATTCCCGGATGCGAAGATACCTGAGCATGTAAACTGCGGTACTCGCTGCTCTTTCTTTGTGCCCTCATGGGACTGGACATCCTAGTTGGTGATCATGTTGGGGATCACATGAAAGTCGCCGGGCTCGAAGTTCTACACACGCAGTCGTTTGAGTTTTCGATGGTGCCGTCTGAGAAGAATATTCCCAGCGCAGCGGTGGGTTACTATGCGCAACGCACTCTTCTCAAGGCATTTCCAGACCTTTCTCAGAAAGATACTGACAAAGCGGGACTTGTACTCTGATGAAGAGATTTCGAAGTTGACAGAGGAGTGCCTCGAGACTTCATCGGCGGAGGAAGGGATTTTTGTCAAGTACACAGTCACTATTGGGAGGAAGCCAGCTCAGGAGTAGTTGATATAAGCTATTATGATAATGCCAGCATTACTTGTCAAGGGAACTTGGACAACCCCTGTGTCCACCATATGTGGACACTTGTCTCTAGCAACATTCCAATATTGAGAACGGTTGGTGTTGCACGCTGGTCCTTGCCTAGCTCAAGTTCAGAGTATAGACTCGATATGACAGCAGGAACAGGCATGATCTCGTTCATCGCTTGTTAGATTTGCCGGGCTTCCTAGTACTCTATGCCATTATGCTCACCTGAAGAGGCACGTTGACCACAGTCGATAGGGCGAGGGTTTCCAAGTCTTGGGGAGGTATCGCCCGGACTCATGGAGAAAGGCCATGAAGCTTACTCAAAGTCTTTGGGAGGCTGTGCAGGAGACTATTGGTACTTCAGATGACTTAGCACAGTATCTTCGTCCGCGCGTCACGGAATTGCTGGCGGCACACCAGATGGAGGTACACATTTCTCACTTTGATAGTCAAACTCTCTCCTAGAGATAATCACATACGACCACACCCATCGGAGAATTCGGGATCCCGTCCGCTCTCCCATAGACAAGCCGATGAGGGCCGGATTAGTAGTTGAGTCGGTGACGATCAGCGAACACCTGGTGTTGTATGTCATTTTTGGCTTTGGGTGGGTGCGACCTCTGAGATATGAGGGTGGGTTACGAGGGCCATGTTCTGAAGCATCGGAAGGAAGACAGTTGATTGTAGCATTTATTTTCTCCGAAACTGGTATTCAAAGAAGCAAGGGAAGTTTAAATGGAGATTGCAGCTTTGTTCAGTGTATCTACGTTTCAGTATGAACATCGCGCCGCGACATACGCATTCTCTAACGAGTGGAAAGTAGAACTAACTTGAAGCAATCAGGAGTGCCACCAAATTGGCTCCATCTATGCTACATGCGTTAGACAGTGAAGCACCCTGGGCAACTCAGGCAAATGGCCTCCACTGTTCCTCACACCAGTCCCAAAACTTCGCAGTGTACCCTAAACCGCCATCGGCTTCAGGCTTCAACGCATTGATGATATCCTTCCTTGGGCAGTCCGAGTCTGAGCGAATGCGTCCCCAAGGGATAACGTATGCGTCATTATTCTCGAGAGAAACCTCGGGCGACAGGCCCGCGAAGAGCTCCGTATATCCGCCAAACTTAGGGTCGTGGAGTAAGGGGTTGATGAAGAACATGGCCAAGGTGGGCGTCCCAGCGTACGAGCTAGCCTTGAGGTTCCCAGGATTCTGCGTCACGGAAACGATGTCAGGATAGCGGGTAGCCATCTCGCGGCCCAGCACCCAGTTGCCGATTTTCGATACGGCGTAGTTCCTGGTACGATCCGAAGTGCCCTTTTCAAGAGTGCTGAAATCGATACCGTTGGTGGGCGACGATGCGTCGCCCAGAAAGCTGGAGGTCCACACGACGCGAACCGAACCGCGTGGAGCGGTGGTGACGGCTGCACGGAGTTGGGGAATCAACAGCTGCGTAAAGAGCTGCGCTGCGATACAATGCATGCCAACCATAGCTTCAAAGCCCTGTTTTGTCCGCGCCCCGACCTCGACGCCTAGTGCGCCAGTTCCGGCATTGTTCCATAGGACGTCTAATTTGGATTCTTGCTGAGCGAAGGACGCGGCGGCTTCCTTTACGCTTTCGAGGTCGTTGAGGTCGAGAGGGAGGACTTTGATGTAGCCGGGGGTTTTGGGGGCTGGAGCGGCGCTCGTGATTGCTTCAATGGCCTTCTCTGCTCGTTCCTACTTATTGAACGGGTCGAATGGTCAGCGCCGGAGCTAGGAGCGAATGATGGTAACATTAATTAGGCGGGCCGAGTGGAGAAGGACACCGTTTCTAATGCACGTATCCCATCGAGTGCTGAATGGCAACAGTACATTCAGTGAGGGGTAATAGCCACTCAGAGACCAGCCAAGCCTTTTTCCAACCAATCAAAAGGCCTAGTTTTCTAGTACCTCTTCCGTCTATATATTCTGGTTATGAAATAGGTACCAGCAATCTTCTGAGTTACAAATCGCAACCCCACACTGCTCACACCCTGACCTCGTCTTCTTCCTATGGGATCGTGAGTTTCCTGAGACTTCGCTAAGCGCCTTCTTTGGCCGATTACACGCAACGCAGGCGGAGGCGCTCTTCCGCGAGACCCTTATATGCTGTTGCCACGGAACAGAGTTATTTCTCGTATTGTCGGCTTCCGCTCGGGTACGTTGAAGGGGTTGAATACGCTGCCCCTTTCGAGGGATGGGGGCTCATATGGGCGTACGACCGCATTATCGCATCTCTCGGGTGTACAGTCAGCAGTACAGGCAGCGGCTAGGTCTTCGGGAAGTACGGCGACGTTGATACACGACCGTACCGACCCCTCGGAATCGCTAGAAGTCATCGCGACGTTTCATCACATAGGAAAATGTCGGTCTTGGTGGTGAAAATAGGGAGGAACCCATAGGGTTGCTACTATGCGCATGCCCCTTGACGGCAACTTGCGTGAACGTCTCGTCGGTGTATTTTTGATGCGGTACGCGGAGCTGGTGATGGCCCACGACCTCGGTGTCTGAGATCTTTTCCCAGCGGCTTGCGCCAACGAGGTGTTGCGTCTTGAGGGGGCTGTCGAGCATAGGCTTGCTGCTCATCATGGCGACGTAGTCTTCTGCGGGCATGGCTTCCCAGATCTTGTTGAGGAAGGGGTAGTCGATCTTTGATGTAAGGGTTAGGTTGATGTTGCTGGGGCAGAGTGTGATGAGCTTACGCGGAGGGTAGGGGCAATGCACTTGCGAAGACGATCCCAGTCTTTTGTGTCGTAGCTGTCTGCCCACTCGTAGAGGCATGCATTTAACCTGAGGTAGTCTATAATACTCATCAGCATTGCATCATGAGAATTTAAGCTTGGTGAGTTGGCTTACCATCGAAAGTAATATTTGCAGAAGACGCCATTGTATCGAGTGCATGGACTACGATAGAAATAGATGAAGCTATCGACTGGTGTGTGTAATTTGATGTCGAATTCTGTCAAGAGAAACTACTCGTGTACCCAGACACTGCTTGAAAATGGAATCACTGGATGCTGATACGTGTATCCCGAGCCTTCAAGTCAAAGCATAGAAGAAGCCTTCTTCACGTAACCTGATCCTTCGTTTTACACAATTATATCTGAGCAAATGGGCAGACACTCGGTCTGCGCGGTTCATCGTCACAATTCGAGAGAGCGGGGGACCATGGGTGTAACCCGTCCACTTGCCGTTCGGCAAAGGCCATAAGGAGAACGATTTTCCGAGTCTCGTTGCGAAGTACAACGCCACGCCTCATGTGCACACAGCCAAGTACCATCGGAACATCATATCGAATCACTGGGGAGAAGTTCGATTTGCATCGTGAGGCATTTCAGCTATGTCTCGTTATAGTCATACAAGAAATTCGCCAAAGGGCGGTTGGTTTTGTAAAAAGTAAAATAAAAAAAGGGACCCAGGATCTACCCCCTTTTCTTCGTTCCTGATTTTGGAATCCAGCATCAAGTCGTGGGAAAATATCTCAACCCCAAGTACACAAAAAAATGTCCAAGAATGGAAAGAAAAGAGTTTGTTGGTGTGTTCGGCCCAGCCAACGTAGCTACCAGAACAGGTGCCCTGCCTTATTGTCCCTGCGTGATCCCATGTGCCAATTTTTCAAAATTCGTCCAATGGTGGCGTCATTATCGACGTTTAGTAGGGCTTCTCGCCGAGGCTGTTTCTCTTGTCAGTCGTTTGTTCACATGGTTTATGTCCAGTGAAGACTTTGAAACTTACTAGTTGCCGGGGGGCGAGTAGCGGGCGACGACGTAGGTGCCCTGGGAGTTGGTGGCAACAGCCAGACCGACCTTGGTGGTGCTCTTCCAGACGATCTGAGTGTAGTGACCGAAGCCCATGTAGTTGGACTCGGAGATGGTCTCGCCGTTGTAGGAAGACTTCTCGGAGATCCAGGCGCTGGCAGCGTTGACGTAGGGGCTGTCGGTGTAGGATTGCATGTACAGGTTCTCGCCCTGGTCAGAGACCTGGGAGTGCGTCAGGGAGCCGACGGAGAGGAGGTGGGTGGCCCACTCCTGGGCGTTGGAGGCGAGGGTGGCATCCCACTCGAGGGCCGGGACGCCGACGTCGGAGCGGGCGGCGTTGTGGGCATCGAGGGCGGCCTGCTGGTCCGAGGTGAGGCCGGAGCTGCCGCTGGAGGCGGCGGTGGTGGCGGCCGGGGCAGCGGAGGAAGTGGTGCTGACGGCTTCCTCGACGGAGGCGGCGGCGGAGGGGGTCACGACCGGGGCGGCGGAGGTGGCGGCGGGGAGGGTGATGGTGGAGGTGGAGGTCACCTCGGCGCCGGAGCAGTCGTCGGGGGAGGCGGACTTGCTGGCCTCGAGGCCGGTGTTACCCCAACCCCAGTAGGAGCCGGACGGGGGGCCCTGGCCTCTCCAGGCGGCGGCCTGGGTGGCGAGAGCGGCAACGGCGACAGCGGAGAAACGCATTTTGAAAGTTTGGGTTGGTGGAAGGGGTTTTCTTGGAAATTACCGGGATTCTTGGATGTTGATCTGAAGGAGTGAACGGAGGATGAAACCTGCCAAGGCGTCGATGAGTACCGCTGGGGTGTAAAAGAGTGACAGACGCAAAAGGTCGATTTTGGGTGAAGAGGAAAAGAGAAACAATGCAAAGGGAACGCGAGAGACTCGGATGTTATGTCTTTTGCATCTTGTTTACTTAGTTAGAGTTGTTTGCCCCCGGTCCTGCTGATGTCGGGATATTTTGCCGCTGGCGGTATTCAACTTGAGACGAGTGATGATCTCCCGTATGCAAGCCTCCACATCAGAGATATTAAACTGGAAGACGTGGTGTCTCACACTCCCGGCTCTTTAGAGAGAGCACTTACGAATGATCGAATCTCCTTTGCATCCTGATAGGACCAGGGGATTTGAAGGGGAGCCTGGAACCTGGAAGGTATTAGGATCTTAGTGTGTTGGAAGCGTCCCCCACACCAACAACATTGTCAAAAAGTCTTTCCAAGTTCCAACAGTTTCCTGTGCCTGGCCTTGAGTTCCTCCCCTTCTTCTGCAGGAACCGCGGAAGCGCGGAAGTTGGATCACACAACGGTGCCCATTGTATTAGTGGATACGCTGACATTGGAAACGACCCCAGATGAGTGGTTTAAATTCGACCGGGCAGCAACACCCTCGCCCCTGTCGACATGTCTCACACCACCACACCAGGATCTCCAAGGATTTCTCTGGGACGTAGCCCTACCAGATTATGTCACATCAGTGGATTTAGCTGCTGCCTGCCGGTAAATGGAAGGGACCCCATGTGGGGCCGAGCGTGTGGTCCAGGCAGCGGTCCAGAACCAAATCTGCTCAGGGATGACATTTCCTCGACTCTTTGGCTGCTCGATACTCCTTCCCGTGAGTCTCAATCTCTTTGTCATTGTGTTACTCTCTTTTCTCAAGTAACAAGTCTGAGAGTCTTCATTACCGTGGTACTCTCTAATTCTCATTTTACGGCCTCGTCCAACATCACGTTGAGTCGGTCTCCGAGGGGGCCAGAACAGAAGAAAGTGAGAGAGAAACTGCCCGTACAGAGTACGACAAACCCTATTTGGTTGGGTTCGCCTACATCGGAGCACCCCGCCTGTCATTTCTTTCTCTGACACTCTCTTCTCGTCTAATCGATGAAGTTGCAGCCGAACGGACATTGTTTATTATGCTTCGATCATCCCGTCAAGTGGGATGAAAAGGCGTCATGGATGGCAAAACCCAGCTTCTGGGCGAGAACTCAAGTTGGTAGTCTGGTGCGGGGTATGGTCAATCAAACATTGCACAATGCTTTTTCGTTCCCTCATTAAACAACTTCAAACTTTAGCTTCGGCTACAAGCTTCAACTCAGGCGTAAAAACAGACAAAGTCTTTGTCGGGGCGTTTCGCTCTGGAACATTGCCAGAAGCACACAAACAATCACTTTTGCCACTACTAAACTAGTACCTATACCTGCTCCGTAGACCGCATCGATCATCATCGAAAACGTTCGAGGCCTTGAGCCTCTTTTGCTTTAAGCTCTTGCCTCCTTGCTTCCCTCCCTTCCTTCCGCTCCTTTGGTTCGAGCCAATCCCGCCGATCGATGGTCTCTGGCAGGCGCCGAGGCTTGGACTTGGCGGCAAACCAAAGCTTGCACGGGCCGGGGCTGGGAGTTCCCACATTCCCGCGCCGTTGGATCCGGCGTCTTGGTACTGGTGACTCGTGAGAAATGGATGTGGTTCGTGTCATGCAAAAAAGTTGGCCTAGACCTTTCCCTACACTAGTTCGTCTGATGTCTCTCTCTCTCTCTCTCTCTCGCACGCGTGCTTCTCAGACCACTTCAACAAATCTCTCAACTCGTTTCGTCATGAGCTGTTTAGAGTTGACTGGTAAGCATCATGGCACCGCAAACTGCTCTGTATGTCGCATAAGTTTGCTACACAGAAAACCTCTCATTCGAGTTACACCATATCCGTTAGGGCCCTATCCCATCGGGTGCGGATGGACGCCATTTTCGCCAAGGGCGGGGTAGAGCCAATAAGGGCCTGGAAACCCTTTAAGTTAACCAATAGATCTCTAGTACCTCCAATCTCTATAGATTTTGGGTGTGCCAGAGGTACCAGCAATCTCTATCAATACATAACGGTACATTACAGTCTAAGCAGCCCTTTCGTGTTGTCCTTCGAGTGGCCGGCACGTTAAAGGGCCGGAAGGAGCCCGGAAGACCATGCTCGGTAGCCGGAGGTTCGCAGGGCCGGACTGTTGCTGCGTCACAGCGCTCGGGCGTACAGTCTGTATTGCAGGCAGCAGTAAGGTCTTCTGGAAGGACCTCAACTACTATACAGCTGCGTACAGAAGTAATAGAAGCATCAGAATCAGAATCATTAGAAGACATTACAGCATCAATCAAATTGGTAGTAATAGTGGTGATAATAGGTAACAGAACATAGGGATAAATGACGTACCATCAAAGTACCCCTTTAAATGCGCGGTAATAGTGGATAAGTAGTGGGTATTTTGGGGCTTGGCGAAAATGGCGTCCATCCGCACCCGATGGGATATGCCGTTCTTTATGGTATCGTCCAAGTGGGCCTCCGAGATTGCGAAACCAACATGGTTGAGCTCGCCCCGGTTACATCCCGCCGGTACAGAGTTGAGCCAAGGTGTCACTCTGCCCTTCTCTGCCTTCTTCGCTAAGTTCGCTTCGAAATGTCTCCATTTCTCTGTCACGATTTCCTGTTGCAATCCGCACAGTCCTCATCATCGCTTCGACTGCTTTCCCCGATGAACCTGGTTGACCGACCAATTGGCCAATGCGGAAACCACCGTCGTCTGTCTAAGCACCTTATGTTACTTCGAAGAACGGAGTACAAATAGGATTGTTTACTGATCCTATGGCAACCTCTTATGCATGGATGTAGGCCTCAAGTTCAGCCAGGTCCTTCTTTTCCCGTACGTCAGCTCATGACCATTCTGCGGCTTTCATGTCAACAAATTACTCCCGCCTCTGGCCTTTCCGCACCTTGGGTCTTCATAGACCCGGCGAGTCAGGCATAACTCCACCGCCAGTCACCTCACGGGACATCACAATCTTGCATTCAAACCAGAGTTCAGTAAGCGAAGTGGCAAGGAGACGCGTAAACGCTGATTCAGCCGCGCGAGAGGGAGAAGGGAACCTAGCCGCTTACCCCAGGTGGTTTTGCAGGCGATGGTATCCATCCAGTGCGGCTGAGTCGAGTCGCTTCGCCCGGAACTCGTATCAACAAGTTTATTAATCTACTGATCATCTCGCTGGACCGAAATACTTTTTTTTTTTTTGCCCTTGTCTGCCCAATCCACGCGTCTGACGTAGGCCAGTGAGGCGTACGAAGTACGGAGTACAGCCTTGGTCGAGGTTCAGTTTGTCGAAACGCGTGGGCAGCGGTTCTTTGAGTGCCTCTCATACACATACTTCCAACATATCGAGTGTCATACTTCTAGGCAGCTTCGAATGCCATCGGCAATCCGAGCAATTGTGCCTCACTAGCCTGCCCCATGTGGATTCCCAGCCAAGCTTACTTATCTGGGGCCAAAGACTCCATAGCAGGCTCCGGTTGTTGCCCAGCGTGTCAAGACTCAGGGAAGACAAATACTGCGTTGCTCGTTAGCACATGCTGCCAACATTTTTGGATACGCCTTCTTCACATACATACCTCGGTTCTCTTGTTGTCATATCCGACCCTTTTTCTCCAACACCATCCCTTCCCGTTCTGCAAAGGGGATCTTGCGATAGTGTCTGAAGGTGATTTCAGGTGAATTCGATCAAAGGCTTGGAATGGCTCACGGTGAACCTCACCCCTCGGTCTTTGAGTGGCCTCCACATTGAAACAATCTCAACCATGTCCAAGTTCTCAGGTAAGAAGGTGATAAGATTGTCCTCTACCGTATAAGTAGCGGTCTTATCCATTTCCATGTACCGTCCTTTTGCTCTGAATTCTACGTTTTCCAAACTCGGCATTTTTTGCAAGTACTGAAAGTGGTGCCTGAGCTTTTGAACCCAGCCGGGCCTGAGCAGAACCGCACAGAGACTTATGGATTGGACATGGGAGAAAGGTTCCACGCAACCGCCGTATTCGAAAAGGCGAAAAAGAGTCCTACACTTGACCATATGATCATGCGGAACCGGATATTTGACACAGTAAGCAAACTGATCGACGCTCGGGACGATCCGTATGGACGAAGGCCACGTCAATGGCCTGTTGCGATCATGCCAATCTATCCGGAAATAGGTGCATCGCGGTAACCGTCTGTTTATGATCTCTCGAGTTCTGTGGTCGACTAGTGTGAAGTTACGTAAGATTTCCATGGTATTATGCCGAAGCCTGGTTTTGCCCCTTTCCCAGTTCCTAGCCTCATCAATCAAGAAATGCTCAATTCTGTGAGACCAGGGGTGTTTGCCTTTGTTGAGCATGCGGCAGCGAATCGTATTGGTCACCTGCTCGGACTCGAAGCCGGCCACAACCCAGGATAATGGCATGACTGTCGATTCCAAATCGTTAACCACGGCATCGACGATTGCGAGCCATATTTCATACGGAAGGACGCCGGTTGGGAGAGTGGCGCCTCTGATACCGAATTGAATCCGCTCCAAGATATTGCAAAGCTTGGTGGACCAGCGCATGGTGAATACAGTCCTGGTGTGACTCTGGCTGCGGGTTGATGTTTGTCTTTCAGGGGTGTGATAGAAGATGACGAAGGGGAGAAGTCATGTGGCATTGGATTTAGTCGACGCTGTGAAGCCGAAATTTGTGCCGCCTGTCCCGACGGCGTCTATTTTGCGACATGACGGAGAAAGAGATGAGGTGAGCTGCTGTAGTGGTGGGAAACGGAGGAAAGTCTCTAGTTTTTCAACACAGCAATATCTAGCTAGGGTTCGTGGCGCTGTCAAACTTTATGAGCAGCATTCTCATGATTTGGGCCAAGCAATGAGTTCCTGGCAGTTCTCTCGGGACAGAGAATTGAACTTTCGAGGCTGGAACAAACAGAGTAGAAAGCATAATTTGAGACACCCTGACGACCTCCAGCATTGAAAGACATGGTCGTTCTACACTGGATATGGCCAAGGTGTCAATGAAATTGGGTTGCAGTTACCATAGGACACTACATCGAGCAGCTATATCGACATCTAGAGAGTACGTAGATCCTAATGACCGTCTATGACTACCTTGGTCGAGTATCTCAAGCACTTGTTGCCTCATATCTGGCACAGTGACCCTAGGGACGTGATTCGATGAGTAGCCACACTCGCCCTCTCCTAATCTGTAGCGTATAAATACCGCTGCCGCAGCCAGAATTATTGTGAGACGGGGCGGCATTCATCGGCCGCATCGTCAACGTAGATCCGTTTGACACTTGGCATGGAGAGGCACCACTCGATGGCTCCTTTCAAGGTCCTCGGCACCTCATGCCATACTTGCCTTCGCGAGCGACTTGATTCAAATTGGGATATCAAAGAATATCATAGTCTAGCCTCCTCCACCCCCTCGCTTCCCTCACACCACAGTATACCGAAATGAATAAGAACCAAGTACCCAGCCATAGGACACGCCCCTAATGGTGCTACAGGGTTTGGCTTTGTGATATACCGAAACAACAAACGCATAGCCCAGGGCTGCGGCCGCCTCGGCCTAGCAGAAGTATGTGATGGTGAGGCTGAAGGGGCAAGGGCGGGGCTCCGACGGGCCCTCCTTACCTCCCAGGGACAGCCTATACACATCTGCATCGATAACACTAGCGTTATCCAGGGGATACGCGGCGAGGACCCAGACCCCTCCCAAGCAGCCTTCCTTGAAATACAAGAGGCAGTCAGTATATACGATATACAAACCCATTGGTCCCCAGGGCACCAAGGGATCAGAGGAAACGAGGAAGCAGACAGCCTAGCTAAGGAGGGCACAACCCTACCAACCCCTAGGGGCCAACTAGCTACCCTATCAGGGATCAAACGGCTTGCTAAAGAGCGAATACGGCGCCAATATAGGAAGTGGTGGCAGCGAGAAGCAACATCCCGTTATACCCAACTAGGGCTTAAGGCTACCCTCGCCTGCCCCCCTGAACTAGCTCTGCCACGGGCCATCCTTCACCATCTCCTAGCAGCCCGATCAGGCCATGGAGACTTCGAACAATACCACCAACGTTTCAACAATAGAGAAGCACTGCTTACCTGCTGCTGCGGGGAGGCAAAGGCAGTAGACCATCTAGTCTACTGCCAAAAGAACCTAGTGAGGAGGTATCAGTGGCCTACCCTCTACCCTTCTAGTCTACTCGAGCCTATAGGACCTATAGGATCCCTAGAGCGGTACTATAAGGGGCTAATTACTGATCCTAAAGGCTTCCAGGCCTTTCTCTCCGTGACGGACTTCTTCCAGAAGATCTGCCCGCGGTACTAAGGACTAGGTCTTGACCTAGGCCCTACCAACGACCCCCTCCTCGTAGAGGATCTGACGGTCACAACGGAACTAGGGAACCAGCGGGTACTAGGGACGAACAGGACACATAGTAGCCCACGGGCAAGACTTGGAGGGCGTTAGGAAGAGGCGTGTACTGTAGAGTATGTAGCTTGAGCCTGCGGCCCTCCACGCCATATACCCCTCGGGAGGTCTGCCGCAAGGGCGGCTGCGCCCTTGCCGCCACGGCGTTAAATACAACAACAACAACAACAACAACAACCATAGGACACACTCCCACAACTCCAAAGAACTTGACGCTAACATCCACAGTAAGCTTTGCCGTTCTCTCTATGCCAGTTCAATCCGATAGCACTTACACTCCTCCTCAACAAACCTCATCCGTAGCCCCCCATCCGTACGAACAAGCTCAATCTCCCCACGCTTAGCATACCTCGGCTGGATCGTAACCTCCACCCCAGCATCAAACAACGGCCCCCACAACAACAAAAGCCGCGTATCGCTCAGCGCCAACTCCGCAGCGAGGTCAGGCAAGATAGCAGGGTCAACAGGCAGAATCGCCCGGTGGTCGTGCAGCGGCTCGTCAGGCTGTACGGGGCTCTGGATCGCGCACCACGTCTGCACGCGCCTCAGCTCGGGCAGGGCCGCGAGGGCGCGGATTTGCTTGCTGGTTGCTGTCATTAGGTTTCCCAAGCTACAGCTGACGTTCCGGATCATGCGCAGTGGTCCGGCGGCAGACTCCGACGAGAGTGCTAGGATTGCTGTCTCGAGGGGTTCGGGGCTCTCGCCGTCTGCGTTATTGTGTCTGTCCGCGGCCTTGAAGTCGAGGACGAAGATATCGATTTCGGGGAGGACGTAGGCTTGTCTGGGTAGTAGATCGGTACCAATGTCGATGCTGAACACGATGTTGCCGGGTTTCCTCGGGCGCGCAGACCGGCCTATAGCGTTCGCGGACCAGTCTACGGCGTTCGCGGGAGTGCGGTGGTGGCGCGGGACGTGGTGGTGGCGCGGAAACTTACAAAACGTCTTGTCGACGATGTCCGAGACGCGTTTACTGCGAAGGTTTGCGAGGTCGCTGATGAGGCGCCAGCGTTGCCTCTGGGAGGCGTAGTCGAAGGCGTGGTTGTCGGTGATGTAGATTGAGTCTAGGGCGTCTGGGCATCCTTCGACGTGCCATGTTGAGGCTTCGGTTGCTGCTTCGGCGTAGGCGGATTCGACGTAGCGGTCTGCGATCTCGAGGAAGAGTTCTAGGGGGACGACGCCTCTTGAAGCGCTTGCTTCGGTGGTGGGCTGGTTCTGGGACTTATCAGCCATGGTTGGGATAGTTAGCTGGTGTTGAATAGCTGTGTTGGGTAGAGAAGTAGGAAAGAGAAACTTAGTCTGGAGAGACGTGTGGTTGGGAATGCCTGAGAATTGGCTGCTGCGGACAATAAAGGCAGTCTGGACGAATGAATGTGAAGTTTGTGTTGAAGAAATTGAGTTCGGTAGATGAAGTCGAAAGGTGAAGTCGAAAGGTGAAGTCGATGCTAATACAAAGGTAAAGTGAGCTCGGGAGCCAGTCCTGAGGAGTAAAAAAGCACTGCTATAAGCCGGGATGGCAAACAAACGACGATCTAAGTTAGTCCTTGAGAAATTGCTGCTGTTGTAGAGATCTACGTAGTGGGTTAGTTGTTGAACTCCTTCCAACTTTACGTATCATTTCAACCTCAAGCCCCTTTCACGGTTTCAATCAACGAGCTTGGTCTTTGTAACCCACGAAAACAAAGTGATTGTCCCCCCCGCCTTGAGATTCAAGTCGAGAATCGCTGACCATTAGACAAAGACATTTTCCTCGCGTCATTGTCCGTTATCTTTCATCAGAGATCTTTGATGCTGGTACGCCGTCTTTATTGGCAGGTCCTTCAGAGTGGATGGGATGAGTACCTCATCAACTATCAGATATACACCGTCGTTCTCATCGCGGAAATATAGACGAAATATTTTAAACAAAGATTATACAGCACGAAACCACCAGGAGATTGCAATACGTGCTTCTGCAGTGTCGAGTGCCACCAACAAGACGTCCCCAAACCCCCGAATCCCCCTCCCGAAAGTGGGACCGAACCGCACGGAGCCGGGCCCAAAACTCGGCTCGGCGCCCGGTACCACATCAACACGCTCTGCGTCACCTCCGCCATCCGAAAGAGAATGCCGTCCCAACACCCCCCACAAGGTGTCTTCCCCTCTTCTTCAAGTGAAATATTGGCAGAGTTTCTCACAGAAAACAATGAAAGCAGTAGCGCTTGGCAGAGTTGAGACTGCCCATCTCAAGAATTACCTTTATCTTCTCCCCCTCAGTATCTTGTCGCCCCTCCTGTTCATATCGACTTCAAAGCCAAGCATTCCTCTCAAACCTAGTCCTCTCACAGCTACACACGTAAACATATCACACATCCCCAAGTCTCGATAATATAAGTCAAAGTGTTGATGAAATGTATTACTATAAACCTAGAACAAAAATACCATCTAAAATCCCAACGCCGACCTTCCATAGAAAGGCTTGTGCGTGTGTCTGTGTATGTATATGTATGAGTGCAATGTCCCACAGAAGCGGACAGTGCAAAGAAATCCCCCTCTTCTCTTCCCCTCCCACACATCATGCAACGCAAAAACCTCCAGCCCTCATTGTCTGTGCAAGAATTCTTCAAGCGAGGGATGACAAATAAACGGGGAAAATAACACCCCGAACAAGAGAAACTTGTAAAAGCAAACTGAACGATGCATCCTTCGAAAACTGGGGACCGAGTTGGGTAAGTCATGCCATCGGCCGTCAAGGAAAAGATCGAGAGGTCAACAAATCCAAAGCACCCAAAAAAAAGAGAGAGAGATGAAGAGAGTTTCCAAAAAAAAAAAAAAAAAAAGAAAAAGAAACGAGGGATGGCCAGATGCAGCTCCCAGGCGCTCAGTATGCCTTCTAATCCAATTAATTTCTCCCCTCCAGCACCAGCATTTACTTGCTCTCCGCAGCCGGAGTCTCAGCCGCAGCCGCAGCCGGAGCTTCTACAACAATGATATCGCTCATGTCCCACTCCCCCTTCTGCGCTCTCGCGAGCACCTCTCTTCCCTTATCCGTCAACTCGGGCTTGCCGCCCGTGTCCGTCACCTGCTCGAAGAAGGCGGGCTTGAAGACCTCACCCGTGCGCTCGCGCTCACGCGCCAGCTCTCGCTGCCGCTCCTCGAGCTCGACCTTGACCTGTGTCGCCTTGGAGAACTGCTTCGCGTGGATGGCTTCGGTGACGCCACCCCACATCGTCAGGGATTCGTTCTCGAGCTGCTTTTCCTTCGGGGGCAGCACTTTGGGTGCTACGTTGAGGGGTGCGAGATCGATGATTGTGTAGCGGGCTTCGGCAGGGTGAGAGTTCTGTATATTCTTGTCAGTATTCATGCGACAGATGGGGATGAAGGGAGACGGGGAGGGTACATACCACTGGCTTGGGGCCGAGGGTAAACTCAATCTTCTCGCGCCACGGACCGCTAAGGCGGGCAACAATGTCGGCCTCCGGGACGTCCTTGATGTTGACTTTGTTATCGTTCTCGGGGTCGTACTTGAAGATGATGCCCTCGACGCGGTTCGTAGAGCGGCCGAGCCACCCAGCTTCAATGTAGTGCAGAATTGTCTTGAGCTTGGTCTGCGGGCACGTAATGTACGCCATCTCACTGACGCTGACGCTCAAGCTTCCTCTGAGGATGCCACCGAGATGCGCCGCGGGGTGGGTGAGGCGATACGTCTCGCCGCCGCGCTTTTCGAGTGTGACAAAGATGCCGAGGTTGTGCTCACCAGGCAACACGCGAACGCTAGTACCCGTGAATTTTGCCGTGATCTGGTCGAAGCCGCGAGCAGAGAGGCCCCGCTCGGGACAGCTGATGTGGAACGCGCTTACAGGCGGGTGGTGGGAGGTCTGCTCGGTTAGGTATGAGATGCGGAGAGTCTTGGTCTCGGCCGTCGTGTTGCCGTGTTGAGGAACGGAGAGGGAGACGGCCGAGGCGTTCTTGTCTGCCTTGGCCGACTTGAAGCTTGACGAGCTGCTGGCCGCGCCGCTGCCGAGGGCCGTCGTGTTGATCTTGGGAGCATTATCTTCGGTTTCCCAATTACACTAGTCACACCCTCGATCAGCGTCATAAACCATGACATGCGCATGTTACGCAGAGAAACGACCGGCGGCAACTCACCCTAAAGAATTCTCCCAGACACGAGTTGTATGGTTTGCAAGGCTTTCCCTTGACGTACTTCAGATCCTTTGTGAACCAGAACCGGCAGACCTCGAGCATACGATCGAGGGGCTCGTCCGCGGTACCAATAGCTACAAAGGCGTTGGGCGCATCGAGGTAGTTCCAGTATTCGAGATTCGGTGTCGGCTCGAGGAGTTGGGACGGAAGAGAGAAGCGGACGGCAGCAAGGTCGGCGACGCCAATAAACCTGAAAGAAGGAGGCCGGTCAGCTTGAATTCCACTTTCCTGATGAGTCTCGTCCGTCTGGCTCTGGAGTTTTGGAGGTCTGGTGAGGTGACGATCGCAGGCTTACCCCTCCAGGGATCGTCCTCCATCAGCCAACGCACCACACCCCGCCCGCGAGGCAGAGAAACTCGCCTCCTGATTTCCAAAGCACTGCGCATGCAGGACAAAACGCCAGACGACGCCAACCACCACGGGATAGACTCACTTCTTCAGAATGCCAATAAAGGTCTTGAGCTTCGAGCCATCGCTCTGAGACTCCTCAGGCGTATCGTGCGCAGCTGCAGCAGCCATGGTTGCAGTCTCGAGATCGTAGACAAGGGGCTGGTTGGTTGGGTTGGTTGTGGAGGATGGGCGAGAGGTTCAAACAAGCCCGCGCCGGTCGGTGGGGTTTCGGAGGAGCGAGAGAGAGTTTGGGAACCGATGACGACGCTTCCCTTTTTTCCGCCTTTGGGTTGACTTGCTGCTTGGCGGCCTGCGTACTGCGTAAAAGGTACTGTTCACCAAGAAATCGCCCAGGCGAAAAATAGCGGCTTTGGCTGCGATAAGGTGGGGTGCCGAGAACGGCTGGCGGGGTTGCGAAGCCGAGATGGGAACCGCCAAAAAAGAGAAACCGAACAGTGACAGACAAGCACACCCACACTACAACGTAAGGTAGCAGTCCCAAGAGGTCTGGCGGTTGCAGTCGAGATCCAGAGGTGGATTATAGATGGCAGGGCAAGGTTTGTTTTTCTTAGTTGCTCGACTCCGTGTCGAAGGGAAAGATGCTACTGCTGGTGCGATGCGATAACCGTTGTTGCGGGTACGTTTGTTTGGACAGGTAAGGTATTCATTCGTAGGCGAGGTGGTTCCAAAGCGTGAGCGCGCGTGTCTGTTTCGTTTCAGTCGTCCGACTCGTGCGCAGCGCTCCGCAGCGTACAGATACGTATGCAATGGAAGATGAGACTCTGCAGAAGGAATCGAACCCTTCCTTTTCGCGTCTATTGGGAATACGTTGAGGGGCGGTAGTGGGTAGGTGGTCTGGATAGTATGAAATACTGTGGACGTTGCCGTATCGGAGATGGATAGCGAATCGGCAAGACGAGCACGGAAAAAAAAAGAAAAGGTGCAAAACCCAGACGCGGTACGGAGTAGAGAAGAAGGTTCGTTCGATTTGGGGGCAATGTTCTCTCTCTCTCTCTCTTTCTCCCCCAGCAAATAAACAAAGAATTTGGAAATGGCGGTGGATAAAAGAGGATGAAGAGAGAGATGAAGGCGAAACTGCAGGCCCCAGAAAGGTACGTAAAAATGTCATGCACGGCACCCAAAAGGCACGAACAGCAGCAGCAGCAGCAGCAGCAGCAGCAGCAAGCAGCGATCAAGCAATAGCAGCCGCCGCCAGTAGCAGAGCTCCATGCATCGGAGCGGCAAGGCAAGTGGTGACGCCGCACAGAGAGCGCTAAACCCGCAACCTGACGAGGGGAGCGGGAGGATGGCACCGAGGGACAGCGCCAAGCAGCCAGTAGGTGCAGCTCAGTCCAGCGTGTGCCTTAGGGGCAGTACCTGTCTCTACAGTGCGATGGATGACGTAACGGGTCATGAGATCAAGTAATCGCTAGTATTACTGCTCTGATCGATAAGTGATAGCACTGTCTAGAAGTCTCTGATAACGCATCGACCGTCCTTTCTCCTTCCAGAACAACTGTCAGAAGCCTTGGAAAAGAGTCAGATAAGAGCTGCGATAAGACACTTCCTCCCCGCTCTGATGCTACATCAGAAACGAAGGGGCCTCGCACCTCTGACTTTTAGCAACGGCTCGAGAACAACGGAGCTCTCGATGATGTTTTATCTAGCACCAAAAAAACATGCAAAGAGGATGAAAGAATCGGCTCTCTAGCTTCAGGAGAAACTGAAGTCATCATAGCTACACTCAATTTTACCGTTATACCACGTAAGGCAAGTAATGTAGTAACGCTCCCATCCATCAGCCGCGTCCGGACCGCCGCAGACAGCAAAGCAACCTCGCAACGCCAGGGCCGGATATCGACCAATCATCCGCGCACATGTCTAATCCAGCCGCCATCACAAGCTTCCCTCACTGTCTCGCTCTCTGCCTCTTCTTGACTCAAGCCTAACCCCTTCAAACACGTCTGCTTCCGTGGTGGGAGGAGAGGGGTAACTAGCTAAATAGAAGGAGGAAACAAGCTCGAGCACATGGGAGGAATGAGAGGCTGCGGCGGCATCATCTGCTTTGTACACTTACTCGCAATGTGCACGATCAAGGTAAGAAAAGCCGTGTGATTACTCCGTACTTGTGTGCATCATACCTCACTGTCCCAAGTGAAGTTGGACTACTCGTCAACTACTTTCATCCAAATACCACCGTATGCTGGAGAAAGAACGACCATTCGCAAACCTATGAACTGTTTCTCAAAACACCTTCGATTCATACACTAGGGTATGTTGAACAAGAAGCTGCACAATCCCCAACAACACAGTCAAAATACCGATCAAGTACTCGATATCCGACTCTTTTCAACCCAAGAACACAGACATTACCTGAAGTCAAAAACATAATATCAAAGCTCGTGAGAAATGAGCATACCGTAGCTGACCAACCCTCATCCCAACCATAGCGTATCACTCAACGAGGTGCGCTCCTTCATCTCTTCAGCCTCCTCCCACCCGCACTGACTTGAGTCCAGTTACAGTGCTAGAGTAAACTACCTTACTTGCATCCCACACCTGGATCCTGCAAGCCAACCTCAGATCGACTTCAACTTCAAACATCAGAGGTGATCTAGGTCAAGCAACTACGAGAGGCAAACGTAATTTTGCAGCAAAAGAGCCATAAGTGAACAAACCCTCAAACGCAACACAACCAGTCACGAGGTTCAAAACCCCACCCTGCATACAACACGCAGTAGAGTCGCATATCCTCAAGCCCACAGGGCCCGCAGCACCCAAGCGTACGTCCACCTCGTATCCCGTGAGCCCCCCCCCCCCCTTCATCTCACGAAGCCATCACGAGACCAAAAAAACTCACTTACACCTATTCATCACCCCATCTCCCGATACCCATACCCAAGGAGGCTGTGAATCAACCTCACCCTGCCCCCCTCATTCCCGTCGGAAACCTTTCCCCTGAGCCTCCCTGACACTCATCCCGACGGTTCACCGAAATCAGCTTTCAATATTGAACACTTTGATATTACCTTCGCCTCTCTCACCCGCCTGCTCACCCGCCCGCCCGCCGCCGTTCTCCGCCGTTACTATTGCTGCGGCTACTACTACTCCGTACTAGCCACTGCTACTGCTACTGTTGCTGCAGATCTTCAAGAACCCCTCATCTCAGGCCATCTCAGGGTCCTGCCAGGGATTCACCTCCAAGGCAAGACAAGGCTCGTCGTTCCTTGGGTTGGTTGGTGCCAGGTGGTCCAAAGCGCGATCTCAGGGGGGGGGGGTTCGGAGCCTGGAGGGTCTCCTGGAGGGTCCTCTGGAAGGGGAGGGAGGAGGCTAGCAGAAGCAGCAGCAGTAGGAGGAGGCTGCACTAGGAGTGAAGGGAAGGGGTGGGGGCCGGAAGGGCGTGTACGTCCGCTTGGGATCGTCGATTCGTCTCTCACTCTCATCACCAACCTCATCTCTCGGTAAGGTAAGTCGTAGTAAGGATGGGAACGGGGGGGTGGAAATGGAAATTGGGAATGGGGGTCTGATGGAAAGGATACCTCAACGGCGTATGTACCGATGGTATCTCGGTATCAGACTCCTCATTGAGTTTCAATTTCCACCGAAAATCTCCTCGACTCGAGGGTCATCAAGGAACATGGGAGAGTAAAGGGCTTCGAGAAGAGGAGAAGGGAGGGGGGGGGCACAGTTCGTTCCCCGTCTTACATGCTACCCTTCATGCATCTGATCGTCGCGAAGAGTAAGAAAAAAAATTATCACAATGCTCGTGAATGCGTGAATGCCTTCAAAGTTTCGCCGCCTCCAAGGCCCGAATCAAACCCAACCTCCCGGGCCCCCGAACATCACCACTCCCGGACGGACCCCCCCTCCCCTCAAAGAATCCAATATCAAAATGGTGTCAAGCCGCAAAAAGGAATGCAACAATGTTCCACTCCAGTCAAAGTGGTGTATGCCAGGGACATCCGCAGCGCCGCAGGAGAGAGAGACCGTGGCCTGTACCTGCATTCGGCATTCGACTCACCGAACCACCACCCACCCACCCACCAACCCGGGGCTCCGATGGAAGTTGACCCTGATTTTGACTTCGTATAGCTTCATCCTGCACCTCCTCAAAGGGCTCTAACGAGCATAATCCCCCTCCATCTGCCAACTTCGGGGTCTCTGGCGCCATGGGAATCTTGGAAGATCTGCATTCTGACCGTTTTTTTCCAATCCAAGCATTCCAACTGACAGGTTCACCTGAAGGGTTGCATCGTATGCGGTGGGCAGAGAGAAGGAGGGAATAAGGGAAAGAAAATACCACCCAGCAATGCCAGTCGAAGAGGAAGCGCCGCCGCCGCAAGCCCCCCTCCGAATCAAGCTTCATCGACAAAGCAACAAAAAATGAACCCCCGCCCCGCCCAATAAGCATCGCCGTATATCCATTATCGTCAAGAAAAAAAGGACTCCTCTCCCGGCGGTTGCTTCGTGGTGAGAAAGTGGCCCCCCGGTATTCCGGCCGAACACGAGAGATCAACGCGTGGCAAAGTCCCGTGGTCGACCGGAGGCTAGGAGCCCGGGCTTCACGGCCCTCCTTGCCTAATGCCGACTCTCTCTATCGACTCCTGGACGTCTGAATCCTCGACGTCGGACATGCGTCTCGGGGGACCGGGGGGTGTGTAGTTGCTATTCACGCCTCTTCCCACCCACCAAACACATCCCGTTACCCCCTTTTTCTGCTTCTGCTTCATGTATCCAGACACGCCAGTCTTATCCCCATGTCTAACGTCTGCAAGAATCGTACGCGAATAACGTCAGTGCCTCCCCTTCAATACTTCCCCAAGTTGCCCCCATCGTGGCTCAGCCCTCTATAAATATATATAATTCCAATGATTTTCTCAGGGGGGCCGCGATCAAGGGTTCCATTGACTGATTTCCACCCATCGAGAAACCTACCTCGTCGAGAAATGATCATCGTCGCTTTCTGCCCCCCCGATTCCCCTCTCTTCCCGCCTTCCTCAATTCCCAAGCCCAGTGCAAACCTTGTTCGTTCCAACCTTGATCATGGCATCGGAGTCAGGGACCATCTGCCATCTATTTTGTGCCCCCAAACACCGCAACACACGCTGCCCGGCCCCCCGTGTGCCCCCGCAAGACCCACGCCATGGAAGGGTCCATCGAAGAGTTTTCTCTCCTCCAACGATTTCATCCCCTCCCATCGACAATGACCTCATGATCGACACCAAACTTTCTCTCTTGGGCAACCGTGACCGTCAATAATCGCTGCATCCCGGCGGCGCCCGTGGAGACCCTTAAAAGGCATCCCTAGGGCAAATCCACCATCTGCACCCTGATCCCGGCCGACCACAGGGCGCACGCGGGATGCTCTCCGATGCCACAGCGTCAGCGTCTGTGAGTGCCGTGCCGGACCACTAAGACAGTGGGCAACGCAACGGCAGAGAGCCACCTCCACTGTCGGGACCCTAGTCAAGTTGCTGGATGTGAGATTGGCTCTATCCGTACGTCCGCCATTCATCCGCAACAAGATGATGATTATATCTGTCGATATCGCAGGATTCGGCTTCATTACATCCCGCTGTATTCGTAACTCGCTTCTTCTTTTGTGTTCCTGTGAGCCGTTCGGAGTGGGAAGCTTGTATATCCATATGCGGTGTAAGTGAGGAAACAAAATTGTACCTGCGCTTTGCCCACAGCACGACTTTGTTTTTTGCCGCCGTTAGTGGTGCAACCTCCGCCCGGCTACCCTCGCCAACTGGCGCTTACAAAGTTAACCAACCCTAAGCTTCGTCATTTCCTAGTCCCGAGAGAAGGGCACGTTCCGGGGTGGATGACAACGGTCCCTTGAGGCCTTGTTCCCATGTCCGGCAAAGCGCATGTTGGTGCCCCGGGTCTCCGGATGCAACGTGAGGTGGACCTCAACCCAAGCAGGCGAACTCAACCGGTTCGGCTACGAGACATTGCCCTGACGCATATTGACGAAAGCTTCTCATCACCGGCGCGTCGGACAGCAACCTTGCGTCTCCACTGACCGAATTGCGACCATATGGCACTCCCCCGGCTGCGGGATCAAGCCCCGAAGGTGTCCTGCGTCGACTGCCCAACGTTGCATGTGGTAAGATTGGAATTAAGCTCCAGGATGATGGGCCAGGGCGGGTCAGGGCCTGCGACTATTATGTAGCCCCTCTGTTTGGTGACTGAGAAACCCATCAAGATGTCTTCTCTGGTTCATATACACTGCAACTGACTCGTGTGCCACAGTCGGAGCGTAGTTTGACAGGTTTATTGGCACTTAACGGCGGGCGATATTGTCGAATCTCCGTCATAGCCAGTCTGAGCGGCTGTCGCCCTTCTGCGAATCGGGGACTTTAGGGTTCGGCAAGCTATTGAAGTTATGGGCCACGGCAGAGTGGTAAGGTACGAGATCCTATCCTACCTTACGCTGACCGTGAGGTAAGCCATGAAGCAATCTCGACGAAGAGTGAGTCCGTGGAGCTTGCAGGCAACTCTGAGATGAATTGAATCCGTACCTTTGCCCATGTAGCACCAGCGTGCACCCCCACCTCCACTGCGGCTGCCGCGACCCTCAACCAAATACCTGGTAATGTTGGCGCTGAATGCATAGAAGCATGAAAGAAATGGTTGATTTTTCTTAAATCGCCGATCAACGGTCAACTAGACTCGGGCACTTGATCCCCTGCTTTGGCTTTGAATGCGAGGACCCTGAAGGAACCATACTGGCGAGCAACCGGCGGTTGGTATCGATCGCTGGGCAGGGCTCCGTGGTCTCGTAGTTAGCCTCCTGTACCCCAGGGCCGTTGCGCGGGATGGTCCAAGATGGCTTCAACCATGTGCCCAGATTGGGATGTACACCATCAGTTGTCATAATCTCATGCGGACATTGAGCAATGAGTGGTCGTGAGGTTATGCCACGCGCTACAAAACGCCCTGGGGTCTGCTGAAATCCTCTTGCCCCAAGAGTGCGTGCTCCGAAGCCACATGTGCAAGGGCCCCGCAAACATGCATGGCAGCCCTCCCACTTTGACGCGCTCAGAAAGACCATGATCCCAGGCTCTCTATCCGTACCACGGCCGCCCACCCAAGCCTGTCCGAAGCGTTGCATTTTCAAGGCTTGGCGAGATTTGTGGCTCGCGATAACATTGTGCGAGGCCGATGGCAGCTGGCTTCAGCGCCATATCTGCGGGCATTGCCTCACGGCATGCTGCCCGCTCCGTGCGCTGCTCAGTAGCGCGATATGGACGTCAAATGCCAACCAGGCATGATATTTGACAGATATTCATCATGCCGTTGTAGTAGCGGTCTCCGGGCCGGCATCTTTGCAGTCACCTCCTGACTCCTGAGTGCTGAGTGCGGGCTCGCATTTGGGTTGGACATGGTATCCATGGTCAAGCTCAAGATCCCGGGGTAGAGCTCAGGGAGCTCTTGCTGGAGCCGTCTACCCATTAGCAAAGTACTCTGCCATCTCGCCTGGTAACACCTTGTCCGTATCCACTCGGTGAATTATCCGGCCATGTTCAACTGATCAGAGAACAATGTTTTGTGTCCGTACTTCATAGTGGGCAGAACTTGGTGATTGCTGCTGCTCAGGCAGACTCGCCAGGCCCAGCAGTTTCCGTCGGTCAACGCCACATCAAATTCGTGCCGCGTCCCGGGAAGAATGAGGCGCCGAGACTGGCCTCCCCTGTAGTCGTACTTCGATGCATCGTTAGGCCGAACACAGTGAAGACGGGGGCCCCGTTTTCGAGAGAATGACGTGGTTCGCGGCATCTCAACATCCCCATTTGGACGGCACAAAATGTGCCTGCATCGAGGGAAGTTCAACACTCCCATTTTCGGAAGCTGGTCTGATGAGGGTACGGCCCATCAGATGGCAGGGTTACGAGTTTCGAACATGTCCCGCGCAACTCTATCAGCGGCACAGAGAACCACGGATCGTGTGTTGTCGGGGTCTGTTTCAACTCTCTGTGCAACGACTGTTGATGCAAGTTCTATTGCAATATCGCAACGCTGGCTTCTACCGGTGCCACGAATCAAGCGTGCGGCGCAGAGGTTTCCACACCGCAACTTTCAAAGACGCTACATTGCGGAGAGTTGACTTAAGATGTGAGGGTTAACTCGACTGTTCATTGGAGCCTTCTGAGGGGATGGAGCTTGTGGTATCGTGGGATGTTGTCTGTGGAGCCGACGTCGCTTTTTCGAATGTACTTCGGTGAAAATAGAGACCCAGTGAAGACAGTTTTTTCTTCTTCTGTTAGGCTTTCGTCAAGCACGACATGACATCATTCTTTCGTGGCGGTGCGCTCTCTCCAACTTTGACATCCATCCCTGGTCCTTGTCCAAGATGAAGATGGAGAATGGAGATGGAGCATGCGCACGTCGGGTCCCGGTTCCCTCCGCAGTTTGTTTCTCTCCAAAGCCCCGGGGTCGAAAGCAACACACGGCGCTTTGCCATGCCGTCCTCTCCATCTGAATACGCTGTGCCAAATCAACGTCGGATCCCCCCCATGAGGACGAGGAGAAAAATTTCGGTGTTGGTCTCCATCTGAGTGGCACCCAGACAAAACCATCAAAGTCACAGCCTGAGCTGCGAGGCCCATTTCGACTGGCCACCGATGTCGTCAGTGAGGTATTTGCCATTTGGCGATGGCAGCAACGCGACACTGAAGGGGCGAATTCTCGTCAAAATCTGCCCACCCATGTTCCATGCACTGGTGCGCACATGGCTGCATCTTTGATCACGAGGCCCATTTCACAGACTCAGAAACTTCTTCCGCACGCCGGGATCGCCTTTCTTCAGCTCATCCACGGACCACGGTAGGTGTGTGCGACGTGAACCGCACAGCTGGAAATTATTGGGACCTCCAACTACCGATGTTTGGAGAGTTTCTGGGTCTCAATTAGAAGCCTTACGGCCGGATCCTTGTGGTTTGATGTTGGCAATGTTATCCCGATAATGATGCGAAATTATCGAACTGCAACGACTGCATTGGGCTTATCCCTGCAAAACCGCACATTTCGACCTTTGGGAGTAGACTGTGGTCGACGTTGGAATGCTATCGTACTTTGTATCGTATGTAGCCATATCATCAGAGCATTATGCAATGGGAACGGTCGAGGGAAAGTCGGAAGCGATGAGATGGCTACTTCGCCATCAGACCAGAACTGATTGCCGTGCTGTTTGGCCGCCTCGTTCTAGGGGAAAGTCCCCCAACCACCCGGTCCGACCTCCAAGTCGCGGAAACTCTGTTGAGTAGACTGGCATTTCCATTCCCCTCGGGACGAACGATTGCTGTGCTTAGGAACGACGACCGTTGAAGTTGATGACAAAAGCAAGCGGCGATTGGCTCGTCGATGTTCCCCCTGAAAGCTGTGCTGGGATGAACTCCCACGCCCGTGGGCAGATTCTCAAGCGTGCTGGACCGAAGATCCGCATCAGAAACGGGCAGGCGAGCCGCGATGGCCTGCTCCCGACATCCTCTGCTTCTATTTCGATTTCGTGTTAGTCATTGGCGCCAGTAAGTCCCGACCCAATCGGCAAATCCTTTACCAAGACCCTTCTTCCTGAGGCTCCTGTACAAATGTAGATCGAACACCAGGAGTTCAGAGACACAAGTATCGCGCTTGTTGTCGCAGGCTTGTAGCCCCGTGATTGATGAGTTTCGAACTCTCGACATTAGCCTGTGGGTAAGGAGGTGAGTCTGGGTCGCCGTGACGTCAGAGCTTTTGCTCGAGGTCCCCGCCTCGCCCTGGTAATTTGGGAACAGTCACAGACTTGCAGACTCACAGCCGCTGCGCGAGACACTCGGGTCCAGAGTCTAGGCATGGGGTTGTGCCTGACATGAGACGGTCTGGCTCCCCCCCATCAATCTTCTTCCCCAAGTTGAGGCCTGTCGTAAAGCTTTCGGCTTCAGCACTCTGCACTGATGTAGTGCGCTGCATAATAAGGTACGGTGAGCCCGAGGGGAACCCGAGTAGCTTCCTTTGGACTGTTCTTAGCGTGGTGCACAGAAGATGTTCCTTCGAGCTAGCTTCGTTGACGTCCGTCTAGAACGAATTGTCAGCTCGGCGATCCCATCTGCAAGGGCAGCTGTGGCCTGTAGCTGTCACGACTTGAGGCGGATCCAGTGCCTCCACCGAACTATTGGGACGTGCTGGAAGTTGTTGTGGTCGGCAAGCTCTCCAGAGGTCGTTGTATCCGTAGTCGAGCCATTGCTTAAGCTCGCATCGACGGTAGATCTTCTTTTGGTCCGCCCATGGAGTATGACTTAGATGAGTCTTCGACGACTTTCAATTCGGAACCCCTGGCACGGAATTTCTCTCGCTCATCATCAGACTCCGCTCGGAATTCGTCTCGTTCTCCATCTTTGGGGATCAACCATCAACGTATGGAAGAGACGACCTTGAGGCTTGTGGTGCTTGTGTTCTAGCCTCGAGGCTTGCACGCTAGGCAGTGAACGAATTGTGTGGTAAGGTGAATAAGCTTAGATGAAACAAGGATCGCAGTGTCAGTCTCCTCCTTTGACAGCTACTGGTCAGAGTCGGAAATGATCAGTTGGCGCCCAACTTTGGTAGTCGCTCTATGGGCCCCTGGAGGTCGTCTCGTAATCTCCCAAGGACCTCTAAATGAAAGGAGCCGTATATCCATTGTCAAAAGACGTTTCTCGTGCTCTGATTCGACATGACTTGAAGGATTTTGGACGATTGGGCAACCCGAAATGGTTGTGAAGAATGCAGCGCCGTCTCAAAATACCACGCCGGGCTATGCAACGGCCGGGCTGTTTGAGTCTGGCAGTGTTTCGGGCCATTTCGATGCTGAATAGGCTAAACACGAAACACTTGAAGTGCTGTGCCGTGGATTTGACGGCGGCCCGGAAGAACCCTCGTCAATTCTCGTTTCCAAAGCCTTGGTTGCATATCAAGATGGGGATTGAACTGACTCGAGTAAGCCTTCGGAAGTGCATCTGCGAACTCGCTGGCCAGGGAAATGACGTCAACACGCCTTCTCAATATTCTCTGCCGTTCGAAATAGAGCTCCACGTCAACAGAGGGCCGTTGGGAGCCATTGTCCAATGTAAGCTCCTGTTACGCGGCCAAGTTGAAATCTCCTGCACGATGGCTGTACGTACATTTCCGCGTTGTCTTCGGAAGGGAAGAGGTAGCGGATTGGCGGCAGATCCCTCGATGTGGTATCATCAACGACTCTGCCCCATTGAAGTGGTTGCAACGATGACCCAGCCATAGTCACCAGCGCTGTGCCGCTGCAAGTCTTCAGCAAAAGCGTACTGGACGACGTTGGATATAGTAACCATCGACACGACGTCAACACAAATCTGCCTTTGAAAATGATAGCAACCAATTGTCGCGTGTGAACGGGACGGGAGCTATACCACGTGCCGTGTCCCGCGCGGGTAACAGTCGTCATCTCCAGTAGCGACAACGGCGCGCCAGGCTAACAGAACGTTGGCGACGTTGTGATAGCGCCACTTAGAGTTCACTAGATGGTGCGTAACGGCCGGCAAGGCCAGTCATCTGGAATTGGATAGTCAGACCCGAAGCCACCGTTTAGCGAGCAACCTAGGATGTCGAATCAACGGGCCTGCAAGAGGTGGAATTGGAACGCTGAGCATACCTGCATGGTGGCAGCCACTACAGCCTCGCTGTGAAATTGCACCGTATGCAAAAGCATCCGCTATTGACCCGATGAACAATGTGAACATCGGAGTCGACCCCGTCAGTAAATCAGGGCCGAGATAGAACCAACACCCGCCCATCCGCTGGGGACCGCCAGTAGGAAGGAGGCTCAGGGGTGAATCATGCAAAGTAGCAAAGCGTTGTCCGGATATCGTGTACGTCCTGCTGATGAGTGCAGTGCTGATCGCATCGCTGAATCGTGGTTGACATCAAGAACGCTACTTGGCTTTGGGCGGAGCGGCTTGCAGGGTAGCGATCTGCATTCACTAGTGAAATCTCTTGACATTGAATCGCCGCCAGGCAAAAAGGATACACCCCAAAGGCCTGTTGTTGCAATATGCGATCCGAGACCATTGCCGCTTCTGAATCAATTCCCGGCTTCATCGAGCCTGGGGCGTGGGGTGTCGCCCGTGACTTGTGTCGGCCTACCTAGCCGTCGAAGCGATGATCGACTGAATGAGCTCCAAGGTTGTCGTTGTTGGCCGACAACAAGCGGATACAGCCCGTCTTTCGGGATCGCATTCAGACGAACATCCCCGAAGATTCTGGTCCACAAGCGCACGGCAAGCGTAATGCCCTTCCAACGGCAGCAGTCGTCGGGCATGACCGTTTTGGTGTATCCTGCGATCTGTCAAATGACTCAGAAGTCTCTATCTTCGGACACTGGCCGTCCTGGCACAGCTCGATTGGGATTCGGCAGCTCTCCAGTTTGTTCAAGGCACTTCGGCGAGGGGCAAAACGGAGATTGCACAGCCACACGGCTTGAGGGTCCAGGGGTCTTGTGGCAAGCCTTAACCATCTTCAATGCCCAACAGGCGTAGTGTGGTGGTGTAAGTATTGGTACAAGCCGGCTTGATTCTTTGGCGGTAGATGTTTCTGCTAATAGGCCGTTGACTGCTTATGACGAAGAAGCAACTTTTGCATACTGACAAAAATAGGTAGGCGACGCTTGTCAAGCGCTGTACGTAGTACCTGAGCGTGCAGTATGAGGTGGCGTTCCGCGGATTAGGTTTGACGGGGGTCAACGGCTCGATGAGACTTGGAAGGCATCGCAGGCTTTGAGAGCCACCGAGTCGCTTGCTGTTATCCGAATGAAGTGGCACGCCGTTCTGTCCACTGACCTTCTGTGATTTTCTAGTTGCGGATGGCCAGAGCCGCCAGACCAAGTTGATGGAATGTATCCGTTCGGATAGTGCGGTATTAGTTCGCTCTGTGGAGTGCGTCTGAAGCATCGGACGGAGTGACGAGGGGTTGGCAGATTGTCTTGAGTAACTGGGTGGAATTGATCGAAAAAGCAAAGACAAGGGAATTGCGAGTGTCCCTCGGCGAAATGACTGGTTAAAGCCCGAGACAGTTGAGCGGCTGCGTCAATCTAGGCGAGGTCTGTCCGGAGCGTGATGCAGAAGTTGATCAGGAGTCTAGTAGTGCGAGGAATGGTTTGTGCAAAGAATACACAAAGAGCGCACCGGTGAGTATCTTGAGAGACGAAGTTGTACAATGCTCCGGCGCCTAATGCCAATGCTGAACGTTTTCTCGGGGCGGCGCCGCGGGCATGGGGCATCCAGCTGTCAGAGGCGCGATGGCGCAAGAAAGGACCGATCCAAGAGACGGCGCCTTAATCAGACGATGCCCACCGAACCCACATGGTACTGCGACGGTAGGCGCATTGGCAGACTAACAGGAGAAGGATGAGGCCTGTGGACGAGAAAGAAGAAGAGCGAATGTATGGATGGCGCCGATGGCAGGCCGCAGATGGCAGAAGAAGCGGAGGATGGGCAAGGAGCGGGGGGGTTAATGGGAATGATGAAGCCAAAGGGAGCATGGCACACGGAAATGCCAAAGCGAGGATGGGGAAAACAAAAAGGCGCATGGATGCGGAATTGAAATTGGCTTGTGGCAGTGTGGACAGATGAAGAAGATGAGGTCGGACTGGGCTGGCAGATGAGGTATCCGTAGGTTGGGTTCAGTGTCCTTGAAGATGGAGATGGCGGATGAAGACGACGAGGACGAGGGCATCAGCGATGTAATGGGCGAAGGGAGACACCTTGTGCGGGAAGATGATGTGATTGAGGACTTCCGTGAAGCTGAGTAGGTACCTTAGGTAGTACCACCAGGAGAAGGTGCCCTTTGCGCGACATGGAAAGCACCCATTCTCAGTTCCTTCCCATCCGCAAGGCAAGGTTCCCAGTACATGAGACGTGAGGCAGGAGTGAACGAGCCGAGCTGAGCGCAAGGAATTGGGGGAAAGGGCAAGCCGCCGCCAAGGTCGAGGTGCGATGCATGCTCAGCTCAGTGAGGAGCTCAGAGCCTCAGGCTCTCAGAGAGACATTGTTTAGTGAGGCAGGCAAGGGAATGCTGACTACTACCTTCCATGCTTGACGATAAGGTGCGAGGAAGGCGCCGTTTAAAGTGTCCAGTTGATGATTAAAGTTTCGGTAAGGCGCCCTCCATCGCACACCTGCCATGTGTGGTGTTTCTGTTTTGAGCAAGGGCGCTTTCCGCTTTCCCATGTTTAAAAAAAATCACCATTATCCGTATGACCTGAGAGACTGGCAAGAGCAGGCGGGAGCCATTGACTAGTGCGCTACCTCATCCTCCGACCTTCCTTCCGGTAAGGTAAGGTAGGAAGCGTTAGAACCCACGTACCTTTCCTTGGTGGACATGGCATGGCTCTTTTACAATGTTGTTCAAAAAGTAAACAGAAACAGAAGAAGAGAGGCAAGTACGAATACCTTACCCTACTTACCTCAGCTCCCCATGTCAATGTAGTATTGAAGGTGGTAATCTCCTGCTTGGGTGTGTAGCAACTGCCTTACACAGTACATCAATACTCAATAGTAACCCCGATGTTATGGGAAGGAGCGAGGGTTAGACGGCACACGGGAGCAGGTACGAAGTGCGAATGGGGAAAACCGCCGTGGTTAGGTTAGGTACGGAGCACCTAAACCTCAGGCATGTTTGAATAATGTACGGATATCGTTCTGGATGATGTTTACTTGTTCGTTAAGGAAACGGAAGGCACTTGCCCCGTCTCCGTCCCCGTCCCCATCCATCATCGAGCATCTCCATTTTCCATTTTGCACCCAACCTATGGTCAGCTCGAGAAGGAAAGCTGTCCTGTCGCATCGAACCCGCACACGGATGACGGCTCGCCAACATCGACTACCAGGGCTAGCCAAGCACCAAGATGGGACACACGGCAACGGCGACGGCGCCGAAATCTGACCCCAAGGGCCCCAAGGGGCCAAACATCGTGCGGAGTACCTACGTAAATACAGGTACCTAAGGGGGTGGAAAGAGGCACGCCGCACAGCACACGCACGAGGGGAAAGCACACCGGTCTGAAGCCAGGCCCAATCCAGACAGAAGAGGGCCAGAAAGAGCCTGCCATCTGACAAGACTCGCGCGTTTCCCCGTTCCCGCCTGTTCAAGGCTTCAAGCCTGGGTGAGAATACCTACCTTAGCTCCCCCCGACCACGAGACACCATCTGACTGCATCAGGGCAGGCCGCGCCGCCGCAGAACCGAAGATGAGGGACCGACTACCTTAGCATCCGCAACTTAGGTCGCGAAATTTAGCAAGGCCTCCGTGGATGGGGATCCATACTCTGTGGTCCTTTGCATTTTGCGCAGCGCTTTTCTTAATTGACTGACGACATCTTTTTGCCTCTTGTGCCTCCTCCGAGCCACGATCCCAATCAATCTGCCATACTAATCGGCTCTGTCAGAGAGTGGTCAGCTAAACGAACTACGTCAGTTGGGAAAGGTCGCCGCTGCGACGGAGTAGCGCGGCTTCGTCCCCCTGTCCATCCCCCACTCTCCGAATCTCTCTTCTCCGAGTCTACTGAAGTTAGAGAGAGTGTCGGCTGACTGTGCAGGGGAAGGACAATAACAGAACAGACTTGGTCGGCAAAAAAAGCGATGCTGTCTGTAGTACGGACTAAGGTACGGAGTACTGTATTCCATATTGGTACGGATACACTACTCTGCACCTTAGCTTGCGTAATAGCACCTTGGCCTAATAAGAAAGACATTGGAGAGTGCAAGAGCTCGAGCCACGATTGAGGTGCCACACTCGTCGGAGTTGGGCTTGACTGGTGGTGATGAATGCGCGCGCCCCCTTTGCATAACGTGAACGTACGTGGTGACTCTATTCGAAGCTGGGGCGGCCAGAGACAACAGACAACAGAGCAAGGTACGGATACATCTGGACTGGAAGGATGAGCTTGACATCGGTCTGATGGAGCCACAGAGCTGCGCGTCACGGAAAGAGAGAGACTCGGTCGGTCCGTCACCTCACCTCACCTCACCTCGCCTCTCTGGGCTTCTCCTCTGCCGAGTCATCTCATCGGCTTGCAGTACCTACGGATACTTCGTACACCTACATCAGCGAGGGCACTATTCTCATCCTCTCACATCTGAGTGATGATGGGTACGTATCCGTATGGATTGGTGCTCAAGAGAGCGAGAGACATTGGTACAACCGTTGCCGTCCGTTTTCTGGAGGGCACGAGGGGCGTGTGCATAAATGAGCCTTGTCAACACATCCCATGCCGGGGGGGGGGCCAGCGAGCGGGGGGTGCGATACAATGGTCATTGTCGCGCACTAACAATTATTTTTTTCGAGATGGACAGTCGGCCTGGCAAGGGAGGGGGGATCGAGTGGAGGAAGCCGCCGATGGACATGCCCTGCCCCTGCCCACTGCCACTGTCCACACACGACAGTCGCGGCAAGGAAAGGAAGGTAGCGGTACAGACCACCTCACCTCACCTCGAGCGAGCAGCAGCAGCAGCAACAGCCGGGGCAAGCTCAGCAGAGGAGGGGGGAAAAACAGCGGCACGCATGTTACTGCAAGTCGAGTCCCACATCGAAAGACACGTACCGCTACCTCGGCTGACCATGTGTCTCACGCAAGACAACAGGTAGTCGGAACCTCGCATGTCCACCCGACCCGACCAGAAAAGCCAACGAGGGACAAAGTCCAGCCCAGCTGCGCAGTGGCAGCGGAAGCGGCAGCTCCAGCAAAAGAAGAAGCAGCAGCAGCAGCAGCAGCAGGCCGACCTCACACATCACACATCCAATGGCACCCGACAATATCGTCTTCTTCCTTCCAGTTCTCCCTCCCCCGTCCGACTCGTTTCTCTATCTACTTACCCTACTTTTACCTACCTTATCCTTGCGGTGCTTGGTATCCCAAAGGGAGCGACTGTTTGTTCCTCATACCCGATATCTACTTTTATTCCACCTCGACCCAACTCGACTTTGCTCTCCTGAACTATCTAGTACCTTGGTTGACATCACCCTACCCTACGTATCCGTACTTTACACAGCTTTTGCTCTGCCGTGCATCAATGCTCTGCTCAGCTCCCACTTCACCCACTTCAAGGGCAAGGCAGGAGAGGTAAAGGTACCTTACCTTACTGCCGGAAATCCTCCGTTGGATACATCACAAACACACCCCACTGCGATTTCTTCATATCTTCCGCCAGACTTCTCCCATATACCGGCCTTCTTCTCCATCCTTCTCCTCCTACCTGACTTCTCCTCACTTCTGTTACTATTCCATCTCCAACTTCTTCCATCTTTCTACCTTGACAATCTTTGCAACTCATCCCACCTCCGTTGTGTCCTCTCGACGCAGCTGCGACTACTACTACTGCTGCTGCTGCTGCCTGACCTCAAGTAGCTCACCTCACTTCCACAATCCATCCCACATCCACAACCACAACCTCAGAGGAAAGAAAAAAAGAGGGAAAAAGAGTACGTACCATCAGCTACTTGTCTTTGCAGTCTCTCCCAAGCACATCGTAAGGTACCCATCCCCTTGACCATCCTCACCCATGCCCATTTACCCATCTCCTCCAACACCCATTTCCATATCCCACACACCCTTGCTATTACCAGCATCAACCCAAGGCCCCATGGGCCCCAGTTCTCTCTCTCTCTCCAAGGAGGTCCCAGACCCAGGTCCCATCCATCCTCATACCCAGGACCCAGCCCAAAGGGCTCACTGCACCGTCGTTCAATCCGCGCGCACACCCCATCCTTACCTGACCTCTCTCTACTCTGCCTTACAAGCGCGCATTCACACATACATACATTAGATACCGCTCATCCCATTCATCCCCCTTCCCTTAGATTCTCTACCTACACGTCTTGCTCGAAGTTCTGTTCCGACCTCCCATCGTAGCCGCGTCTCTTCTCGCTCTTGCGCACCGTTCCTACCTCTCTCCCCGGCCCCGGAACATAATACGCACACATCGCCCACCGTGTCGGTCAACGTCCATTTACTCACCTTGAGCAACAGGTTGTGTACCAAGCAACGCATCACTATCGGCCAATACTCGAAACCACAACACCAGGACTTCGAGACCCTTTGGCGAACCAACGGACTACCTACTGCTGTCACTTCTTGTGCGCGCATGGTCTCTTGTCTGCCAACGTCTTAGTCTCCTTGTTTGCGCCTCTTAACCAAGCCGCTACATCCGCCAGATTCATCTCCTCGGTGAAGCAGATCCAATAACGACAGAAACGCCCACTGCGCATCTAGGCCATCGTTGCTCCGCTGCGCATCCTTGTCTGTCCACCTTGCTTCACACACGTACATGCCAGGTACCCACCGCATCCTCTAATATACCGCTCTCTCCCCACGGACGTCATACCGGAGCGGCCTTTTCCTTTCGACCTGCAACTTCTCGACTTTTGCTAGCGGCCATTCGACATTGCACATCGCCATTTGAGGAACCAATTTCGCATCAGGTTTTTTCTTCCCCCTCTGGCTCCGCGACCGCGTGCGACGCTATCACCGACCCATTCGCTCTTTTACTTCCGACCGCTCTATGAGGCGCCAAAGCTCGGCTTTCCCCCACCTGACCTACGCTCGTTAAGGAAGTTCAGGCTCCTTCAGCTGAATTACGGCAGAAGAAGAAGAAAAAAGAGACAGGCGTCGCAAAGCAGCAATACGAGGGCGAGGATTTTCGGACCTTTCGATTGCTCGCCAAGAAGAGACTGGGTTTGGGAGACCACCCACAACTACTGAACACCAACTCGGTATCGCTGTCACTAGGCAGCGCGCAGATCTGCTATCCAAATGTTTCGCCAAAGGTAAGCTCTGCCATGTCTTGTCGTTATGCGCCGACAAAAATAGCTGTGCAGCCTGGCTCCCCGCACAAGATGCGCGCGTCGTTGCGCCATCTCGAAACCTTTTTGCGCCTGCCCGGACATGTGCTGACTCGTGTGCCTGTTCACAGAACAAGCGCCCAAAAACCCGGCGATGAACTGCTGGCCACTTTTCGAAAGCAGTTCCCCGAGGTAGCTGTTACGACCACGGCCCCAGTTGGCGCCGCGAGCGCCGCCGTCGATAATGCGGGCATGATTCCGTCCATCCCGGGAGTGCAAGAAAGGTCAGTACCGATATCATCGTGAACTTTCCCTAGAGTTTTGCCGTTGCTTCTGCGGCACCCGGCCGCGCCCGCCGGGATGAGTCCAGGCAGAAACGCGGGGTACTCTTGCCCACGTGTGGATCAAGAGGACTTATCCGCAGAATCACCTTCAAAAAGATGCTTGACTTATCCGACTCTGTGGCTAACATTATAACTCGCTATAGAAGCCACAGCCTCAGCCATGAGGCTTTCAGGGATCAAGACCCAACACCCAGAGCCACGAATGAACCATGGAGGTTCACCCCATCGCTGCTTGACCCCAACTCTTTCTCCTTCACCAACTTCGCCAATGCGCCGCCCGGTTACTACACTCCCACACCGGGAGGCACCAACACCATCTATCATCCCCAAGCTGGTGACTTGCACACACCCACCCTGGGGCTCGGCATGGGTCTCGGGACACCTCTGTCGATGCCCACATCTGAAGGGGCAATGCACGCTGGACAGCCCATGATGGACCTCGCTGGCTTCCAAGGAATGCAAGGAATGCACCACCCTCAGCAGTTTCAGCAACCGTTCAATCCCTTCATCCAGCCTCCGGCACACCAGCAATCCTTCGCTCCCTCCTCATTTGTTCATCAAGACACTGGGTACGAGACCATGGAGCAAGATGGATCGCCAATGAACTCTGATCCATCTGAAGAGCGAATGGCTTCTATCGACAGCGCATTTCACAACTCGCCTATGGTCGGTTTTCAGGGACGCCAATTCGGAGGCATGCCCATGGCTGCGGTTATACCACTATCTGCTGAGAAGTTCCGGTTCCACGCTACTCTCAATGCCCCTACCGCTATGATCAAGCACGCTGATGAGATTCCCGTCACGTATCTCAACAAGGGCCAAGCTTACTCTCTGTCTGTCATCGATACCAATGCTACAATGCCCGTGGCCCCGGGTACCAAGTTTCGAACGTTTGTCCGAATCTCTTTCGAAGACGAGCAGCAAAGACAGAAACCCGGCGTCTGCTGGGCTTTGTGGAAAGAGGGAAGAGGCACAAACGAAGCCCATCAACGAGGCGGAAAGCTGCAGGCCGTAGAGTACGTCGAGGCAGGCCAGCCGACCGAAGGCGACGACAAGAGAACCCGCGTTGAACTAGAATCATCCTCCTTTGACGGGTTTTCAGTGGTTTGGACACCCGGCATCAACGGCGCCCCCGAGTGCAACATTGCTGTACGCTTTAACTTTTTGTCGACCGACTTTAGTCACTCCAAGGGTGTCAAGGGCATTCCTGTAAGACTCTGCACCAAGACCAGCACGTTCCCGATAGACACCGCGCAGCCAGCAGCCGACGCCAATCCGGAGATCTGTTTCTGCAAGGTCAAGCTATTCCGCGACCACGGTGCCGAACGGAAGCTTTCCAACGACGTTGCACATGTCAAGAAGACAATCGACAAGCTCAAGCAACAAATAACCCAAGCAGAAAGCGGCATGAAGGACTTTGGGAAGCGCAAGAGGTCCAATGCTGCAGCACAAGTCAAGGGTGCAGACCAGCGACCCGGCAAGGTTCAGAAACACAAGCGAACTTGGTCCATGTCTTCCACCAGTTCAGCCGGGGCGGGGGCCCGCCCTCCTCTCGAAGAAGACTTGCACTTCAAGCTTCAAACACTGCAGGATATGTTCACTAGTACCCGGCCTGTGAGCGTATTGTACCTGCGCGGCGAAGACCTCGACGATCCAGACCTCCACCCCGTTTCGCTTCCCGGAGAGCAAGGCGAACTTGCCAAAGTAGAATCCCGCGAGGGCCCAGCATGGCAAGCGCGCAGTGGCCGCAGCTCCGTTGCCGGTTCATCTCTAGTATCACCTTCGCCAAGCTCCCTATCGCTGGCGTCTCAGGCTTCAGTTGTTCCCAACCGTCAATGGACCGGTTTCGAGGGCGAAGGCTCTGGTGAACCTGCTTCCCGGCAAGGGTCGGATCAGCCTACAAAGGTCACCAAAACCGACGATGCGGGCAATTTGAGCGGCTGGATCGAGGCACTAGGCGTGGACCCAGCTTACCGTCCACCCCCAGAGCGCGTGCTAACGCCCGCAGCCTGCTTCTACGTCATTCGACCCAACACACACGAGCCCGAGAAACGGGAGTATTACCGGGCTATCTACCTGGCCCAGAGAAACCTCAAGGACTTCAACTACCGTGTGGCTGCCAAGTGGAATCTAGACCCGTCAAAGATTCTGCGGACAGTCCACGTCCTCGATCGTGGTCTCGAGGTCGCGATAGACGACGATGTTATCCAAGAACTCAGAGAAGGCCAAGACATGGTGCTTGAGATCAAGGAGATCTTGCCCGAGAACCCTGTCCAGCTCAAACGCGAATGGGACATGGCCGTTGACCCAAGCGATGGCGACGCCATGGACCAGTCATCTGCACAAGGCGGCTTCGAATTGCGCCTTAACTTTTAATACCACATAATTGGATCCATCTCTACTTCAGCAACAATTGGATGAGACTCGGATTGGGGATGGGCTTCATTTTTCTTTAGCCCGTCACCAGGGAGGCCACTAGGATAGGGGTGGCATAGGCATACACGCGCTCGCACACGCATGGTTGGAATATCGCTCCGAAGGCGTTGTTGATTTTGAGATACCAAGTCCCTGGATGGGCCGCTTCTTCTTTTCAACGCTTCTCGCCGCACAAATCGTGGGCGACTTTTTTGATTTGGGCATTTAGATCTGGGTCGCTATGGGCAATCCTGGGCAGCAAAAAAAACACAAGATATCCCGCCCTTCCACAAGGGCCGTTCGGCACACTCTCGAGAGGCTCGTTGGAAGCGCGACGGGCAGACACACGGCGAATACGGCTTCACAGACAATCCGAACTTCCGTTGCCCTTTCGACCTTGCCAATGGCCTCTGATACGACCTGTTTCATTCTCTTCTTTCATTTAACGCATCAATACCTTTTACCATACTATTTGGTATCCAACCCATGTCTTTCATTTGTTCGAGGCAACACATTGTGTATCTTTGCTTCCTGAGCGCTCAGGAGCCGTGTAGCTTGGCCGATGAAATGACGCAAGCATTGGAGGGCACCATTGATAGAGACGAGCTCCCTGCACTGCAATGCATTGCGGCTTGTACCATAACAACATACCCGCTGATTCCTTCGGTCTATCCGGGAACAGAGAATTTACGGCATTTACATGAGTTTGCATTATTTTCGCAGCGCCGGCATCAAGCACATTTTGAATTGATATTGCCAGGCCCGAGAGACCGAACCACAGAAACAATGACTGACTCTAGTGCTCATATCGGTTCCGTATAGGTCATGCAAGGCGGTTATTACTGACTGGGACACAGAAGCCGCCGTTTAGGCCGTTATGCACGATGATTGGAAGACGGCCGTGCTGTGGCTAATCTCGCGTGGGAAGCGCTCATTTCGACGGTGGGAGCCCCCGGGGAGGCGTTGAATCCGCTGGCGAAGTGTACTTTGATTAGCGCCGTTGACGGTCTAGACCACTGTCATCGCGGGTCCGGTTGCTCCATCATAATCGAACAAGATATGCGGAGACTTCCCTCTTGCAATAAGGCTGGATCCAAAGTTTCGGTCTGCCGCGCCTGGGATAATCCTTGAATACGGCTTTCGAGTCCACGACATCGTCGATGGAAGGCGGCCGTGTTTCTCTAGCCACACAGCGTTTCCGTCCGATTGGTCCCACTACGGTCTGCCTGGGAGAAAACGCTCCAACGCCCTGACGCCGCGCCGCGCCGGCGGGATCCGGGCGTATTCGTACCCCCGAACGCGAACAAGCCTCTCAGTTGGGGGTCACAATCAGATTGCGTTGTTCTTCGGTGAAATCGCGAGAGAATCGGACACTGGGGCTCGTGAATACGGCGTTGACTAATACCTATGAGCTTTGACCCCTACAGTCATGTTGTTTGCCGCTCCCAGCCAACCGGAGCAATGGAGACGACTTTCAAGCAACGGGGCCAAACAGAGCTTAATTTTTACGACTCTGCAAAAACGAGAAAGATCGGGCGGGCGCATAGCAAAGGCTGAGGTGACAATTTCCCGTCGAGGATGGCAACCCAAATCTGTTGGTGGCCGTCCTTTCAGCTGCTTGAATACCACTGATGCATGATACTGCCATCATCCGATCGAAATCCTCGAATTGGGGGTAGATCATCGCTCAGAAAACATGCCTCGGTCAATGAATTAGTCAGTAAACTTGACAGCCCATCGAGTGTTTTCAATATGGACAGGCGACACATCAGATGCTCATGCGCTGTCGGGGGACTTTCGCTACATACGCCGACAGCTCCGCGGCCACCGACTGGCGAATAGCGGGGCAATTGTTTGCTTCGTCCGATCCGTCAGCAGACCATTCTCCCGACGTCCCCGGCGAGACACCTACAGACCGGCCGGATTCCGGCCATGCCGTGCGATCGGCGCAGTACAAGATACCTTGCGAGGCCGCCCGACAACCCCCCTCGCTGCTCTACGTCAAGCCACAGCGATCGCCACCTCTCGTTGCCTATTGAGATGCACGAGCCACTATCGATGTGGCGAGTGCTTGCGTGTCTCGAGGGCCTGGAAGCGCTATGGACTCTTGGCTCGAAGATGTTTCCTCTGATGAGCTAACATGAGTCAAATTTTGAACGAAAAGCTAGTAAGACGACCTACGCATATCCGTGCCGCGAGGCCGAGAAGCCACATGTGGCGCAAGCGACGCACCACAAGACCAAACACCTTTGAGATTGACCGAAGCGAGTGGGCGACTACCTACGACTACAAGGGTCCACCATGAACGTTTTGGATGCTGCGTTGCTCAGCTACATCGAAGTACTTGTGTCTGAGGGGTGGGCAGTAGGTTGTCGCTCGATGTAAATCGAGCAGCAAAGGTTTGTTGACCTCGAAGATCTTGATACCATGACACCAGCGTGCACATAGGCAGTCACCTGAGCGGACAGCCTTGCCATGCACTTAGGGTTTGATCATCTACGTATCGCGTTATCATCTCGCCAAAAGCGATGCCGTATTTGATTTCAGGGCATCAACTGAACAGTCTAGATCGAAGGGGGCTATCACGGAGGCCGCCCTGGGCTAGAATCGCAAGATTGAAGACCGGTCTCTTGTACGGTCGCAACCAGATGGCCGCACGAAACCTCGTTTACCAGACGGTGTCAAATAATAAGCTCTCAAACGACGTTGTGATTCTAAAGTACGCACAGAGATGAACGAATTGGATTGAGTTACGCTGGTAGACCGAGACTTGTTGGGTCTCCCATTTGATCTTTTGGTCTGATGTCTTCGCAGCCAAGGGCCCGTTCCGCCTGATATTACCGAATGCCGAGGCGAGGGTTTGTGACTGACAAGCCGTCTGGTCATGTGGGATTATCACTGGAGGACGCCAAACTCAACAAATCTCACAACATCGCAAAGGAACCCGAGGAGGATTCCGCCAATAGTCTCGATCTTCCCTGGCAGATACGTTCCAAGAGGGGCTCGCGTGCGGGGAATTCGGGGTCAGAAAGCGATCTTGGCATGCGGAAAGCGAGGCCTTCACCTTACGAGGTCGGTCTTCTGCGGCTAATGGTAGCGGTAACACCTTCGGCCCCGGTCGCATGCGACTCCATGTCCCATTACTGATGAAACAAGCGTAGGGATCGAATATTGCCCAACTTTCAGCAGAGCCTGAAAATGTCTCAAATTCCTCAGACAATGTCCAAGAAGTTGGTGCTGTATTACACATCAAGTCACCCAGAGTGAGAAAAGCAGCGGTAAGCACTTCGGCCACGCGTCTCATACCTTGTCCCAACGACGCAGATGCAAGACCCTGCGCCTGACAGTTGATGGTTTCCTAAGGGTCTGCATTATGCAGCGGCACGAGTGCACGATGAAGGTCTATGCGAGCGGGTGAAGCCATAGGTCTTGCATCCAAAGTACCGGTACATTGGCTAGGTGGAGGGCCAGCCACGGCCCAGAAATGGTGGAGAGCACTCGCCACAAATCAGTTCCCAAGTCGTCCGTCAGATGCTTCCGAATGGCTCAAGATACGAGAGAGACTGGGACCTTTTGTTCAAAGGGAGTGGCTCAACTGGCTTCCCGAAACGGAGCATTTACACGCTGATCATTGACAACCAAGGGAGCACCGCCAGGGCCACGCAGAAGAATCTGGACCCAACGGACCATAAGAGAGACTTCGGAGAGACAGCCTCGTCACACTGCTTTTACGGCGTCTATTGAAAACGAAGATACTTCATGCAGAGAAAAGGAGGGCAGTTGCATTCCAGATGATCTCTGTGCGTCTGTGACGAGACAAAGATGCGCCATGATTGCGCGGCTACTAGCCACAGTTGGTGCCACAGGTCGACAATCCAGCGCCCAAGATCCTCTGTGGCATGAAGATCACTGCAAACTATATCTCAAAGTCGCATCATTCTTCAGGGGAAGTACCCAGTCAGATTCCTCAAGACCATGACATCTCAGCTGGCCAAGGGTTCAGCCCCTTCGCGTAAAACAATTAGGTTTAGCGGAGGGTCTTAGGCCTCATGTTCGGCTTCGACCTCGTCCGCCACAAGTGTAGGGAAGATGTCGATCACTTGCTTCATGTGGCTTTAGAGGCGAGCCACACTTTGGAGTGTTCAACCGATATGGGCAGAGAGTTGCGTGGCTGAAGTGGCTGAGCTGCTACTTCTTTGGGGGTGTGCGCCAGGTGTGGAAGGCTTACGGCTCCTGACTGGCTCTCGCCTGATGCACTCGCCACAGTTGGAGGGTGACGGACGGGGAAACAAATGGCGTTCATGCGTGGGTGCGGCTTATGCAGCCGTCGGATGGAGTGGGCGCCCCAGGGGTGAGTGTCTTTGGGGTCTCGTTAGGAGGAAGTCACTTTCTATCTGGCCAACAACGGGCTCGCTCATTGGGTGACAGGACCCCTACACGATTCCAGACTCTTGGGATCGCCGAGGATAGGGGTGCCACGAGGGCTCGGGACTCGGGAGGCATGGCGGAGGGGTTCCATCAGAAGAGGGACGCCTTGGACCCGGCCACAAGGGACTCTCGCCTAGTTGAAGAGGATAAGAGTCGACGACGCCCCATGGGCCATGCTCGACGCGGCTTTCTTGATAGATGAAGGTGAGTTTCTGGTGCCCTCCTCCCACGCTCTTATATCAACACTGCCTTGTCTTTTTCAGGTCTGCTCCTCGCGATGCCTTCCTTCTTTCAGGACAACGCGACTTCAAGGTGACAATCTCCTCCTTGTTTCCTCATTTCTCCTTACCTCATCCTCCACCTCCTCTCCAGCCACAGTGAGGGACTAGGTTTCTCTGCCCGGTAGCGGAGTGACGCTTGTCTTGCCGCTGGAACGTCGACGGTGAGCCAATGGCGACAACATATGAGGCCTGTCAGTTTCCTGAAACGGTAACTTGAGGCTTTTGCCACACCCGAGAGCTCTTCTGCGAGGGAAGATCGCGAGTTCGTGGCGGTGCTCCCCTTCCACACCCTTTCTGGCCTTTGGCCCGGAACGTGGGGGGGCGAGGGTGAAGAAGGAGAGTGAGGACCGTAGGCGAGAAGGGGCTAGGGCTGCAGGATCTTGCGATTCACATCCTCTTCACTACCTACTGGCCTGTTACCTGCTGCATGAGGGTATTCCCCTTGTAGAAAGGCAGCCGAGACGGCGATCCTCGCTTGTCAACTGGCTTCTTGTGGAAGCAAGTACTCCCTTTCGGGGCCTTGGGGACTTATTAGCGCCCCTAGTGCCACCTATAAGCGGTTTTGCTCCCCGTGGGATAGGCGAGAAGCCGACGAGAAGCCCTCGAGGCAGCGGAAACAAGCGTTTTCACTGGTCAATGGACAGGAGGCCACGGGTGGCCAGGCGGCGAGCTATCGCCACGCGAGGAAGAAGCTTCCCCTGGCTTGTTTCCGCGATCTGCGGGGAGAATGCAATCTCTTTGCAGAGAAACGGGCAGTTATCACCACAAGAGGCTGCTGGAGAGGTCTGTCGCGCGGAGGGATATTCGGATCTGCGACCTCTGTCACCTGGAATGCGACGGTGATCGTGTGGTAGAAGCACCAATGGAGACGCGATCGCCATGGGAAACCCCCTCTTAGGGGCAGCTGTCGCAGTATGCCGAGTGGCATTGAGTTTAGGGCTGATGTGCCTTTTTCTCCTTGCTTCCCCCATTTCGCCAGCTCGCCACCCTACCTCTCTGCAAGCTCTCAGAATTCTCTAGGGGACCTGGCCTGCCAGGCGGGCGGCGAGGCACGTTGAGTGGCGGGGATCGGCGAACACGTTTTGAGAGGGGAGGGCCTCGGCACGTTGAGATGGGGGCCCTATGATCGGCTGGGGATGACAGAACTTTGTGGATGATGGGCGTTTCAGAAGCTTTGCGAAATGGATAGAGAAAGACGAAAGACGAGCTTGAAAGGCAGGGATTCTCCTGGACCCTTTGTGGCGGTCTTTGTTTTGACGTTTCTGACGGCGAACAAGAGGAGGAGATCTGCAGATCGACCGTTTGCAAGAAGCGGGGAAAACTGTTGTGGTTTTTCTACCGAATTTTCGCGTGGTTTTCTCTATGGGAAGGTAAAGTTGTGCGAACTTCGCTCTGCAGTTATCCGAATCGGCCCGGTTTTGTTTGTCAACTCGACTGATCTAACCATTCATTTTGCCTCTTTGCTGTCGATTGGATACTCTTTTGCAATCCTTCGATATGAAATGAATTGGCGGAAAATCAGATGATTTGGGAATCTGGGGTTACTTTTCAGGTGAGAGGAGGCGAATGATGATCGGCGGTGATCGGCCGTACGTCATTGCCCGTTTCTATCAAGCTCCGTGACGTTTCGGAGGCGGGGGGTTGCTGTTGGACGGCCGGCGGGAGGGGGTTTGCCATGGATAGATTTGTCTATAATTTTAATGATTCCCTAAAATCCTGCCCATCTCTGTGTTCCGTTATTCTGGGGTTGTTTTTTTTGTGCGACTTGAGATACTCTATGGTGGTGGATGCGCGACGCTTAGAGAGAGGAACCTTTATGGGATCACAACAAGACGATCATTGTACGAGCAAAGGGATTGGAATTTGCGATCGACATGGCATAAAAACGATTGAGAAGGATTCAAGGATGGATTCTTTCAGTTGATGGGACGGCGGGATGGGGGTCTACGACCGAGTCGTGATGGGATTACGAGAGATGGACGGAAAAGGGGGTCGAGACGGGACGCGACTATGGGCAACGACGACGAAAGTAACAAACAATGAAGGCGACAGCAGCGACAACGAAACAATTGCTACGAAATCGCATTGATGGGACCATTCCATCACGCCAGCGACGAAGCTAGAGAGATACGCAGCCTCGAGGATGAGGACGGTGCCTCCCGATCCTGCCGACTCAACCCCCCCCAAAGGGCAAAATGGAACGACCGGAACGATGATAGGGCAGCGTGAAGATGGATGGGAGGTAGGTTTCGACACTGAAGCTCGATTCGAATCGAAGAGCGGGGTGGTGTGTCCTGATGAGCGACGGATACTCACGATGGTTTCGCGAAGGGGAGTGAGGGCTGGGGGTTGATACCCTCGCTACGTCCCATGTCCTGACGCTACGTCATTCATCGTCTACGAACATGGCCCTGGAGTTTCTTTAAGAGGATGGGCTTGAACGGGCTGGAAACGCTACCTGGGTCGTATTCTCTCGTCGTCCAGCTTGGAGTCGTGGAAGGGGCAAGGTGGGTTAGTTTTTTTTTTTGGGGTGTGGACATGCACCCTCTGATGTTTTCGCTGATGAGACATGTCCCCTTTTTCTTTATCCTGTCACATTGATGCGACTTCGTCGTTGGACTTGTGTCCTAGAGGTTGCTGTGCAAGGTGAATGGTGTGGATGAGGTGTCGCCTACTGCTTTGGCTGTCCGTCGTGGCCTTGCCGTTATGGACTTTCAGTGCTACAATTGCCAAATGGGCCATCTCAAGGAGGAAGCTGTTTCCTATTGTGAACTTGCGTAGTGTCCTGACCTGGGTTTTCTGAACTCAGTGCGTTGGCGGCCTTTGCGGGTTGGCACCCTGCGTTCTTCTTGGTCTTAATGTGGGCTAGTTTAGGTGAGAACCTCGAGAAGAATAGGGTTTCTCTTACGAAGGTTTTCGAAGCGGTTTCCGAACACCACGAAAGCACCTTGTGGTCTTGGGACTGTCAAGTGGTGAATGCCCAACGTCCTCTATTTCAAGAGCTCGAGTTGTTGTACGGAACTCTGAGTTTTACTCCCCCCCCCCCCCCCCCTGTTCGAGGTAATTATCTCCGAGATATTCGCGCATCACTTGTGGTGTTTATGATATCATCCCTCACCTAGGCTGTGGTACATCCCTTCCTCCGTCCCATGATCGGGATAAGATATGGTTGCTACTTCAACTCAAGTAGTTTAAGTATGGCAAGCGCCATAGGATCTGTCAGTTTCTGAAGTATGTTGAGCGTCACCGAAGCCTCCGAATAGTACATGCCACACGTGATGGGAAGGAGGTAAAGGTATCGAAGTACTAGTTCCTAAATATGCTTGACTGGCAAAGGGAAACGCAGGGCAACTCATATAAACACCATCCAACCTCACAGCCGTTCAAATGATCCCCAAGGCGCCGGTGATTAATGCCATCGACTCCCTTAGTATGAGATCTTTCCTAAAAGAATACTGAAAGTCACTGTGCCCCGAGATCTCATCGTAAACAACAAACGTCGCTTTGTCTTGATCAAACCCAAGATACCCCCCGTTACTTGTCACGCACGCTCATCCTCGAAACATCGTTAACGAATACGAACGGGTCTCCCAGATTCTAGAAATGACTTATGAGTTCACTGCATGTGTGCTCCGAGATCCTTCTTCGGATGTCGACACTTGTGCTCTAAAGTCTTTGCCAAAGCCAAGCTTCATGTTTCAATCTCAACGTCTTTTCTCGGTTCCCCCTTCCCTTGGAGCCCAACTCTGCCAACGCAATAGCAGTGAAGAGCCCCCACCCTTCCATCCCAGTATTAACCCAACGACGATGGAGGACTACCGAAAAAAGAGCCGGAAGAAAATCTCATCACTCTCATCAAGGAACATCTCCAGCGGATCAGTCTCGTGACTTTCCTCCTCACTAAAGGTCCGGTCGCGAATTACAACTGGGACCCTCCTATCCCGGAGCGACTTCCACGGGGCCTTGTCCGTCGTAGGGCGTTGCAGGGAAAAGGTGATCCGATCCGGTAGCCCGGCAAGGTGAAGGTTCTCGGGTCCAAACTTGCCAGACGCCATCCGAAAGCGTCCCGTCCTCAAGTACCCGGCCACGCCGGCGGTGGGATGCATCGGGTACTTGTCCAAGTAGATGCGTTTGACATTTGGCAGGGAGACACACCACTTGAGCGCGCCTGTCAGGTTCTCGGGGAACTTTATCCCAGACTTGACCCAGTCGAGTCTGACGTTTTGGACAACCCGGAGGATTCCATTGGTCGTTACGCTGAGCTGGCGGGACAAGGAGGCCTGATCATTGCTTGGTTGGGAAAACGGCCACATGTGCGTTTCGCGGTTGTCGACGGGGATGTTACTGGGACAGAAGACGTCGAGGGTTGGGTATGTCCAGACGCGGGTCTGCGTATTATATTGGATGAATAATTCATCCCCCTGTGATGGGCCTCGGAATATCCAACGGGGGTTATAAAGATAGTAAAGCGGATGAAAGGTGTTCATGGCCAGGGCCCTGGTCCATGAGCAGGTATGTAATGGTAGCCGGATACTGTTGAAGCGCTTCACTGAGAAAGCTAGCTCCCTGGGCTCTTGGTGTTCTGGATGGTAGGTTACTGCGGTGTGAAATCGGCGTGTATACCAGTCCAGTCCTTGATGAATATTCCACGTGATGGGCTGGCAGTCGGCCGCAGCGTCTGCGATTATGTTCTCAAATATCATCAATATGATCTCGTTTGGAAGGCGGGGGAGGTAACGGGCTTCCTCCGCTGTCTTTGTAGTAGTTACTTGCTGCATCGTGATTTCGGGCGATACACTGTCAAGGAGGTGTAGAATAATACAGTATTGATGATTGGGTATGAGAAGTTCGTGACGGTGATCTGTTCTTGGTAGAATTTCTCAGCGTTCTCAAGGGAGAAGAGCAGCCATAATGTTCGTACAACTAATGGTTCCGGAGATACCAGGTGAAGAACCTTGAGTGTTATACCGACACTGAAGTCGAATAACTTTTCTTTGCCATCTCCGAAAGAAAAGCTTGTCACGGAATGATGGTTCTCTGGCATTGATTTCGGCGAAATATGGATAGAGACCTTTCTCTCTCAAGTATTCAAGCAAGCTCTCGAAAGTAAAAGGATCGTACGTCTACAGGATTAGGCGCCGATTTTCGGACTCTTCGTTTGGCATTATCTATCCTGAGCAGAAAAGAAACGAAGAAAGAATAAGATGAACAATGTTATTCCAAACTAACTAACTTGGCACCCTCATGATGTGCTAGGAATTATGAAAACGCGTAATATCCGTCGTGGGAAACTTTCCCACCGCGTCGTTTACGATGCTTCGGTCCCAAGAGGTTACCTCATGCTCAGCAGCCACGTTGCAGAAACTATCCAATACTGTCCTCAATAAGTTGCTAACCTCACAGTATCATTGACCCTGCCAAAGTTTTACAATATTTGGTCTCGTCTGGAGTTAAGTATTTCATCCTGAAGCCTTCGGTCGTCCGAATGATCTCTGCACTACCGTCGCCGTATGCGACGTAAAATCGAACTTTCTCTTCCTTGAGCGATTCCCAATTAGATGTGTCATCAAGTTTTGACGTTAGGAGGTGCAAGTTGAGGCCTACTTTGCCGCCAATCTTGATCGGTTCGCTCGGAAGAGGCCTCGGTAGAGCGGGCGGCAGATCGTCATACATGGGTCTGAAACGCTCATCTTTGGGCAGATAGACTATTTTCCTGAGATTTGGTAGCAACAGCAGAATAGTAGAGAGATTGGCTGGCTCAGCCTGGAAGTTCCAATCGGTAGACTTGCTACTCCTGGGAAGCTTAATGTTCTGGACATTCTGAAAGAGCCGAATGCCCTCCCCAGTTGTTTGAAAGCGTTCGACGTCAATGGGAAAAGTGTCAATGCTAGGCAAAGCCCACCCGTACATGTACGCGTACCCATCATCATATCCTATAGTGAGCTTCCATGTTCGCTCGGCACAATCTTTGACCAACCATCTTGAGAGTCTTGCTGTTGATCTGCGATGGAAGCCTGAAGCTTGCATATCTCTTGAGGATTTCGTGGATCATCTTCTCGTTGTTTATCCCATTGACCCTTAGCCTGACGGGGCTACGAGTCAGATCAACCGTTAGCCAGAAGATGGGGCGTGCAGACTGCACAGCTTCTGTTATGAGGATGTCGATAATGGCCAGAAATAAATCGGAAGGTAATGAAGACGGGCCAACGGGGCCAGTCTCCCTTCTATTATCGTCTTGTGTCGCGAACAAGCATTTTGAGCATGTACATTCAGGCTCTAGGAATTTGATGCTTGGGCTTTCCTCAGTAGGGTCATCCGAAGTGTTATAAACCTCAAAGGTAGAGGGTCGACTGTCTAATACTGTTCCGTATACGCGTATGCTTAGATAACTGAACGGATACCAAAATGATCCAAAGCTAGTTTTTTGGGGGAGGTGATCCTCGCTCCATTCGGGGAAGTCGTTGGGTGTCGGATTGGAAGTCCAATTCGGCCGCGAGTAGGGGCAGAGTGACAGAATTCGGAATTGTACCGTTGCGCCATATACAAAAGAGAGATCCCTCTACTGCATTTAGGTAGTTGTGGGTACATATAGTTTCCGTCACAGAGCATGGGCCACCTCGAGGGGTTACACTTAGACCTCGACTACCCACCCAACCTCCGGTTGGAATCTCCCTTCTACTCCTTACGCAGAATCAATCAATAGAGATATTAATACTTCGTCACCCCTAGGACCTTACTGTTCGAATCAACATCCCTGTGATAGGGATACCAACATTGGGTTTCATGGGGATTGCGTCGAGGATGCATTGGGTATCACTCATCTCAATCGTGTCGATGAGATTTTTCCCATTAAATATGACTTCTTCAAGTTGCGGCAGACTCTCGATAATTCCGAGATTCGTCCTATTGAATTCCAAAATATGGAATCGCCGCATGTGTTGCATGAAATTATGGACCGCGAAAGTCGGGAGAAATAATGAATTGAGGAGTTCCTTGTCACCCTTTTCAATTTTGGGTAGCCGAAACAGGTCAACATCAGGGACGACGAAGATGTCAGGGCCAGTTCGCGTAAAATAAAAAGGCTTCGAGGGGACAGGTATGAAGACCAGACTAGTGAGTTCGCGGCATTTCTTGTTGATCTGTAAAGGAAGAGATATTTGTCGGAATCGCTGGATGCTGAGCGGCTCAGGGTAACCCATGTCACCAGTGAGGGCGAGGCGGCAATTCGACGTAGTGTTGGTTGCGGACTCTAACCGCCACTCGATGGCCCGGGCAGAATTTCTCGCATCTGTAAGAAAAGCCTCGATGATGGCAAGAAAAGTCTCGGTGGGGATAGAGGCAGGGCCGACGCAGCCTGGGAGTGCCGGACGAAGTTGATGTGAAGACATCGTTGGATGACATGTATTGGACTGCAAGAAGGCTTAAATGGCGGAAGTCTGGGAAGAAAATGAGTAAGAAAGCTTGGAGTGATCGTGGGAGAATGGGAGAAGTGTGTAAGGGGAGGGAGGTTATTTCAATGTTCTTTTAAAGGGAGGAACCCACCTTTTCGCCACAATGACTTCTACCCTTGCTGGAACTTACCGTGTCCTACGCAGAACAGGTACCTGGATGGTGAGTAATGCCTGCTGTCTTCGAGGAGCGATAGTCTACTTTGAACCTGCGCAGCCGTAAACCTTAGAAAGGAGGCGACGGGAGGAAGGAATCATCAAGAATACCAGCCGGCAGGAGTGGTAAGAGAAGCCCAGCTACGTAACCATATGGGTTGCAAGGAAATGAGCTGGCATGTCATGACTACTGTCATGTCATGAATATCATCATGAAGGATGAATTATCTCGTGCAGAGAAAGTCCGAGATAAGCACAGAGTGAACAGAATAAGACAAGTGGGGAAAGATGCGTTGAACCGTTAGGCAAACTATCTCGTCAACGCCCTAGTTGGTGCCTTTGACTCTGACATGAAGTGATGATCCAAGTCTTGCCCAAGGAGCAATTGCCTTAACAGTTCCATGAATTTATCCCCAGTAGCTCAATACGTTGTTCAAGTACAGCTGGCTATGTTCAACATTCAACTCTCCTTGTCGGTGTACTCAATGTCGGGAGGGCAGCAAGAGCAGTCGGGGAAAAGATGGTTAACGCGGATGCCCTCCTTGGTAACCTTCATCTTCATGACAGCCGGCTTGATGTTATCTCTGAACGCAAACAACTCAATATCACGCCGCTTGAATGGACGCCACAACTTGCGGAAGGCACGACCGTGTCTCTCCTCCCAGATCTTCATATCCGGGTACCGGTGACCCTCGATCTTCATCCAGCCCGGGTGGATCGCCAGAAGCTCGGGATCATCGTACATGGGCACGGAGTAGCCAGCGATGATGGAGACCGTCTTGAGATTCGGAAGCGTCGAGATCGCGGCGACGGCGATCTTGTTGTTCTTCTGGAAGAAGCGAAGGGTCGGGAGGAAGATGTGCTGGACGCCGCTCAGGAGGTCGTAGCCCACGGGGGTGGGAAGCCGAATGGCCGCCGAGCAGTTCATATCGCGCGGGGGGCGGGCGCCTTCCGTGTCGTTGAAGTCGGGCGTGAAGAGGTCGACCTCAGGGCGGACCCAGGCGTCGACGACGGAGAGGGGCGAGTTGTACGAGTCATATTTCTTGACGGGCATGCGGCGGAAGTGGCGGTGGACCATGGAGCGCGTCTTCTTGTCGATTTGGAGGGGAAGACAAATGCTCTGGAAGCGCTCGAGCTCGCTCATCTCAACCTGCTCAGTGCCGACTTTGCAACCTCTGATGCGGAGTACGAGCTTGGTCGGGGCGTCGTGGAGGTAGTCGATGAACCAGAGGACTGAACGGTTGTCGGCGAGAGCGTTCTCGAGGTAAGCATCGATGATGTTGAGAAAGACCTCGCGAGGCAGGTCTGCGGGACCGGCTTTACCTCGTCGAGTGGTGGGACGCGGCATGTTGGCGAAGGAGGCGGTTGCGAGGAGCGTTCGGTCTGCGAGGCGAACTTGACCGCGCTCTCCGGCGGCGTTTGACACGCCTGCCAGAGAAGATGAAGAGGTAGCCTCCGATGCCATTGTACCTAGATGGGTGATTTTAGTAAATGAAAATACGCAGAGCGGTCTGATGAGTCGTCCACGTACCTTTCGACCGCGAAAACTGAGGATCTCGCGATATTTTGTCGAATCCTAAGTACCCAACACTCCAACCTCAGTGCTGGAAGAGGGTGGAAAAGGAGAGAAAGGAATGAGTCGAAGTAGGAAAAGGAAAATCGGGCTCATGTGAGTAGCCGCTTAGTCGTCATGTTGGGCTCTGTTTGTTTGTCCGCCTGCATGCTCACCCTTGACTTGAGGCGCAGAATCAGACCTATGGCGGAGTGGCCGACCACGATACGAATCAATGTCCAGTAACCTTTTTCTCAGGCAAAGCGAAGCTTCATGAAAGACCATGAGCTGAAGAGAACAACATACACACATGGTAGGCATGGGCAAAAAGAAAATTGGATCACCTTTGATGAAATATGCATGGGACAAAGACTTTTATAACTCCTAACTGTGACTCCCAATGAGCCGGTGTGCTGGATGCTCTTTCTTCATCCGTAGTACCTGTCCATCAGTGATAAACTAGTTCTTGAGGCGAGAGCTATCCATGACAAGCCAGCTGCCAGGTCCGCCCTTCATAACCAGAAAGTCTGAGACTTTTTTCTCCTTCCATAACAAGAGTCTGAATCCATCCCTTCGTATCATTCGTTATCTCGTCCATGTCGAAATCAGAGTATCGCGAGGTTCATGACATGCGTCGTGGGCCGTGTCATGCTCTCTGTCAATTCTTCGAGAGCTTCGTTGGCGTAGGGCAGAAGGTAGCTGATCAAGATTCTCTCGCGACTCGGGTGCAACTCAATGATCGGATCCTGATTGCTGTCGATGAACCCAAGGAGCTTTACACCTCTGTTGTGCAGATGGTCGACCCAGAGAGTTCTGAGTGCCGAGGACCTTTGGGTGCAGAAATCTGCGAGATCAGGAAAATTCTTTGAGTCAACCTTATGGAGACCTGGCTTCATGCTGTTGCGAAGCTTGCTGCTGAATCCGCCGACGTTGAGGACGATTGACTTGAGGTTTGGTAGTCTGACGAGAGTTGCAAGGGACTCTGCATTTCTAGTGGTGAGGTAGCGTGAAAACGGAAGAAAGATCTTCTCGATGCGGGTGAGGAGGGCGTAGCCGGACGCAGAGGGCAAAATCACAGCTTGATTGTAGATGAACTGCTCGAACTCTCGGCCTTCTTGAAGAGATGTGAAGAAAGGGATATATTCGTCTGTGAGAGGGACATATGCCTTGATCGGACTGAGGCCACGAGTCAGCCCGTCAGGATTGGCGACCATCATCGGGAGGCGGGTGTAGGTCTTCTCCACCATGTGTCTGGACTGCTGGTTGATCTGCAGGGCAAGGCGCAGCTTCTGGTGGCGCTGGTGGGTGATGGTCTCTGACCTGACCCTTGTGCTGTTGAGCTCGTGGAGCACAAGCTTGGTGGCCAAGCTGTGCTCATAGCCGAGAGACCACACCTTGACGTCGTAGCGGTCCTTTGACACCTCGATGAGCTGCTCAACAACATGCAGAAAGACCTCATAGGGAACACCGGCCTTCATCTGAGGCTGTATATTCACCGCTGCGTCAACTGAGGATGGGGGAGGGTCTGTCATGATGGAGGCGGCAATAGTGGCTGGTGGTGCGTGAAGTGAAGTGATGATGTTGTGATGTTGTGATGTTGTTGTTGCTGCTACAGTGGTGGGTTGGCAGCGGTGGTGAAGGTGAGAAGGAGGGAGAGAGGAAAGAAATCGACGAGAGGGTAAGGATTTTAAAATTCAGCAACAGGAACTTTTCGAATTGGCAAGAGGAAGGAGCAACCCACTCGGAACAAAAAGGAAGGAGCAGAAAAAGTTATGTTTCGATTCAGTGTGCTGAAGAGAAGGCCTCCGGGACGGGTAGGGACGACAGTGGCTGGGCGAGACGAGGGACAGACTGTGAAGCATTGACACCATTGAGATTGGCTTGTTCATACCTCAGGTATGATGCTCATATCAATATGATCAAGGAAAACCCAATGCTTAGGAGTCTCTTCCGTGGGTTCTCGGCCTGTTGACATGATGTGACGATAGCTTCAAGTTCTCATAGCATCGGATGGATTATAAGCTTATGACTGCCATCGTCATATCGCCACTGCAAATCTTGCTCTATTTTGCCGCAAGTGTACCATGAGACTCCTTGTACTGTGTGTGCGTTGCTACCCAAGGCCGTAATAGAACGCATCTAGAAAACTGCATCTGGTATATTATTTGTGATGGTCGTATTTGTGACATCTCTCTCAAACAGAATACCCTGTCTTCTGATCGGAAATCTGTATCTATATCTCATGATAATCTCACCGAAACAAGGGATGAGAGATTTCATGACGTGGATGAATGAGTAGTGTGATTCACACGAGCAACTAGCTATTTGATCCTCGATCCTCCCAGTTGCCATCCATCCTTTCATACGAGCTGAAATAGCCGTTGTATACCATCAATCAGGAGCCACGACCATGATACTCCGGATATCACCACTGCCTAGTAAGCAGGTAGACCAAACTTGTGTCCATCTCTCTTCGTCAGTGACAAATACCCATGGCCATCTCGACCACTGCCCTAATGACCACTGAATCCAACTCCACGAGCCAGGTCACCGCAGCCGACCACGTCCAGCTGACCGCCGTTGTCAGCCTTCATAGCAATCACAATTGGGTGACGCTGAGGATCGTAGCAGTTGCAGACGGGGTCGAGGAATTTCATGCGGACGCTGCCATCGTCCTTGCGAATGAGCTCGAGAAGCTCCACATCGCCGGCAGCAGGCGCGTAGCACACGAGCTTGATGCCCTTCTGCCTGAGCTTGGTCCAGACAGGCCTCATCTCCTGGCGATGCTTCCGCTCCCACTCGACGAGGGACGGGAACAGGTTGAAGTCGATGGGGAGTTCCGCGTTGTGCTGGTGGCGCTTTCTCTTGGGGATGTTCCCAGGGACGCGGACGGTGCCGACGTCAATGGCGACTTGCTTGAGGTTGGGCAGATGGAGGATCGCCTCGAAGTCCTTGCCATAGGCGTAGCGGAAAAACTCGGTGATGAAGATGCGGACGCTCTGAATGGAGTGGGTAATTGGGCAGTTGGCGGGGCGAGGTCTCATGAGAGCGGCATGAAGGTACGGGATGCTTTCTGGCTCACCCACGAAGAGGAGGAATTGGTCTCTGGTTGGGCAGATCCAGCCGACGCGCTTGAAGCTGGGCTCGTTGCCTTCGTTGTAGATCATCTCCCAGGGGCGGAAGACAAGCTTGAACTTGATGCGGGAGCGGCGGTCGATCTGGTTGAGGACGCCGATGATGCGATGACGCTTGCGCTGAGGGGCGCGGTTTCCGAGCACCTCGTAGTCGACTTGGTCGAAAGGGACCAGAAGAGATTTGGGGTTGTGATCGGGGTTACGGGAGGTCCAAAAGAGGATCGACGCGGTCTTCTGCTCGGCCTGCTTGAGGAGATGGTCGAAGACGAGCTCGAAGACCTTGTGCTTGAGGGTTTTCGGGCCCTTGCCGACTGGGAGGGCTTTGACGAGAGAAGACATGCCCATGGACGATGTCATCTTGGCGTCAGGAGTGGATGTCGAGGCGCTCATTGTGACGGTTGTAAGCCTCAGAATCGATTGGAGGGCTTTGCTGTGCCTGAGTCGGTTGTGTAGGGAAGAAGAAATCAATTGAAGAGAAGGAAGGAATAAAATGAAATAGAGAGATGTGTGGGAAGGAGGCCTGGCAAGAATCTTCCATTACTGGCAAACGGTAGCCGTCAATCTATTCAGACGTGCAGGTAGCCGAAGGAGCGTTGGGAGTTGAAGCGGAACTGGTCTGTTTGCTGTCAATCAATGCGGGAGCCGGGGGAAGTTCAGTCGAGATTGATCATACGGCCTTGAATTCGCTTCACCTTTCGTACCGTACTTGTCACAAGGCTCCTCTAGAATAGGATCAGTGCCAAGTACTTCGAGACTCAGGTTCTGGCCAGCTCTACCTGAGAGAGGGATAGAAATGAACTTCCATTGTGGCGAATGAATGATTCCTTGATAGTTGTATGGGAGAGGGAATTACCATTACAAGTAACAAAGCGGAAGAAATATGGGGAAGTTGGAAGAGAAGTGCCATTAGAATGCAGCACTTCGAGGCGAAAGCAATTCACGAAGACAAAAGGGCAGTGTCAATTTATTGTAAGATGTAGCTTTGATCGAGTCTCAACTAATTCTGTTCAGATTCGCTGTTCTAAAGACCCTGTCCGCGTGACTTTCGACTCTTCAGCTACAAATAAACCAAGTCCTCTCCAGACTCAAGCTTGATCTCCTTTGTAGTTGCCCGAACCTGCGGCAGCTTGTTCACACTTCGGTTCTGTAGCACATTGATGACGCTCGTCTTCTTCTGCGGGGGGTTGCTGAAGAAGATATCATCAAACAAGTTGTTCGAGAACCGAGTCTTCAGATCCTCCAGAGTCCACCCAGCCTCCTTGCCAATATCCGCCATGATGCCTAGGAACTCTTTAATTTCAGCCATGTAGTCCTCGTTCTTCATCTTCTCAAGCCACGGCCTGCAGTTGACGCTGAATTCCTTCCACTCCTTTGCCCAGTGAGGCCGTGTCTTCAACAACTGCTGAGTATTGAGGTCCTTGAGCGCCATCCACTTGTCCAGAACCTGCTGAGCGAACGGCACCCAGATATCCGAGGCCGCGTGTAGGGTAAGAACCTCAATCGAACATGTACCAAGCTCGTTGCCGCGCTGAGGCGCCATAACGACGTTACTTCCTCCCATGATCCGCATCTCCAACGGCATGCGCATGGGGCACTTTTGCCGGTTCTCTTTCGTGTAGGCAGTGAGGATCGCATCCCACCAGGCCCGCTGGACAGGGGCATAGTCAATCTCCACAGCCTCATCCGGTCCAAACGTCTTGCCGCCCTTGGCTACGAGCGGTATATCGACCTCCATGTCGCGGACGCGGACATTCTGGATCGCGCGCTGGAAGTGCAGCGCGTCGGGGACGTAGGTGGTGACCTGCTTGTCCGGGAGAGCCCACATGGCGAAGCGGGAGATGAGCGTGACAGCCGCCTCGGTGAAGCAGACTTGGTCGACGAGCTTGTCGAGAAGCGTCTTGTTTCGGAGCACGTTCATCGTGAAGGTTTGCACGAAGGAGAGGAAGATGTGGGCGTCGCCGGGGAAGTTTACGACGCCGGCGCTGTCTGTTGTGTCGTTATAGCAGTTGACCCAGACTTTGTCCGAGTAGGGGAACCAGAACCACTCAGAGTAAAAGTCGTTTGTTGCGCGGTCCTCAAAGATCTCCTGGTATCCCCGCCTCTCTCTCTCGGTCAGCTTGCGCCAGGGGTCGGCGAGCGTAGCAGGGAGTTGAGAGAGGTCGAGGTCTGAGGGCGGAGGAACGGCAAGAGCGACGGAGACCTTTTTTGGCTTGAGGCGTGCGTAGGTCATGGGCGACATTTCAAGAGTGATGTGCGTGACGACGCCCATCAGTCCGAAGCAGCCGCTCGCGGCCCGGAGGTGCTCCGGCTTGCTGACTTCCTGCGGTTCTCCGTGGCAGTCGACGTACTCGATGCGACGGACGAGGTCGCTGAGGGTCTGGTGGCGGCGACCGGCGCCGTGGCAGATGGGTGCATTCGAGCCGCCCAGCGTGATTTCCACCATGATGACGTTCATGGGCATTGTGACGGTCTTGTTCTCGATGCACCAGCGACGAAGTCTCCCGTTTGTGCAAGCGGTGCCGACTCTGACGAGGTAGTTGCCGTTCTCGAGGGGCTTTTCGGAGACCATGCTGATTGTTTGGAGGTCGTTGGCGGCGGGCTCTGGGAGTGGGAGGGCCGTGATGTTGGGCACCTTGGTGACCTCGTGAAGACCGAGGAGTGAAATGAGAACGTAGCCGTTCTCTGCGAAGACTGGAGACCACGAGTGACCTGATTGGGATAATCAGATATTGAGCGAGCGGGCAGGGACATGCTGAGACTTACGGAAACCTGAGCATCGCACGCCCATGTTGTGGGCCTTTGCATACTTGACAATAAGCTGGACCTCCTGAGATGTCTTCGGCACACAGGTGAGCGCCGGGACGTTCTTGACAGTCAGACCCCAATTCTGGAACTCCGTCTTGTAATATACCTGATGACTGGTTAGTAAAGTCGTATGTTGAAACGAATGATTCGAGCGAAGACTTACCACGATACCAGCTCACCGCAGCTCGTCCTTATTACCCTCGATGAAGTTCTCCATCTTGCTCCATTTTGCTCAACGTGTTATGGAGAAGCGCCCTCTCCTTAACAGCAAGCGCATGGATAGGCTCCTTGAGCTTCTTGATACCCTGCGCACCAACCTGGATAACGCAGTCCGCCTCATGCAGTCTCGCCAGCTCCTCCCGGCACCCCAGACTCGGTCCCATATGGAAGCCATCGCTGATCTTCTTGGGATCATCGCCGGCGAGGAACCTCTTGATGCGCTTTTGCTCATCGTCAGTGTGCTTGTGGAGAATGTTGGAGAATACCCCATCGGTTTTCGAGTCCTTGAAGACCTGAAGCAGCCTGCGGAGGAACTGGACGTAGTCGACGTCTACGTCGTCGTTGATGTCGTCATCGAGAAGAGCTTGGAGACCTGGGACTTCCTTTTGGCTGAATTTGGGGTTGTTGTGGAGGCCTTTGGCAATGTGCCCGATTCTTTCGTCGACCGAGTGGTCCCACGCTTTCGATGTGGAAGTCATGACTAGGTTGGCAGGGTGGTTGAGCAGCTATGAGGCGTGGTTGTTATAGCAAGGAGTGAGCCTGATCAGTTCATACCTGTCGATAGAAGAATATCGAACGATGGGCATCAAAGATTCGGATACTCTGCTGGGGCTTAATACCTGTCCCTCGTCCGTTAGACGTGCACTGGTCACGGGAGAATGCGATACCCAAAAGACCGTCTTCATCTCCCGAAGCATTTCTTATCGCGCATTTCCCCTAATCTTCAGCCGCATCGAAAACATGCAAAAGTGGAAAGTCAACATCAGCCGTGTCTTGAATCTATATTGGGGGCGGGAGCGGAGTGGACGACGAAACCGGTGATGGTGTTGCCGTCGTGTGAAACAAGCGCCCACGAGGAGAGACCGGCAATGGGCGGCAAGGTCTAGATCATGTGCGGGGTTTCATTGGGAAATATCAAGCGCAAAATTTGAGCTTTAGGTGAAAGCAGACGTCTTGTGTCTTGTCAATTCGGTTGCCATTCGCATCTCGTAACACCGTATCCTTTCTATCTGAAAGTCTTGAATCTCTCTTCAACCTGTCTGTTGAGGCTGACCAGGCCTTTCAGAGAAGTTATCGCTTGGAAAGAGCGTACGAGAGCGATGGCGGCTACCTAGTCACATTGGCATGGCTGAGAACACGTCAACGGCATCGTAGAAAGTGGCGAAAGTCTTGGGCAGCGGGGTCCAGGCTCATCAGAAAGGTCCGGCCCGACGCTTAGCTCACACTCTGCGATGGTCTTAAATCCAATCGTTCACAGTCGGATGAATGGAGAGGAGCTGTCTTTTCGGCATGTGGCGTTTGAGACATTTGGGGGGGGGGGGGGGGCAGACAACCGGTCTCGTCTCATCGGCTGGACTTTGTGGCTTTTCCAACTCTGAGAGGTGGCTGACGGCGTGTTTCCCAGGAAATTGCCGAAATGGAGCTCGAAGACGGTCTGATACCAGTCTAGAGGCTTTCAGATTGCCGGCGCAGATCACTTGGGACACGATGTATCTGCCATCTTTTCTGGCAAACCGGTCCTCCTCATCTTGAGGGAAGCTCGAACTCGAAGCCCGGACTGTTCGGATGGGACCGTAAGCCATGAGGATACAAAGAAGATTGTCAATGATCAACAAGCTACAAGAGGATTCTTTGTACTTATCCAATACCAACTCCTAACTGTCCTCTCTCCGCTCAGCGTCTTGATCTTCAATGTCTCCATCCGTTGTCGCAAAGATGTCTCGCATCCGCTCAGGCAATCTGATCCAATTCTCGCGCCCACACACAACCCATAATAGTGCCCATAAGATCGTCTGTCCAATAAGCAGAGGTAGTTGAGCAGCAAAGGTCGAGACACTCTCAGTGTAGTCCATGATTATCTGGCCGGCTGCCCAGCCTATCCATGACAAGGATACGGATCCCAGAGCTCCGGGCCACGGTGTCGATTTCTGAACCAGAAAGGCCCAAAGGACTTTCTAGAGTGTTAGCCGAGTATTCTTAAAAGATTAGTGAACCAGGGGATGTTTACGAGGTAGTGTGAACTCATTGTTCCGTCCAAGCATCTGGAAAGGGACAGCTTCGAGAAAGCTGAAGCCAGAAGCCGTAAGGATACTGAAGAGTCCTGAAATCGTCGCAACTGAAACCATAACAACGACTGGTTGATGAAGTCAGTAATCAGCTATGTTCACGTCGTCTTCTCCAAGCGATTATGACCAAAGCCTGGACGTGCCGTTGCCGCTTGACACTTGGAAAAGGAGCGGGATTGCGGGGAGAGCGAAATATACAGATGTCATTGGAAATCAAGGTTTGACTTACAGAGCATCAATGGTATTCTGTAGATCAAAAGGCCAGCGCAGATGGCCATGCAGACGGCACCCGCTCCGCTGACAGGGTCTTCGTGGATAACACCTTGAGAGGTAAGAGACATTGCCAGGGCGATGGAAAAGACCAGAAACAACTGCAGAGCGTTGGGGAGCGATTGCTGTCAAAGAAATCAGAATCTGAAAGCCATGGAAGAGGAAGACTTCTAACAAACCTGGTGGTTCCACCACACGGCCTCCGCTGCTTTGGCATGAAAAGAATCCGCAGCCGCATGCCGTGAGTAGTAGAGCTTTTGATGCGGAGGGAGCCAAGTGACATCCTTCGGCCCTCCGAGGATATTTGAGAAACCGGCCTGTATAGTGGAGTAAAGCAGAATAATGTTGGCGAAGAAGATGATACCGCCGATGTCGAGAGTCAAGGAAATGCCATGGAAGGTGATCTCTGGCAATGACCCAAGCAAACTAATCAGTCCCGCGAATGCGACGTTCCAGAAGAGGAAGCGCAGCGGCAACTCCTTGAGGGGGTACCATGATATCATGTACTTGACGAGCGTTACCGCGAGGCAACCCTTGAGAATACCGTGAACACTAGAAAGCAGCACGGCAGTACCGTGAAACAGCCCCCGCTTCGCGCGATGCTAGTCAGAACTGTTCAAGAATAAGTTTCTGGCTTGAGGAGGAGAGCAATGAGGACTCTTGAGTAAATACCGTTCGCTGCAAAAGTGCAGATGGTGACATGGCTAAGTGACAAATACTGCAGCAGGATGAAGCCTGGCAGTTGGCCCAGGAGGAAAGACACGTGAAAGATGGGTGCCTTGGAGGAATATGGGCCGAGTGTGCTCGATCCGGCCTGCGACTGGTGAGAGACTGATCATTCACACATTGATCTGAGGCCAGAGTCATTGACTTACAAGGCATAGTGCGAAGAATAGAAACTCCACCTTCCATGTGCGGGAACCGTTGATAAGACTCGTAGTCTTGACAGCGTTGTTCTGCACTCGTATGGGTTCCGGATCGTCACTAGGGAAAGAGGATGACGACATATCTTGTATGGTGTCAGGGGTCTGCTTATTGTGTCGAGGGTGGGGTGCCAGTGATAGTCGAATCCGATCAATCCGGTGCAGCTGCTCAACCCCCCGACGATTCACTCTTAAAACAGCTTGCCTGTGGAAGGTGTTCGTGCGAGCGTCGTAAGAGCAGAGAAGAGTTCGCTGCAGACCGCCTTCGGAACCGCATTCGAGGATGGCGACCGGGGGCAGATGGCATTGAAAGTGTGTGACCGTCATCAAGTACGTATCCACCAGAGTGAAAGCAAAACTGCCACTTCCAATAGAAGGCCCGGAGGACTGGCTTGATGTCGAGAGAGCTCGGAGATCAGCTTCATCGGTGTAGTGCTGCGGATTCGTAGCGGTGAGATTGCCATGATTGAAACCCCAAAGGTGCTTCTCAATGCTCGCAGAGTCGACAATGCCCTCTATGCCGATGAGCCGGGACTTGGCTGGCTGTTTGACTCTGCCTCGCGTTGAGATCAACACTATTGGGAACAATAAAGCAAAGACCAATGCAAGAGGAAGGAGCCACATGTAGACCTGCCAGATCGACAATCGCATAAAGTCCGAGAGCACGATGTTGGCAATGCCAGTGAAGAGAGAAAACGCCATTGGGATGGAGAAACATGCGAAATATGAGAAGCCAACGAAGACGACATAACGCATCCCGAAGCTCCGGTCGAAGTAAGGCTCAGGTTCGATGTTATCCCAATGAATCGTCGCACCGTATACCTTGTCCAGCATGACTGTGTCAGCGCCGACCACGCCTGATATGCTGACGCTTGGGAAGATTTCGCTGAGTCTGGCACCCCAGGTATCCTCTACCTGGTGCCATGGAGCCCCGTCTGGCGGAGAGAGAGATATCAACCTGCTGAGAAAGGCTCCGCTGTCATTAGCAATGGAGAGCTTGGCAAAGGCCTGGAACCCGGAGTCTTCTTTGTTCACTGGAGGTCGATGACGGTTGGGGAAGAGACCCATTGTTGCATATGCGATGTCTCCCTTGTTGAACTGATCCGTCTGGCGCCTCGAGAAACAAGCAAGCGCAGCTTCGATGAGTCGAAGGTCGGTAAGAATCGCTGATCCTTCGAAATGGTCCACAAGTTCCTTCACAGCCTCCGCATCATCCCACGCCCGCTCAGCGAAGTTGCGTTTCGCCAGCTCCTTGGGTTCCGTAGGGTCTCCGAGGACATAGAGTCGTATGCGATATTCCGCTGGGCAAAGTAGAAGTTCCGGCAGCGTCCACAGGCGCGATCCCCACTGTCGCAGCCATGGCGTGACGTTCTCACGCTTGTACTCAGGGGGCTCCGAATCAGCAAGGACTGAGGCTACCTTATCGTTGGCGGGTGGTCCGATGGCAATGATCATGGAATGTGCCGCGCGAACAATGTCGCAAATTCGGTAGACGTCCTGACTGCTGCTCGTGGATCGTGCGATGCCGTCGTCGTTCCTAACACACTCGAAGTCGAGCCAGAATGCCCTCTTCCCCACCCTTTTCGCGGCATCCATGCCCCACTTGGCCAATATCTCTCGATCCTGTCGTGCGACTTCTTTGTTAGCGTCCCTAGTGGCCTCGTCTGGGTAGTCGTGCTTGTTGAGCTCCTCCTCAGTAGCCACCCTGAACTGGAGCCTGGTGTATGAGACGAAGACAAACTCTAAGTCTACGTCATCTCCATGCTGCTCGAGGTAGTCGGAAACCTTGACTGTCTCGTATATGCCTTGTTCAAAGTCCTTAACAAAGCATAGATATCGTGGACGAAGAGAGGTCGGCGAGTTGTCGACACGCGGCCCTGAGGGCGGCAAAAACCCGCTCAACCTGATATTGTCGGTGTATTGCTGCTCAGACGGCGGGGCCCTTGCTTCTTGCAGGGGACCAGAAAGAATGGCATCCTGCTCTATCGCATGTCGATTTGAGAACGGTCTCTTCTGACCACTTCCCTCCCTTGAGAGAACGCATACGTTATCGTAACGTGAGTCCTTTTTGTTGCGAGCGTCGACAAGCTGCTGTGTCGTCGTACCAAGATTACCCGCCCAGCAGACCTTGGATTTGTGAGCAGTCAGACCCTAGTGACAGAATGTGCCAAGCAGTATCTCATACCAGCATGCAAAGAACCGGCCAAGCCACGAGCAGTTTCAGCGTCGTCACTGCTAGTGTGAACAGGCTGACGTTGTACTTCCTTGTGCCAGGAACAAACAAAGATGAGCCGGCCCAGTAAGAGACGCGTAATAATGGTGAGATTCGGGACGATGACTTCCCCAGACGCGACCATCTTGATGTCTCGGGCAGAAGGTCCGGCTGTTGGCCGCACTGAAGCACGAGTGGAACCAAGCAGCCGTCCGATGGCTGGGCCCACCATTCGTGGCTTGGGTCCGTGAAGTCGGGCTCCATCCTTTCAGGATATCACGATGTTGGATGAGGCGCGCATAAGGTGTATCAAAGACGCAACGATATCGCGCTCAAATGCGTAAGAGAATAATGATCGGAATGCGCTTATCGCGTAGCAAAGAGATGCCCCACTTTTGTGCATTTTTCGCGCTGAATGTCGTTGCCTGCTTACGCTGCACAGCCACGGCGGCTGAGATCTTGCATGAACCCCTGTCATTATTTCTCTTGAGGCAGGCGCTGATAGCTCGGCCCATTGGCTAGAATCTGTCAAGGTGGGGCAGTGAAACACCCAGCACAATGTTGGAAGGAAGGAAGCAACTATCTCAACTGTGATGGCCGTACCTTCCAGATGTTGCCGTGAGAAGCCCATATAGGTGCCTTCAGTTCCATTCATTCCTGTCACCAACGGCAGCAGGCGCCACACAGGCTTTTGAGGTCAGGTCAAACTGCCGTTTGGCGGGATGGTTAAGGGCGAGCCTTCTCGGCGGCAGGCTCGTCTTCGCCAGGTCACAGGTTCAATTCCCAACATGAGCACCAAGAGATGTAGTCCCCATTTCAGCACCGGGGGGGGGTGATCTCTTTTGCAAAAATTGCCAGATTTTTCCTTTTGTCTTCAGACGACTGTCGAGCTCGATCTATTCGAGTCTCTCTTGAGTCTGAGCTTCTGCCCGACTTTGACCTTGATGTCGCACTGAATTTGGCTTGGAACGATGCCAAATTCAGTCTATTAAGCTTACAATATCGGTGTCTCAAAAGCTTCTCTGGATTGATTAATTGTCGTGATAGCACCAGCCATTGAATACCTTGCGGCTCATCACGTGACTCCACTTTCCCACTCGTCGTCATAAGGTAAGGTACTTCCCCATGTTCATGTCTTTCAGCACGAGATATCATCCCAGTTATCTCAGATGGAAGTAACATCTGAAAAGGAGCGACTTTACACTTTCAATTGGCAGCTGCGTAGTGGTCCGTGTTTCTGTCGTCTGAATATGGTGATGGTCACTGGCTGCAACTGCGAAGTCAGATTGGCTCGAGCCCCTCCATTTTTCGACTACATGTCAAAATCTCTACTGATATCGGCAACTAGAGAGACAGCGTTAGTAGGTGTGTATTTATTGGTATGCATATCAGTAGAGCAACTCTTGGGCCGGTGCAAAGCCCAATAATTGTAGTTGGAAGTTCCTGTATGGGACACTGAGAAAGGAGAAATTGCGCGTAGACTCCTCCGAAGTGGTAGTAGGTAGGTACGGCCATACTGGCTACCACAATTGCCTTTCCTTGCTCCTGCCTGATGTTCCAACAGTATCTGTGAATGATGAATTCATGCCGGAAGGAGCAAGAGGGAATGTAGTTGCATCTCCGGAGATCGGAGCCGAAAGCGGACCTCAGACATCCGAAGCCCCGCTTTCGCCGAGATCCGCCGACCTCACGCCAAAACCGGATTGGGAACCCTGGCCAAAAGCTCTGACCACCGGTACGGATACCGACCGACTTAGGCTTATCTTTCAGACTTTCTCATTTTCCAGGTTCATCCTTTTGCGTCTCACCTCAGATTTTATACTGACCAGCATTGATACACATTTCCAGTCCGGTGACAATGCCGCATGGCCTGAGACGCATGTTGTGCAACAGGACCATCGCTGCGAAGGGGCGGTCACTCCACCATTCAACCCCAGTTGCACAGCATACGCCCTCTGCCAATAGTCATCTTCAGGACGAATCTCTCGCTGTACAGACTGTAAAGAGTGTACGGAGTACGGAGTGTTCGTACACACATTCGTACGGTTCGTCAAAAGTCAAAACAAGGGATGATTGTTTTTACAGCTTCTGCGGTCAGCGCCCCGCCGAAGCCTCGGACGGTGTCTAGCGTCCAGGGATATCCGCCGGGAATAACTTTCGCGACACGGAGCAGTCGAGACAAGGCCTGACAGGTCCCACTGCCACGGAAAGCCACGCGGAGCTGGCCAACCCGCAAACCTTCGCGGTGGTATTCTCGATTCCGCCAAACGTTCTGGAAAACCCTCGACAAGGCCATGGGCAAAGCCGCGAAGATCATTGTCGGAGCTGCCAAGACGAGAAATGACTTCATCTACACTACTTGGTTGTAAGAAGGCTGCAAGTCACCCTATCGGAGACGTGAGCGGCATTGTCTCGCACGCAATGGCGCTACCTATTAGACATGACTTATGTTCTCACCCGCCTCAGCAGTGCTTATTCTCATGGGACAATGGGAGTGGGGCAAACCGAAGCGGACCTCGGCTGGACCCCACACCTCCCAATCATCGACTCATCTCACCAGGAAACGATGGGCTCCATTGATAAGAGGAAACGCGGGATTTGGCAATGTCTTCCGCTTCTACGACTGCGAGGCCCTCGAATGCGGAGGAGAAGCTGGGGATTGGGCATGAAGCGGGGGAGAAGCAGTTCCAGACTCTAATCCAAGAGAAACTGCGTGTCTCAGTCTCGATAACACAATACCTCCAAGTCTCGAGATGAGGCAACGCACACAAATCGTCGGCCTTCTTCGTCGCTTCGCTCCTAGACGGCGGCCACTCTAGCCCGAGGCGATGCGACCCTAGCTCCGCCGTTATCCCCGTCGGCATTTGAGGTCGATCACCCAGTTCCAGTCCTCATCAGGTTGTTCCCTTTCCCAATCCTGCTCCGATTGCGTGCCTCGAGAATACCCACACCGCGCACCCCACCAGCACCCTTTTCGCACCGGTGGATCGGATGCGGGTTGCCGCCCACCACCCATTCCATGGACCCAGCACCAGGTCGGTCCCCTTTCCCACTCGCCGCCCCTTGACGGCGGCGTTGCGCTGCCGGGGGCGTGGGCGTGGGCGTGGGACGTTTGAGAAATTGTTGGCTTGTAAAACTCTTCTGTCTCGCTCTTTGGATCCTATCTGCTTGTTCCGTCTCTTGTTGAAGGATTTCTTTGGGCCCGCCCCTCTTGCAAATCTCCCGTTGACTCATTTACATAGTATATCCGCTTTGTCGACTGCGCCTAGCCGTGACGGGAGTTTGTTACACCTTAGGTCAGAGATACAACTAGCACGGTTAAAAATCTCTTGTCCCGAGGCTCGGCGCGCCGTTTCCTGGTTTACTTTCCCTGTTCCATTCCCCAAGAGCCGCAAATCCCAGGAACATCTTGACCAGTCTTTGCGCGGAGGGAGGTCAAACATCGAGCCAGGCGCTATCCACACTGGCCTTGAACCACAAATCCACGGCAAACCATTGGGATCAATCGACCATGTCCGCCATACATGACTTCGGGACCGGGTCCCACGCCGGGACCGCCGCCACCGACACGGCGACCGCAACCTCAACCAGCTCCGGCCAAGACTCGCCGCCACTCCGCCCGCTCAAGGAAGTCGAGTCTCGGCACAGCCACCACAGCCGGAGCCGGGTCTCGTCCCACTCGTCCACCGACACCGACCCCCTCGAGCCCCTCGAGCACGCCCTGACGCCCGACCTCGAGACCGAGGCGGAGCACGTTGCCCGGGAGCCCATCACCTACACGCGCACCGGCACGAGTATCGGCAGCACCGCGTCACGGCCTCCGGACTACGAGGTCGTCTTTGAGCCGGACGACCCCGAGAACCCAAAGAATTGGCCCCTCTGGTACCGCGGCTGGACCATCTTTGTCGTCTCATTCTCTACCTGGGTCGTCGTGCTGTACAGCACGAGTTACACGGCGTCTATTCCTGGCCTCGTTGAGGAGTATCACTCGAGTAAGGTTATTGCGACACTTGGTGTTACCACGTACCTTCTCGGCTTGGCTGCCGGCAGTTTGATCGTTGCCCCGATGAGCGAGTTGTATGGCCGGCAATATGTCTATCTCGGATGCTTCACCGTCTCATCTCTGTTAATCATTCCTTGCGCACTTGCAAAATCCTTGACGACACTGATTGTCGTTCGCTTCTTCGGGTAAGCCTTGTACTTTACTTACTCTCTCGAATATCGGAACTGTCTAACATCGTGACCCAGCGCATTGTTCGGAGCTGCCTTGATCGCCAACAGCCCAGGAACGGTGGTGGACATCTCAGACGAGGAGTATCGTGCCCTCGCCATGTCCTTCTACTCCATTGCCCCCTTGAACGGACCGGTCACTGGCCCGATTATCGGTGGCTTTGTGTACCAGTATCTAGGCTGGCGATGGACCAACTGGATTGTCCTCATCATCGCCGGCGTAGGCATCGCGCTCATGTTCACCCTTCGTGAGACATACGCACCCACCATTCTCCAGCGCAAGGCGGCTCGCATCCGCAAAGAGACCGACGACCCTCGCTGGTGGTGCCGCTACGACGAGAAGGTTTCCAAGATCCACCTCATCAAGCTGAATCTCAGCCGTCCCTTCGTCCTCAGTCTTACAGAGCCCATTCTGTGGTTCTTCAACCTCTGGTAAGACTCTAATCTTATTACACCACCCGTTCCAGATGCTAACAAAATCGCCCAGGATCTCACTCATCTACGGCATCCTCTACCTCTGCTTCGTCGCCTACCCCATCGTCTTCTCCCAATATCGCGGCTGGGGCCCAGGCGTCTCAGGCCTCGCCTTCGTCGGCATCGGCATCGGCACCATCCTCGCCATCATCAGCGAGCCCATCTTCCGGCGCATCATCAACGCCCACCCAAAAGACCTCATCACAGGTCGCGTCCCGCCCGAAGCCACCGCCCGCGTCATGACCATCGGCGCCGTCCTCACGCCCATAGGCCAGCTCGTCTTCTCCTGGACCTGCCTCCCCGCCACGATCCACTGGGCCATCCCCATCGCCTTCGGCATCCCTTTTGGCGCGGGCAACACAATCTCCTTCATCTACGGTTCAAACTACCTCGCCGGCGCGTACGGCATCTACGCCGCCTCCGCCCTGGCTGGCAACGCCGTCATGCGGAGCATGTTTGGCGGCACGCTGCCGCTCGCGGGCACCTCCATGTATAAAGCCATGTCGCCCCAGTGGGCCGGCACGCTCTGCGGCCTGCTGGAGCTCGCGCTCATCCCGATTCCCATCATCTTTTGGCGGTACGGCGAAAAGATTCGCGCAAAGAGCCCTGTTATTAGGCAGATGAGAGAGGACCAGGAGAAGAATGAGAGTAAGCGAGCGAAGCAGCTCGCGCGTCTGGAGAGGAAGAAGGAGAGAGAGGCTGCTACTGCTGCTGCTGTGGCTGCGGGTGGTTACAGTGAGAAGTCGACAGGCGTGTTGGCGAGTGAGGAGCAGACTGAGCCTCGAGATATCGAGAAGAGTGCCTGAGAGAGAGGTCCATCATCCTCTTGCCATGTCATCGAAAAGGAGGAGTGTTTGATGTATGATGTGTTCGTCGCGACTGGAATTAGACAAGGACAGTATACCCCCCCTTAGTCCTCCGAAAAGGATCTCATGTAGCGTATACGGCGTTTGGAATGTTGCAGCAGGAGACACATGGGGCCATTGAGCCTCTTCCTATAGAAGCTGTCGAGAAGCGGAGATCATTATAGCTAGCTACATCCATAGGATCGCCTTCAAAGTAATACTCGATTTTTAGAAAATTGTCTCCCACGGTCCCAGGTCTTTGGCGAGTTCCTTCAGCCTTTCCTTGATACCGTCGGCCGTGCCCTTGGTGCCCTCCTCCCCCGGCCCCGTGGCGTATCGCAGGCAGCCTATATCTCGATATCCTCCTTTGCCGCTATTGGTTTTATCGCCTGCATTGTGAAAGTCAGCATGATACCATCCTAGTGTAACAACTCGGAAATGAAGCAGCTGACGGACGAGTTGATACTCACACTCTTTCCAGTTCCAACTCAGCATGTACTCGCACCTATTCATGCCATCAATCTCCTCCTGTGTCTCCCTCGGATCAAAGGCCCTCATGCCATACTTTGTCCTCTCCTTGCTAGGAAACGTGCACCCCTGTATCCACGAAATTGAAAAATGATGTTTGGAACCGTTTGAGCCCAGTCCGTTGGATTTATACTCCCCGCTATCGGGCGATATTCGCAGCTTCTTCTCATCCAACGCCTTGCAAATCTTCTGGATATCCATCAAGATATCCATACCGCTGACTTTCTCTTTGTCGAACGAGGCTTTATCGTTGCATTTCTGCTCGCCTACCTTGATCTCCATGTCCTTGATCCATTGCGTGACCACAGGGTACGGTGCTTTGCCGGTGTTTTTTGTGAGCGTCGTTGTGGTGGAAGTCGGTTTAGGCGTGGTCGCGGGCAGGGCCAGGCACTTGCAGACCTGGGCAGCTTTATCACAAGCCGGGGTCTGGTTGCGATCGCATCGGGTGTTTGAGTCGTTACATTGGCTTTCCTCGGTGCAAGCTGCTCCCGGTTTCTGTGCCGCGGCTGTGGAGGAGGGCCATACTGTGGGTACGTCAGATGGGTTAAATGACTTTTCGCTCTTGGTTGTCCGAGGCGGAGGAGAAGTCTGAGGAACAGATGGGGTTGGCGTCAGAGAAGGGATAGCAGATGAGCTAGGCGAGCTGGGAGGGGGCGGCGACTCTGCTAGGACCACATGTTTGTTGTTGTAGCTGGTTGTCCAAGCTGCCCACCTTTGGATGCTTGGTGATGGTCCAGCGTGTACTCCCAGTTGAGTACCGGCCAACAGCAACGAGCCTAGGAAAAGAGTGAACCTACACTTTGACGGCATGATATGCTTTTCAGAATGGGTTGATGAAGGGAAAGAGTGGTAGACAATGCGGCGAAGCAGATATCAGGAAGACAGCACATGTAGGCCTTTTCAGTCGGCAGTGGACTTGACGCAACTGAAAGAAGAGACCATTGCCCGATTGAAAGTGTGACCCCCGTATCTTTGGGCTTTGTTCCAGGTGACACCATGTCATCCCTTCTACATCTGGCACAAACAGATCAATACAGACTTGTCATGATTGTACTTTAAGTGAGGGAAACACTTCGTTGACACAAGTCCCTCGAGCAGCCATCTTTAGTTTGAAGGGATGAATTAATGGCATTCACTGAAGACATGCCGAAAGTCGCCTGATAGCTCCAAGGACGACCGATTCAACCAAACGAGAAGATACCGCAGAGAGGCAAGAAGTAATTGAGGTAAGAGGACAAAGAAGTCGGTGTCAACGTCGAAAGGAACTTGCAAGGGAAGACTGGAGTGCCTGCCTACGCCCCCTAGTTACTTTGCCACCTTGATTGACTGCCTCCCTTACTTTTCGACCGCATTCCGTTTCCAGGTTTCCTCCGGCAATGACTTAATTAGATGCGAAATTCAAGAAACCCCCCTATTCTCAAAGGCGAGTCAAAAGTACATCATGTACAAGGTCACCCAGTTTTATCCCAAAGTAGCCTGATTTCAAAACTTCGCAAACCAGCCATTATGAGTAAGCCAAACGAACGTACTGATAATTCGCCACTGTCTAAGTTCTAACATGGGACACACTACAACGCAAGGTAATTCCCGACGCCGGGCGCGGCTGAGATGGCATATTGCATACGTCAAACGTATCAACGAAGAACGTCGATCGAAGCAGCGTCAGATTGACGAAGCCCCCCAACTACTAGACGAAATTGAAGAATTCGAGGCCCTGTTTGAGGGATTTCCCCCGCTTCCGCCTCGCCTTCCTCAACCAGAATATGCTACTGACGTCGACAAATTGAATCCTGATGACCCCGAAGAGCTCGAGTTCTACATTGCTTGTCGAGTCGGCCACCTGCAAGAGGTCAAAGCCTTCATTCAGGACATATCTACGAGTCACGCTGTTCGCCAATTTGGTTTACAACAAGCTTCTTTTGGAAATCAGCCTGCTGTTGCAAAGATTCTGCTTGCCAACAATACAGCCCTCCACGGATACGTCTTCGAAGGCACGGAAGCCGCATCTAAAACACGAGCAACCGCTCTTGGTGCTTCTCTTTTCGAGACATTCCCAGAAGAAGACGATACTTTGGTTCCTCTGCTGCAAACTTTCATGGACGCAGGGTGGCACCCGAATCAGGCATGGGAACCCAGAGAGGGAAACTACCCAAAGTGGGCGTTACAAGATCTCTCATGCATCTGCAACAAACCGCTGACCAAATTTCTCCTCTCTTACGGCGCCGACCCGAACATTGGGCCCGGCTGGTATCATATTCCGACACTAAAGGAGCAAGAACAAGATGTATGGTTTCCAGTCGAGGTTCCGTTTCATCGACATGGGATATGGACATTTGGTCTTACGATAGAGACCTGGAACCCGCGGTTTTTTGAGCTACTCAGAACCTACAGTGTTCCTACCCTCAGGGTCTCCGAGCTCCTGCCCTTGCTGCGCATTGCACGAGACATGACAGCATTTTCGACAGCCCACCAAGAGAGTGAGGATGCTGCACTGTTGGCGATTCCATTCTCCATGAGACGTGACATGGCTGAGCACATGTTGAGTTTCGATGATGTGGGTGTCGATGACGTGAAGTGGGCAGGGGACAGAGGGGAGCAGACTGCTCTGACGTTGGCTTGTGCCACTGGGGACTGGGAATATGCAGAGTGGCTTCTCGAGAAGGGGGCTGATCCGAGTCTGCTTGACGGGATAGCCTTCGCCCATGATCCTCAGAGGCTAGTAGAGCTTATGAGTAAGGCAGCAGCATCCGATTTAAGGCACTTCGAGAGTGTAAATCAGCCATCTCGGACAAGTTTGCAAAAGCAGCTGGCCCAATGTAAGATCAAGTATGGAATTACGCGGCGTTAAGTCGGGATCAACAAGGCATCATGATTACATGTTTATGTGAGGTATCCCATAATCACGTTAGATATCACGACTTAGCTTGGAATGACAGGGTAGAGGTGTCTGTAGTTTATGGCCCAAACACACTTTACCCTCCCCTCCCACCCGGGGAGCAAAACAGTAATAGACACTCATCCTTTCTTTTAGGCTACTATGTTTACATTCTCTTCCCTCCTTAGACTTGAGGTTCCTCGCAAAGTATGCCCCATTCTTGAAGGTGGTCATACTTCACGATGTCTGGGCTTTATTCGGAGATGGATGGACTGCTGAAATATCCATTGACAGGCCACAAAGAAGGTCTTGTTATCTAGATCACAAGAGCCATATACCTCATGTTTGATTCTTGTGATCTCAAAATCGCCAACAGTTGACCTGACGGCACCTCATCTTGTTCCCGTCGAAACCTCCATCACCCGGCAAGCCGATGGATCAGTTAAGTTCCGCTTGGTAGCCTTGCGCTTCCATGGACGGGCTAACTTCTCTTCCTTCCTCTTCCTTTCCTTGTCGACCGAAAAATTCTTTCTTTCCCTCCCAAATGATCGCGTTCGAGGATTTTACTCGACCCTCCGTTTGTTTTCCTCGTGGAAAGCAAACACGCCATGCCCATTTTCTGCCCTCAAACAGTCGAAAAGACACGGCAGCCATCGCGATATCGACATCGTGGAATCTCGACTTTTCTCCACCGGCTCCAGATACAAGAAGATTCAGAAATCGAACTCGACCATCGAAATAACGCAGGCGAAATACCATGCACATGTCTCTGTCGGAGACTCCGAATCTGACCGGTCCCCCCCGCGTCCCTTACGAGATTTTCCTCGACATCATCGAGTTCCTCATTTTGGAGCAAGTGGAAGTCGCCGAGCCGATGGACTACATCCTCGAATACAACAAGCAGAGTGAGGCCAGGATTGTTGTCAGCACGGAGGGCGAGCACCATGACCATTTCGAGCGACTCAACCGATTGCGCAACCTCTTGCACATCGACTCCAGAAGCCGCAGAATGGTCAGCAAAGACTTCCTTCCCATACCAATGGTCACTAGCAAGCGTCGTCATGACCGATACCCGTTCGTGGCACGGGTGTGCCCAGCCGTCGACATCTTCACCCTGCAGGAAAGTTACGAGATCGACTTCCTCTTCGCCGCGATCATGCTTCCTACCGCCAAGGGCAGTGAAATCGTCCGAAACATCACGACCGTGCAGGGTGCAGATACCATGTTCTTCCAAAAGAACTCCGAAGGCTATGTCGACGCGCTCGCTTCCCTGCCCAACCTCCGCAAGATCATCATCCCCGCTGGCAATTATCGAATGAAGGAAGAAGAGGACAGATGCAAATGTTCTCGCTCGGAATCCCACCCAGAGTTCACGAAGATTGATGAGGATCACTTTCCATGGCTGGCGGAGTGGGAAAAAGATCACGGCCACATTGCGCGGAAGCTTGGCCCTCAGTTCAAGAAACGGAACATTTCCATTTTCGCCGGGTCCATGGCTCGTGATATGTTTGAGTTGGAGCTGGATATTACAGAGGAGGCCATTCGCGTCAAGTCCAGCTGCCGGAACTGCGACTGCTGCGACTGCTGGGTGAAGGAGGTCTGTCTAGGAATGCCTCGGGAGTATCGCATCGCCGAGTTCCTGAGGATTTCTCGGAGAATTACCTAGGTACTCTTAGCTGCAAGTTCATACAATTGCATTGCGAGGTACCGATCAAGCATTATGAAGGGGCGGGGGGTCCTCAAACTTTCGAACACAGGATGGGAGAAGGGAGGAAAATTCCACCCCGCAAAATTGGTCGAATGCCAGGATGGCATCTATGGTATGCGAGTACTTACTTGTAATAGATACTAAATATCGTTGCGCAAGAAATCAAGAGAAATACAGCACGAGCATTCGGCATCCAAATGAGATGCTACATTGGCATACCGAGCAATTTCGACCTACCCTACCGCAACGAGAAAACATTTAACACATGACATGATCTTCATCACAATTTGATTAGCCGAAAGACACGAAGAGACAACATCAATTGATAGCTTCGTGATCGGAAGTTGGACCAATAACTTGATGTGGTCGATTGTAAGTGATTCGAAAGACTTCTTGAAGTTCAAATATGAATGCAAAGCGTGCTCCTCAAACGCTCCTCCATAATAGTCTGCCGTAAATTCCACAGTTTAAGCCTCATAAAATATTAATCTTGCTGCTGCATCGCCTCCTCCAGAGTAACCCCACGAGCTCTCAGATCATCGTGAAGCTCATGGTAGCAATTGCAGTGCGGGTTAAGAAATTGCATGCGAACAGCTCCGTCCTTCAAGAGCAACTTGATTTGGGACCGCTCTGCACTTTCTGTCATCAAGAAAACAGAGATTCCTCGTTTTTCTGCAACGCGTAACTGCATTATCAAAGTCTCTTCAGGAAACAATGCCTGCAGATTCAGGGTCGGAAAAATCTGGGTGTCGATAGGCATGCTATCATCATGAGAGTAGTGGAACGAGACTCTTGGGTCAATTCTTTCAAAGTTCTGTCCGATTTTGAGCCACATTTCTTGTAAGTTGGGAAAGAATCGCAGCGTTTGAGGAGTAAAAGCTGACGGCCAGTTAGGGAAGGGGGGCAATGCGGGCAGGTAGTGCCAGAGCCCTCCCGGATAGGGGCTAGTTAGAGGTAGTAAGGAGTCCAAGCAACAAAGGAGTAGCTCAGATATATATACAGCGCAGGGAGTACACGTCGAGGGAGGAGCAGATTTCAGCAATTCATCATTCTACCCCTTACTGCAGTTGGCCTCTGAGAGCTTCCACCCTGCGTCAGCACCCCAACTTGACAGGTAGTCGCACACTGACCCTTGGACCCTTCTTACTAGGCTGTATAGCTCTCTCTCTTCGGGGTGGGGAAGATTACGAAGGCTGGAAGATCCACGCATGATGCTCTTCGCGTCCGGCGTTATCTCGAAAATGTCAATATCCGGAAGCACACATCCCGACAGCGTGCGGAACCATCCGACCTTGAATTGAGAATCATAATTTTTTGGAGAGTACATGACGCGTATAATTTTGCTAGGAACGAAGACTTGTCTAACCATGCGTCTGCTAGTTCTGTCGATTTGTAGAAGGGTGCGAATTTCGTTCCATCGACGCTCCTGTATCTTGATGCCTTCAGGGCCCCATCTATCTTCCAGTACGATGGAAAATCGGCTTCGAAGAAATTGTCTTTGGTAATTGAGAGTATAGGTTGCATTTTCATGTCTAAGCACTTCGTAACTCTCTGGAACCATCGCGTCAACGATGAGGAGGAAGATCTCGTAGGGCAAGTTGACAGAACAGTTCAGAGCCGGAAGACGTGCGTGTAACGATTGAGTGGACATGTTGCTTCTCTGTGGGAGTGGAATATTAGGCTTGATGGCTTGTTGAGTTTACTTATAGCAAGGTTTGTTAGAGGCTTTTGGTAATGTGTGTTTGTTGGGTCTGGTTCCTTGGAGTTGAGGAATGTTGGCGCTTGTGTTGGTTGGTTTCATGGAGAACTTCGGTCATGATAACATTGCATCAGAGCATCTGATGATTTTATGCATCTATGGATCCTCGATATCTTTATCAACCTTTGGCAGGTTGTTTTGGGCTTTCTTGCATTGTCATTGCGCAGACAATTCCATTGTGCACACACTAAGTAGCTAGTCGATCAGTACTTTTTTGTCTTGCGTCGAGCACTATTCACTTTGAGCTATTGTGACACCGTCTTTGTCCTTGAGACTACAACAATATCGTTCTGTCATTCAAAAAGGATCTTTATGCTATTAAAGTAGTTGATTAAGTACCTTTCCATTCCGTCGTTCTAAACCTCCAAGGTAGGTGTTGCTAATTTTTGTAACCCACCGGCATCTGAGGCATTCCACAAAGACTATTCAAAGCTCTTTTGAGATAAAGCTGCGCTTTTTCCTATTGCCACTTAATTCCTATCGAGCTTTCATCAAATCATGTCTTCGTGCACATGGACGTAAAGTAGCTAATAATTCCGATACTTCAAGACAGTCCATTATACAGTCTCAATGAGCTGGAATCCCATGTACTAGTTCTGTCTGGATATACTGGCAGAGATTCATGGTCTCAATGCCATCCGACGGAGGCGCAGGTACTGGTCGTCGAAGTAGGTCTGTTTCAATTTGACTGGGTACTTCACTTAAGAGATAGTGGGCGGCGGTATCTACCTAGTACTCAACATGAATGCTTCAAGTCAACTTAGACGATAAGATGACGTAATTAGGAACTTGCGTAATTGAGTTCATGGTGGGGGGATTTGGAACTTCCAGATTACGAGCTCATTGCAGCACTTTGATTAAAGAGTCTCGTTGGCATAGAGAAGACAGGGTGAGACAGGGAAATAGATGCTGTTGTGGCTTTAATTATGTATGCTAGACACGCTTAAATGTTCCAAGTTACACTAAAGCTCCTAAAACCAAGCTTTGACACCGGCTTGAATGGCCTTGAGGAGGCTGAAGTCGTACGAGTCCTCACCCAGACTCCAAACAGCGACACCACCCAGGCCGCGAGCCTTAGCAATCTCGTTGAACTTGCGGGTGACGAGAGCAGGAGTGTCCCAGCTCCAGAAGAAAGGACCGGCGGGGTCCCAGTACCACTGGCCACCGCTGACCTCATCGGTCTTGCCATTGGCGATGGCAGTCTTGAAGGAAGAGAGGGTGGAGGTGCCGTTGCAGATGCCGTAGTCGGACTGGCAGCCGTTGCCGCAGTGAGCTGCGGTGTCACCGCAGAATCCATACTGAGAGCAGCAGTTACCAGTGGGGCACTTGTAGAAAGTGCCGGCACCGCAAGAAGCATCCGGAGAAGTAGTCAGGTTGGTGGGAGCGGCCTGGAAGTTGGCGGTCTCGAAGGTTACGGCTCCGGACATGCCCGTATCGGTGCCGTCGGCAGCCTCGAGGAGCTCGGTGGGGCAGCCTAGACCCTGGGTGCAGTTGTAGCCCTTGGCG